GTAGCAAGGTATTGAGGCGTCCTCAGCTTTGCTGCCTACCTTCCCCCCTGTCACACGAAGGGGATTTGTCTTATGCATTGGACCTTGGGTATTGGACGTCGTATAATTGATACGGGGATGGCAATTTCAAAACAAGCAAAAGCCGCGCCAGGGACGAAAAAGAAAGCAGGAAGGAAGAGGAAAGAGTGGTTCATACATCTGGCATGGCATAGACGAAGCTGCCCATGGGCCGAGCAACGTTTGAGTCGCCGATCGAGGTTGTCGTCAGAAAGACGAGAGTCGAGGTAGCGAGGCACGTAAGATGGATATGGAGGTTGACGTGTGGCGACTTTGGCAGCGGAAACGACAGCTCGGCGGGCTTGAGAAGAGCCATGACTGAAGAAGTTCCGTCAACCTCGCAAAGAGAAACCGAGACCGAGACTGAAACCGCACCGGTCAAGAGACGACGTTCAAAGAGTCAAGATATTATTCTTGTTAGAGCCTAGCTAACCGGCAACCAACTGCCAGAGTTAGTGAGAGATGAGCTAGCCTCGTGGAGAGTTGGGCCTCTCTGTCAAGTTCGGTACGTTCGGCAATAACCAGTCCCAGCCGGCGAAGGAGCTCCAAAGGTTCCTCAGGTTGAGACTTGAGGGGTGACGGAAGCTTCCTCGCTACTCGCTACTGGATGATCCCTCCTGCATGGCGCTGACGGCCGGACGATCTGAACACCCTCCATCAGCGTAGCAGCAGCAGCAGCAGCAGCAGCAGCAGCAGCAAGCACAAAACGGTTGGGCACACCACACCCAGTGTTTCCATGTGGTTTCACTGTCGCAGCTCAGCGTACAGAGCGTGGAGACGGGAACTACCTTTGCAGCTGGCCAATCCAACCCGGCGCTGCCCCTTGGGTGACGCTCAGCTTGGCGGGCGCTCTAATTTCGGCTCAGGCTGGATGTGCGAAGTGAAGGACGGGCGGGACTTTAGGGGCGAACCAGGACGCTTCCGTGACATCGAACCTCGGGCCCAAGCGAAGAGCATCCTCGCTCGTACATGCAAGTACCTCTCTCTCTCTCTCTTCTCTGCTCTCGTTGCGGTTGCGGCAGGTTGCCTTTTTTTTTTTAGTTACACTTTTCCTCCCTGTAGATTTTTAATTCTTCTTACTAACGAATTCTTATCGTAGGGACACCACTATTTGTGAGAGAGAGAGCCCGGGCGCAGAATCCAAGCGAGGACTGGCGAGCCCGTGGTCTGATTCCTTTCAAGAAAATGCCACTCTGGAGCTGTGAAGTCGTTTCAAGCTGGTGGTGATAATACGAGGTTCAAAGCGCATTTTCCTGCTCCTCCCCTTCAGCCTTTGCAAAAATAATAATAGAGTTGGGATTCCTCGCAGTCTAGCCGTCCGCCTCCTTTTGCCTTCGGCCTGTGGAACTGACAGCCGCATGTGCAGGAATTAACGGAGTATGTAACAGCAGATTGTCCCAGGTTTTAATCGACACCAACCGCCTTCGATTCTCAACCCCAGCTTTTTTCCTTTTTCCTTTTTCCTTTCCCTTTTCTCCCTGACCCGAGTCCACTGTTGGGCGCTATAACTATCAGCTCCGGGGTTCTTCTCTCGCAAGTTCCCACCACCGCCTGTCCGTGAGACACGGAACAGGAGCTGTCGAATCCTCTTTTGCTCCCTTGACCCGAGAAAGAAAAGAAAAGAAAACTTCTATTCTGCTGGTCGAAGTTCCTTCTTTGAGTTTCAAGATCAGGTACGGGGGGGGGGAATATAATAAGAATATACATATCCACGAGCCACACACGACAGGTATCTCGTGAGATCTACGATTTACTCATTTAGTTATTTCTCATCCTCGGCACTCCTTTCCAGCTTGTCGGAAGATTTCTTCCTGTGGGGATAGCATTGGCAGCAAGCTGGAACATCATCCGATACTTAACTATGAAAGAGGCCTTTGAACCCCGCGAATTGACTCCAGCTCGGCCATATATATAGCTAGGCCCATATTCCTGGTCGGCAATAAAGCCGCTCCTTGTACCTTGTCTGCTTTTCTTCCCGCCCCGGAACAAAAACCCATTGGAACATCACGAACTACTCATCCAAAAACAGGCATACACTTTCAGTTACATCAATAGAAGAGAATCTGGATGCGAATGGCTGCCACCATTCGAGGCCTGTGAATGAGATTTTGGCCAGAATAGACGGAATGCGACAAGGCTCTCGCTCACACGTCCAGAGCCCAACATTCAGCTGACACTTGTGATTCCTGCATTCAAGCCTGAGAGAAAGACTTTTTCAGAATGCAGAGACAACAATACCCTCCCCCACCTCCTAGGAGTCAGCAGAGTGGCTATTATGCTTCGTCACCTGTCTCGTCTATCAGCTCTACATCAACAACTGCTCCGCGACCACCGTCAGAGCCTGGCTGTGGCTCTGCACCTCACCGCGGCCCGCCAGGCAATGGACTCAAGATATCCAACCTTCTCTACACTTCAGCTCCGCATAACCAGCATATGTCTATGGGCAATGCATATCATCCGCAATATGATTACTCGCAGATGCAGCATGGAGAGAGACCTGGCCTGTTGCTTAGCCCTCTCCATAATGGCTCGATCTCGGATGCCTCCAGCTCTGCAAGCCACATGTCTCCTGCCGTTCCTCAGCAATCGCACAAGCGCGCATATAGACAGCGACGGAAGGATCCTAGCTGTGATGCGTGTCGCGAACGGAAAGTAAAGGTATGTGTTACCCAACCATTGTTACCCGTACAGATGGCTGAGTATATGCTGATATTCTTAACAGTGTGATGCTTCAGACTCGTCAAGTTGTACGGAGTGTTCCAACCGTAATGTCAGATGTCTTTTTACAAAGGAGACGAACCGGCGCATGTCATCTATCAAGTTGGTACCATTATAACTGCTACGCTCGATCTTCGTTTTTTTTTTCTCTAACATAATCCAAGGCAAGTTCAAGATCTTGAGAGGCAGCTTGCTCAGGCGAAGCTTCAACTGCAACAGTTGCGCTCTGGTGCACCCAAAGCTGCCAGTCTCATGGGATCCGATTCCGATATGAACGAAGATATGCCGGCGATTCCAGAGATAGGCTCTCAACCTGCTCGCCTTCACACACCAAACGTTAATTATGACTTTTCTCGAGTATGCTCGAAAATGCGAGTCTATGGAGACGGCCTTCTTCATTTCCCGCAAACCCCGTATTTTCTACGACCGCAGCCTGTTCTGGATGCAGATGTACCCCCGCTTCCCCCAACAAATATCGCACATGTTTTGATGCGACATTATTTCTCTTGTGTTCATTGTCTGTATCCAGTCCTCCACTGGCCTACCATTTTACATGTCTACGAGAGAGTCCATCAGACAGGGACCCTACAAGGCGTCTCGAGGGGTTGGGCTGCTGTCTTTTTTGCCCTGTTAGGCTGCGGATCGCTGCATTCTCTCGATCGAGACTTAATTGCCAAAGGTAAGGAATATATCAAAACCAGTATGGGCTTGATCGACCTTTGGCAAAATACGTTTTCGATTGAGCAAGCGCGCGGTGCAATGCTAGTGAGCATCTACTTGTCTGAACTAAACATCAACTCTGTCAGCTGGGTATGGCTTGGTGCGGCAGTACGGATTGCTCAGGACCTTGGTTTCCACATGGAGTCAGGCCCATGGGAACCGATGGACGGTGAAATGCGGAAACGCGTGTGGTGGTCCATTTACTCGTGGGAGAGGTTAGTTCATACACGACTTCTATGTAATCTTGTCTTCTGTTTGGATAAACTGCTAAAAAAAAAATGGTTAATAGACTGAGTGCTTTGGAACTTGGCCGTCCACTCGCAATTATTGACGAGGACTGTGATATTTCACTTCCATCCTCGATCGAAGAGCAACTTATCCAAGAAGACACTCCGGCCCCAGATCAGAAATCAAATCCCTTACTCGTTATAGTCCACATAATGCGCTGCGTTTCGCAACTTACGAAAGCTCTCAAAAGTTTGGTTATATCGAGTGATACCCTGGAGCTATTTGATCGGCATTTCCGGGCTTGTTTAAACAGCTTCCCGGCGGATTATCACATGCAGTCAAATCAATACTTGGATCCACGATCGCTTTCGCCTGTTATTATTCTCCAGAACACTAGGTTAGTTCTACACCGCCATAACCTCTCTCCCGGATGTCCACCGGAGATCCGGAATATCGCCATGGATCATTGTTTGGCAGTTGCTCGCGATACCACCGGGATTCTAACCAGATGCATGCGCTCGCCAACCTCTGGAGAACCTGGAGCACCTTCGAAAGTAAACGGCGATGACTGGCGCTATCTATTAGCTGCTGCCGCCACTTCCGTGATTTGCAAGCATATCTGGCGATGCATTTTGCTACTGTTATGCAGAGCCGATTATGCTGCTGCGCTAGTGTGCATACAAGCCTGCTCTGCAATCGGAGATGCCAGAGCAGTGAACATTGCTTCGGGGCGATACATCACTTTCTTCTTGAAGTTTTTACTTGAAAAGCAGCAAAAAGAAGGTTCCTTCAACTTTGTGGATGATGAGGAGCTGATGGCCTACGTGTCGGGCGATCTGCAAAGTTCTATGGATACCTCATGGGTTTGGAGGTCAACTTGCTCCAACCCGTCCTTAGATCTGGGGGGCAAGCCACCATCTAGCACGCTAGTCACATCAAACCCGCCATTGAAGACGGAGTCTGCGGACACCGATCGAGCAGATGGTGCTGAAACTGATGACCAAGCACAAGATTGGGAAGGCTGGGGCTGGGTTGAAATGGTAACGCAGCGCTTGTTAGCTGAGCAGCAACAGCAGAACAATGCTATTTCTCCTAACGGTCTAGACAATCCGCGTCTTGATCGCCCAGTCCCTAATGGCGTTAACGACTCTTGCCGCTCTCCCGAGACAGCAACCAGCCCATGTCAAAAGAGCAACATCTCTAAGATGACAATTGCGAATATTATATGAGAATGGAGCGTCCCGAAACCGCCCCTCGACCGAGATATAGCATCGATTCTTCATCTCTCGTGCCACAGCAATCCAGCCATGGCTTGGGCATCTAGCATCAATGCTGAGAACAATGCCACCACTGTCGCTACACTTTACTTATGCCATGGGATATAAAAAGGCACAGAAGATGGGGTGACATGAAATAACGAATGTACATATGATACCCATTTACAACTGGACTTTGTTTACTAGAATATTCTTTTTTAATAATAAGAAGATCTCAATGATCATGTTTTCGCTTCTATTCAGCCGTCGTTGTCCAGTGTACTTTGTCCAGTTGAAGCAATGCCTATGCTGTGCTATGGATCTATATAACACCACTCAATTTTTGTCTCAAGTCTCCAAGTTAATACTTTTTCCAAATCGTGCATAGAGAGCAATTTTTAATTGCTGTGCTTCCTCCTTTAGTGCTCCCAACTTCTCCTCTAGGTCAGAGACTTCATTGTCAATTTTCTCAGTCGAAGCAGCTAGCATTTCTTGTGCCTCCGATAGGGGGAGTGACATGAAAGAGTCACCGATTTTGTATCTACTCCAAGTCAGTACAGCTTATAATAAACCTTTTGCACATACAATCAATATTCATACTGAGGCATTACTTACGGGACTGGAACATCCTCGTCGGCGAGGTCAAGTTCAGCAGAAACTTCCTCAAGATCTTCCTTGTCTTTCTGTAACGTGTGTTAGCCCCTCATTCATCACAATATCTAGCGCAGGATTCAAAATTGACAATGAGTCTGTTGTAGCATAAATCTGAAAGAGGCACCAGTCGTAGAGATAGTAAGGCTTAGGACACAAGCGTGCCGTATTTGCTCTTCACACCGTAGTATCTTCCTCGGTGCCTGGATACGTACCAGTTTCGCCTTGAGCTGCGCTTCCAACACGGCCTCTCTTTGATGTAATCGACTGAAACGATTTATCTTTTCCTGATCTTCACGACGGACCTCAGTCTCTTCGCTACTGGTGGCTTCATCGTCCTTCGAGAGCTAACATGCCTGTCAGCAGGAGCTAATACGGTGGCCGCGTCGTCGGGGGTATATACTTACCATCCGACGTTGAAACATCCTGACCTCTGGGGTTTGTACAATTAGAAAGGTCTCCTATCAATATCTGGTATATCTATAGCCTGCCGGCTGGGTGTTGTTGGGAGTTATATCAATTATACAGTGTTGAAGGTGTTGATGTTGTTGGAGAGTTATCAAATGGAGGCACAACCGATGCGAATTTTGATATTCAATTTAACAAACAACGAGTCTCGTGCGAATAACTACCAGCACCAGCATGAACTACATCCAACAGAAGCCCGGATCTGTCTAGGGAATTACACACTTAACGATGATGCGTTTAGCGAGCACCCACGGAAATTTCCGTGGATACACGCCCGCCGCCTAGGCGGTTTGCAGATAGAGTTGACAGAAATATAGGATATCAAAGAATCAAATGTTTGAAATCCCTTTACATATCCGTCTATGCATTATAATGCGTCCTTCTCTCTATATTATACATTCTAGCTGTCTGTACCTGCTTCTTCTCTCTGCTGCCAGGTCCCAATAGCAGTATCACGTGACACGACCTGAAGGGGAATGTTTAGTTATGATGCAACGCTGCGAAAGTCCAGCTTGCAAGCAGTTTACAGCTTTTGCATCCACCTTGGTAGAGAAACTGCACATTTCCACGACGAAGCCGCTCACAAACCCTCTCTGGAGCTTCTCTTTCGATTTACCCATCCGTCTTTACTCGCTCGCTCTTTTGGCCCCCGTCGCAAACCTGGAACTGTTGGGACAGCCAACCCGCGTGACGTCCTGAATTAAAGCCGAGCTTGGGCTGTAGCCTGCTACGACAACGACGGCGGCGGCGGCGATGATGGCGAGATACAAGGGGCTGTCGATTCTATCCTTATTTGCGGTCTTTTCTTCATTAGCGTCTGCCGAGCTAGACTGTTCTAATATTAAGGTCGATGGAGTATCGTGGAATTTCGGCAAGCTTGGAGGTGCTCACTCGATCTCGGAGACCAGCAGCAGCCATGAAGGCTACAATACAACGTACACACTTGACATATGCAAGCCGTTAACCAAGTCCTTGTGTAAAAAGGGTGCTTTTGGTGCGTCTACCTCTTGTGTGTTTTCCGTGGCTAGTTTGGTATAGCGCTAACCCTCGGTTCTTTCTATTGTAGTCTGCGCTGTCAGGAATGCAACGGATATAAATGGAATAGAACGAACTATGGACGTGATTGATATCGCTGGCAATTTTGTTCTGAACAGCGGCAGGACACTTGACCCTATATTCACACGGCTAAAGCAAGAGGATCCGAACACAGAAGGCCTGAAGATGGAGCTACACGGCGGAAAACATAAATTTGGCAACTTGTTAAAGAGACAAAAGGCAGTGATTACCTTGCTGTGTGACCGGGAACGAACTGGGCTGGAAGGTTTGGAAGACCCCAAGCCGGATGGGGATAAGAAGAAAGATGGTGAAAAGAAAGACGATGATAAAAAGGGTAATAAGGACAAGGAGGGCAAATCCAAGAGAGGTGATGAAAAAAATAAGAAGAGCCTTATTTTCAAAAGCTATAACGAGGAACACGGCACCTTGGATCTGGAGTGGAGAACGAAATACGCTTGCGAGAACGTTGAAGACGGCGGAAGTGCACCATCCAGCCACTGGGGATTCTTCACCTGGGTTATTGTTCTGTATGTTGTTCTCGTTTTCTTTACCCTTTTTGTCAGAGAGAGTGACTAACGTTCGATGCCATTCACAGCCTGTTCCTGTGCACTTCTGCTTATCTGATATTCGGCTCGTGGCTCAATTACAGCCGGTATGGAGCTCGCGGGTGGGACTTGCTTCCTCACAGTGACACGATCCGCGATATTCCCTATATCCTCAGGGATTGGGCTCGACGGGTAGTTAACACCCTTCAAGGAGGCGGCACCCGAGGTGGTTACAGTGCCGTGTGATATTTTCTCTCTACGTCACGACTATTATTTCTTCTCTGGGCCTTAACAAGGGCTGTACACATATCTCTACCTTCTTCACCTTGTACTATTTCCGGCCCGCCTTGACGATCCTGTTGAGCTTGTTTCAACGGAGCATAGCCCAGTCGATTTTATTCCATCCATTATTCTACCCACATGCTCAACCTATTTGTTAGATCGCACCGACTATTCATCCTTTCAGAATTTATGATTTATATTTTCTTTGGGAGCTGGTGGCCTTTCTTTTCCTTCATTGATTATCATAGTTCTATTCTTCTATTATCTATCTATTTCGTTGGAAGGACTTGCTCTACATGCAGCTCTAGCTTGATGCCACCTCTCGATATATAGTCTTCGGTTTGACGCCTTGCTTACGAGTATGAGAAAGGCACTGCGTTATACTACTTACGCTCTAACGTTGCTATGATTGCACGAATTTCTTTACTTTGTTTGTCTTTTTGACTCTTAGGTAAAGAAAGGGGCATATTCTAGCGTAGCAACAAAGCACCACGATGCAGCATTCCGAACCACACTATGCCTAAAATGCCACTCCCGAACTCGTCATATCAAACCATAGCCTACGTAAATGGGGCGCTGGATAACCGAGATAAGTCTAGCTAGCCTAGACATTGTGAGAGGACAGCAGGTAGGTAAGACCGAAAGGAAGAATGAAAGTAACAGAGGAGCCCTAGTAATCATATGATCCGAACTAAGACATCGCCATGCGTGTTGAACGGTTTGGCACGGCTGCTTAGCATAGCTATTTTTCTCCCGATAGTTTCTAGAGTAACGTGCAAGGTTCATATGAGTTGGAGAACTATCGAGCTATATCTTCATGGCGAATTTCTTCAAATAGCGATAATCCGCCATGTTTCGGTCGACGGCAGAGCGAATGATCTTTGCTCCTCTCTCACCGTACTTCTCCTTCCACTCAGCGTCAAACTCTTCTTCGGTTTTGGTTGCCTTCTTATTGGCGACAGAAGAATAAGTGTCAGCTGTACAGGTTCCAAAAATAGCAGCACCTTGGGTGTCAGGGCTACACAGAGGGATTATTAAGTGTTTCTCAGGGCAAACTTACGTGGGCTCTTGGACGCAGGCTTTTGGAACCCAGTGCATCATCGTGGAAGCCATGCCATTTGGCAAAGGCGTCATGAGCCACTTTCTGGTCTTTCTCAGAGGACCATTGGAGCATGTCAGGGGTGTATTCTTCCCCAACACTCTTGCAAAACCGTTCGATCACAGCTGCAGGGTTGTCCAGGAGATCATCTGCGTCGACCACGCATATTTCGACCTTCTCAGGCTCACTATGCATTCCATTTGTGGTTCCGTTGGTGGTTCCATTGGCGGTCCCGTTGAGGGTTGCATTTGCATTTCCGGTATGGACTGTACTTGCGTGGGATGGCCCAACAAATTGGATTTTGCGAAGGTAGTCGAAGAACCGGCGCAGTTCGTCATATCCAGATTCGTTTTCGTAGAACTCATAGAATCCCGTGACATCGTCTAGAGGCGGGATGGTGCAGCGGTAGTACGATGGGATGCTATAGTGCGGATCACGAATCAAGAAGGCGAAATGGAACTTCGAGAGCATCTCTTGCGGGATAACCGTCGGATTATCAACCTCCGGGTTAGTTTCTGGCGCTGAGATGCTCCCGTTGGGACGGTGTGGCGTGTTAGAATCGTGGGCTCTGGCCACACCGTTAGAAGAGGCCCCGTTGGTGTCCATGTTGGTGCCGATTCCACGTTTGGGTATCTGAAGTGAGGCTACTCTGGTTGCTGGCTGCGCATCAGGCGGCATGATGTAGTATGCCATGTCCTTGATGAAGAGTCGTTTCCCCTAGATGTAACGGTGAGCATTTTGCGCTGCGTGTTTGACGAAGCCAACAATGAGTGGCTGCCGTAGGGGTGGGAACATTGCAAAAAGCAAAGAAGATAGATAGGAACAGTAGTGTTAAGTTTGCCCGAGTGCGTCACCCTCGGATGTAGTAATCGACGAAAGGAAAATGAGCATCATAGGGATCAGTGAAGAACACAATATGAACACATATCCTAACACGGGGGCATTTGAGCGTCCTCTGGATATCCATTTCAAGGCATAGAGGGGGGGGTTCCATATAACTTGGAAAGCAACAGCAGCATCAGGAGGAGGTGAAGAGTATGAATGAGAAGAGAAACATCAGAACGCATGGAAGAGCAAGAGAGTGACGGCCGCGACGGTGCTTGCTTTTCTCAATTGGCAGGGGAAAAAAGGGTCACACCTCTGATGCTTCTCTGTCAAAGCGGTCGAAGATCGTCTTGTAGGTTGACTCGTGGAAGCCCGTCTGGATTCTGGCTTCTGGCTCATCCTCGTATCTTTTACTCAGTCTCTCAGGGCCATAGTAGAAGGCATCGCCGAGCGGTTCGTGGATGCACTTTAGAGTGTCATGGCGGGTCATGAAGACCTGGACGAGAGGTTAAACCATGTTCAGGGGAAGGAGCCGGCAGTATTTACTCTTTCAAAGGCTGTAGAGCATGCTCGGGGATGCGTTGCCACGAAGATAGAGCGTTTAGCCATGGTGAAATTCCAGTAGTAGTGTTGATATATGGAAGAGCTTCTCAGCCGTAACTAGCTGGTAGATGGCAGAGAGAAAAGAATGGCTGCCAGCACTGACAGAAAAACACAAGACGCTTTTACGTCAGGAAGACTGTCAGCAGCGATTGCCTCGGTGGCTTTATATCAGAAGAAAAAGAGGCCAGCCAGACTGACGGGGAGGCTGTTGGTAACTATGAGATAACTAGCCGGGGGCAATCAACAGGAGAGTCAAACTGCCGGCAAACAACCGCAACGTCACGCAGAAAGATAAATGCGATTTAGTGACGACAGAGAACCGGACAGAAGACAGATGGCGTGAGGGTATAAGCGTGTATATATATATATATATATATTTCCAAGTATACCGTACAGACACACTCTAGCTACCACGGAACCGAAGAAAGCGTCCTGAGTCAAGGCGGCGGTGGCCCGGGATGACGTTGATATGGAACCAACACGATCAACACTGAACTCGCAGCGCAACAAGGGAGCGGAAACGAAAAATCTCTGCTGGCTCGAACCTACACGCGTGTCTCTCCAGTTTTTTTACCTCCCATTCTCAACTAGCTGGTTAGCTAGCTAGTTATCGTTTTCGTCCTGCTGGGCCTTGCCGGGTTTCCATGACACAGATTTCTGTGGACGCCAAATGAAAAAGAACGCACGCAGAACGTGGATTGGGGTCGATGCTGGATAGGAACTGCTCTCCCTGGGGGCCTTTCGGGCTCGTTAGTTATTGCCACTCACAGCAGACGGGCTGGTGGGATGGAGGGGAGCGAAAAGTGCGCAGCTTGCAAGGTGCAGCAGGACGCATCAAGGGGGCTGGGTTGGATGGCAGAGACGGCCGCCAGCGCCAGGGAGAAGCGAAGGCGCTTAGTGCCACCGCGCCGGCCTGTTTTTTTTTTTTTTTTTTCCCTTTTCCCTCCCTCCTGCAGGCCTGTGATCATCCTCCCTGCTTGCAGCAAAAACCGGACCCTGGATCTAGGCCTGGTTTGATGGAACCCGTCGGGGTAGCAGTGCCATCAACTGTGGACAGGGCAAGCCAGGTGTGCCTCGGTGGTTAGCCGGACATGGAGACGAACGGACCCACGGGTTCACTGTAACCACTATTAATACATCCATCTACTTAGCCGAATCCAGGCGTTTCATGAGTTAGTTGTGCTATATCTTGGACTCGAGACTGGTCCTTAGGAGGCTAGTTTCTTCATAGCTGGAGGGACGGCCGAAGAGTGACATGGCCGTCTCGCCAATGCATCTCTTTGCAGTGAGTATTGACTGTAGTGACTACATCCCGCCACATGTAGTTATTTTCCAATTGTTTGAGGGTGTTTGCAGTGCATGCTTCTACTTCATCTTTTAAGCCTTCGTGAGCAAGAGACAAGCCACTGCAACAGTTACTTTCGTACCGAGAGAAAGTGACGAGAAAGCAATCCTTGATATATTAGTCATCCAATCGCCTGCGGCTCGCTCACACTTTATTCGGGTTCCCGCGAGATTCTCAGCCACTTAGTCCCGTGGGCCCAATATACTTAGCTGCGCTGAGTAATAACCTACTTTTGCCGTCAAGCAATTTTTGGCCATCGTCAACCAACGACGTCATTTACGCAGACATCTTCTGCGTCATTCAGTGATGGCTCTGGATGCAATTATAAAAGGGGCCTGTATTCTTCAGGCGCTTGAGATGCTACTTGCTATTTCAGCATAATGTCCTACAAATCTGATAATATCCAAATATTATGACTGGCATTATATTCAATATCTTGCAAACTTTATACCCCTATTGCTCCTCGCTATCCGGGTTGATATCCAATATGGACTGGGAAGAGATAGTATTAGTACTCGCTACGTCTTGGGTCACTCTTCGGCTCCTCGGCATCGGCCTCAATTTTGAACAGCTGTTCGACCTCCTGGGAATAAACGGCATATCCGATAGAATTCGTGCAGTGAAAGGATGGTTCCTCCTCCCAGAAAGTCATGAGCAGCTGAAGTGGATTGAAAGAATGAATGAAGAACGCGCCTATAACATCCTTCGGACGCAACAATCCCTGGCCATCAAAGACCTGACTATTGAACATGCTATCCAGCGGAAGCTCGATGTTCTCAGCAATCTGTGGAACACAGGCCCCAAAGACTGGAAACATAAACTACTGGAAATGCGATGCCTTGAGTGGATTGATAGAAACCAGGAATTCGCTTTACACCTGAGAAAGCCAGAAGGGCCCTTTACACGGCAATATGAACGCCAGCAGGAGAGGAAACATAAAGCTTTAGCTACCAATCCAACTAAATACCTCTCGCAGCCCCATCTGGTTGAGGAATGCAAGACAAGAGGCGGGTGCTGTGCGAGAGCATGCCAATGCTGTCTGCGGCCTCGAGGCCTCTATCCCGACAAGACGGTTTTATACTCCCACTGCACGACTGTATGTGGATGTTGTGTTCGGAATCGGGGATTCGTCCATATCGATCAATCAGATGCCAGGGAGATCCCTGACTTTGTGGACTGTAGAAAGTGGACATACCATATCGAAGAAAGACCGTGTGAAGCTACAGTGCTCTGAGCTTTGAGCAGCTCTTTTCTTCGCTCCTAGATATCCTTATCTCTCTAGATAATACCTTGGATAACCCCTTAATATGATCCCTTTAACTAAGTCTGGCCCCTAAGGCTAAAATCCATCCTTACCCTAGGGGTTACCTGAATGAGAGAGTGAGGGATAGAGGCTTCATTGCCCCTTTTCCCATGCATCTCTCCCCTTTTTTCCCTTCTGTTATACTTTTCTCTTACTTTTCCGTCCTTAGAGAAAGGCCTAAAGCTTCAGAGCCGCATCGCACTTGCCTCATGGTGCCCTGAGCGGGGGAGGACACGAAGTCTCAAAAAGGAAATACCACGAGGGGTAGTCGCGCCTTCCCTTCTCATGGCAGGAGACGTCGTTTTTCGCGTCTTTTTCTTCTTCTCCTCCTCTTCTCTTCTTCTTCTTCTCTTCTTCTCTCCCCCGACCAAGACGAAGACGACGAAGACGAGGACGAGGAAGAAGAAGTAGAAGAAGAAGAAAAAATGGCCTCCACCAACGACACCGCCGATGCCGCCGCCGCCGCCGCCAACCCAGCAAGGTCGATGGCATTGGCCATTGTTATCATGTGTAGAGAAGTGGGTGGGCAGTTAAACCTCTGGTCGTTTTATCTGCTGCTACTACTGATGTCACTCTTCTTTGGGAGGCTCGCTGAGATCCCTGTCAGGTAATTATTTACTATTATCTCTCTAAGTTATTTTACCTCTATACTAATACTTATCTAGCTGGTTGAGGAGACCCTCCCAGCCGGCAGGGGTCGAGGCGAGCCTCCCAGAAACGCAGCCGCAGCCGCCGGCTCCCATTTACTACTGCTGCGTGGGGGCCTACCACCCCCCTCCCCCTGGCCTTGAACGTCCCCTCCGGTCCAAGGGGCCGTCGGCGGTACCAACGAGAAATAACTCGTTAGAGAGGAGCTCGAAGTAAGTAAAATATCTACTTTTCTCATATTTAAACAAGTCGCTATAGAATCTAAATGGAGAAGATATATATACTAACAATACCAGCATTTAGTTAGGTTTCTTTTCTCCTTTCTCCTTTCTCCCTTCTTTTCTTTTCTTTTATTTATTTCATTTTTTAATTTTTCTTCATTTATTATTCTATTTATTCATGTATGTTGGTATGTGCCATAGCTCTATCGGAGTTATCCCAGCTAGTTAACTATTCGATCTTAGCGCCTCGCTTGGCTTGTTTACATTTCTCCTCAACCTTGATAACTAAACACTGATACGTACATACAGAACACTGAAAACACCGCAACCGCGACCATCCAACACCGTCGAAGCCGTCTGATCTCATCCAGCCAGCCTTTCTGTCTCGCCTCTTGCTGTTTGGCCGTCGATGCTCATGCATGTTGCCGTGAGTCCGCCTCTCTGCCCGAACCCCCGGCCCGTCTCAGCGTAACAAGTCAGTAAACACGACACTGTATGACGGAGGTCAAACATCCTGGCCGCCAGCAGGCCTTGACCGTTATTCTTCTTTTCTAACACTGGACAGCTCGCCATCTTCCATCAAGGAGTCGTTCTCTCGCCCTCTCGCTCTCTGGACACTCCATCAATTAGATCAAAGCATGCACAGCCCGTTTGTCCGCCATATCAACAAGTGGTATGTGTGTAAATAAACAAAAATCCGCCCGCCACCCACAGATTCACCATCACCACCACCACCCACCACAGTCGACTTCTCGGCTGCTCTCTCCCACCCTCTCTTTCCCGCAGCCACAGTTGTAACGATACTGTTAACGTCAGATCTAACCTGCCGTATAGATAAATGCCCACTCCTCGTACCCCCCGTCGAACCCCCAATCGTGGGAGCGCGAGACCGGCCCAGTTTAAGGAGATTAAACCTCTCGATCTCGGTGAGGCTTTGGGGCCCCATGATTCAGCTACAGTGAGAGAAAAGGTTCGCAAGTGGCAGCAGCTCGGTGGAGGGGTCGTGATAGCGCCAGATGTTGGGGCCGGTAGTGACGAGGACGAAAGCTCGTCAGGAGCCGCTAAGGCGAAGGAGCCAAAGCAAACCCCAAACAAAAGCCCAGCAGCAAGCAAACGGCCTACTACGCCCAAAGAAAAGGCTACTCCGGAGTCTGACCGGAAGACGAAGAGCCCTACCAAGACAAAGGTCACGCCGCGGACAACACCTCGGTCTACACCTAGAACTACACCCAAGAAACGAGTGGTCAGCGATGCCCACTGGCGACGGAACAGGTCTCCTCCTCCCAGCTCCAGTGCCCCCTCGTCTGCGCATGCTACCCCAACTAGACGTAAAGACGTACTACAACGGTATGAGGAGGCCAAGGAAAAGGCAGCAAGGTCATCTGGCATCAAGGACAATGACGGAATTGCAGTCTATCCGGGGCCATTACGGGTCTCCGAAACTCTCAAGTCAACCTCTTCTGCATGGAGTTCTGATGTAGGCTCCTCTGCTGGCGAAGTGACCCCAGACTACAGCGGCCACGAAAAGTCTTCGCCCGAGAAACGTACGCCAAAAAGGACTCTGAGGCCAAATTATTGTGTCAACGATGACAAGCCTCGTCTAGGCTCACCTAGGAGAAAGATCCAATCTCCGGACATACCTCGAGCAAGCAGCCCACGGAAGAAATCTCTTTCACCAAATCAGGCTGAGTCTCCTCCAGAGCCAGCTCCTGCAAAACCTGAACGAGCTGAACCGGTTCGAAGAAGTGAAATCAGGCCGCACAATCTGCTTTCGGGGAACATCATCTCTCAGGTCATAGATGAGTCTAAGAAGATGCTTGCCAGCATAAAATCGCCAGAGCCATCACCACCTCCCCAGCAACATCAGTCTTCTCCGGGACCGTCAGTGCCTCATGGATCCAAGGTCGAGGCCTGGTTATCATCTACAGCCAATGCCGATCCGTTTGTTGACGACAATACTTCAACCATCAGCGCGCCAGAGCCCTTGAGATCTTCGACTGCTAGATCGTCCATCCCACATAAAGAAAACTCGGATAGTGAGTGTGAACAGGAGAGCACGAAGAAACGCCCATCTCCTTCCTCAGACAGCAAAATACGGCCGGCCAAGCCCGTGAGGGGAAAATACGACTACTCCGATGGCAGTGACAGTGACGAAACACATAGGGCCAAGTCCACTCCACGCAGAAGAGAGTCCAAGTCTAATATATCGGTAGACAGTGTCACAGACTCCCAGCCTTCTACTTTAAACCGAGGAAAAGCATCTTCTAAATCGCGACGACACTTGAGCGCATCCACAGAGGCAGAGAGAATGTCTAAGCTGAGAGAGTCAGTCGAAGAAGCTCTGCAAGGGTCCAGTTTGGACAGACCAATTTCTTCCGACGGATCTGAAGTCTCGGCAGTCGATCGTCCACCGCCTTTGATGCTAAAACGGCCTTTCCCTAGTACTGGAGGCCATAGGCTCTCAACAATTGCTTCTGTAGATACTTTAACATCAAGCACCAATACTAGCACCACTGCCAGGGAGACATCAAGCCACCCCCTTACCCAGTCTGAACTGACCTCCCAGCTTGACGATGGGGATGACGATGCAGTCTCCGACTCCGAGAAGAGAGACAAATTTGATCCCAGCTCCTTACCAGGCCCAACACAACCATTGAAGCGCCGGCTTACCAAACATTCGGATCTCATGTCCGTCTTATCAATCCCCGGAGGCAGAAGCCGCAGCATACGGTCCGCTAGAAGTATCCGTACAAACAGGAGCCGTCTAGCCAATGCAACTGTAAGCGATATCATGCGGGAGCTTGCATCGGACGAAGTGAAGTATATGCGTGAATTGAGGACCCTGGTCGGCGGCGTTATCCCTGTGCTATTGACTTCAATTCTCTCTCGGGCGGATTCAGCTATTGCTGCCGGCCTGTTCCGACGTACAGCCGATCCAGCTGACCAGGAAAATTTCACTCGGCCCATTATAAACATGGGAGTTTCTCTAGAAAAACTCAAGGCTCTTCACAAACGGTTGCCACTGAACAACACAGATGCACTCCTGTCGTGGGCCGTAAGTGCCCAAAAGGTGTATGCAGACTATTTGAGTGCCTGGAGACTCGGATTTCAGGATGTTATCGTTAATCTCGCACCCCCCGATCCAGAGGATCCCCTCAAGGCTGAAACCCAGAGCTTGTGCGCTGGTATGGCACAAGATGAAAATGGTGATGTGATTGATGGAGATGGAGAAAGGGTAGATGTTGCATTCTTACTGAAGAGACCCCTTGTCAGGTTGAAATATCTATCGAAGACTTTTAAAGGTCTAAACTACGTCCAGCCATCCCCCAAAGCAGGTGAAGTTGCAGAGACCTACCAGAAGCTAGTCACAGATGCTCGACGGAGAGCAAATGAAGAACGATCCAGGCTTGAGGACGATGCTGCTGCGAGCATAGATGCATCCAGAGCTCGCGATATACATACTCTAGCCATTCTCAAGGATGTGGACGTCAACCAGACCAGGAGGGTTCGTGCCCGCGACTTCTTTGACCTCTCCTTGCTACATTCCACGGGACAACAAATCGACTGCAGGGCCGAGTTATTACTGCGAGATAATGCAGCTGGCGAAGCCCCCGGGGGTGATCTTTTTATCTGTGAGGTTGACGAGACGGACCGTTGGCTTCTGTTCCCCCCAATTGATTGTACCTGCATCTCGGCCAGGAACGGAGACGAACAGGGAGAAATCGTACTCATGGTTCGCGCATCTGCTGGAAATTCAACCGAATGGTACGAACTGTTGTCATTTATAACAGATGACGAGCAAATTGGTTTCGAATGGGTACAAATGATTGGCCTCAATCCTGTTCCGCCCAAGATAAATAGGTCTCTCAGCTTTGTTAACCGTGCAAAGGAGAGGAAGGAGAAACTGGCACAGGCACGTCAAGCTAGTCATAACGGTACAATTCCCATCCGCGATTACGACCCTTCTGAGGTTGATGTGCCCATTGGAGAGAAGGCTACTGTGGTTGGTGAAGATATTGGCCATAAAAAGGAGTCCACCAGCAATAAACATGACCCTGCTCCCCCAACGACACCATCCCGCGGCCCAGGAGAGAACGCAGAATTAACAAGCAGTGTGTCACCATTAACACTAAAGAGGTCCAAGGCAAACCGGCGGTCGAAGTACGATTTTGCCTCACCTACCAGCCCAGCCTCCTCTGGGATTCAGTCACCCAATAGGGAGTCGTCCAATAGACCATCCTCACCTTTGCTGTCTAAGGAAGACCGCCGTGGTCGTGATAGGACTCCATCGCCAACCTATAGCAGCGGAGGCAAACAAGCAAAACGCCCGATTGCATCTCTGGTGCAACCTCACGGGCGCCGCTCCCTATCACCTGTCCCATCATTGGAATTCCCCACAATTCCGAAGCTGAGAAAGAGCTCTAAGGATTCACCTCCTACTTCCCCGAAGAACATCCCCCTTCCCGCTTCTCCGGCTCAAAAGCCAGAGGATAAGGTTGAACCAAGCACGCCTAGCAAGGGGAGGAAATCTCTTGATAAGGGCGAAAAGCCCGCTAGGGCATCCAGTGACGAGCAAGTGTCCAGCGAGGGCGCACCTATACCGCCGCCACATAGCACCCCTAGCCCGGTATCATCAAAACAACTCAAGAGCCCTGTTATCAGCCCGCCAGCACCCCCCTATGCACGTCACCGACGGACCTCATCACCACTTAAGCACGAGTATGCTCCCTCAACCGCCTCAGAGTCTTCTGGGTCAGATACAAGCTCTATTCATCGATATGATGTTGATTCATCGTCCGAAACTTCAGACGAGGAATTGGAGGACGATGATATCCCAACCCCTTTACCACCCATCACTCGCCGCCTCTCCAAGCGGGCACCACCCCTTGAGTCTGTGGATGTTACCCCTACAAATAGCCGACCAACTTCTGCGCACCGGTCCTCACCGAAATCTATTCACAGCTCATCCGACCGGGCGTCCAAAACGACTGCATCAGTATTTTACTGGCACGACAAAGGATCATGGGAACCACTTCACCTTAATGAATGTCATATCATTGTCTCTCCTGGTTTGATTGAAGCATTTGAGCTTGGTTCGAACCACTCCAGACCATCCAGCCAAGGTAATGGATCAGCCTCTGAATCCACTCGACCGTCTGGGCGACCTTTAGTTGCTCTTGAGCTTACCCCCTTGGTACCAATTCGGCGTGGAACAGCCATCGATATAAGTATTCGTTCTCCTCCCACTGCACGGTCCAAAGTTTCCTCTGGCAGCAATGTTATGTTCCGATCCCGCAACCCAGATGATTGTGACAAGCTCTACGGCCTTATCAACCACTCTCGTATTAACAACCCAACATACATTGCTTTGCAAAATGCTGTGCCTTACCCCAGCCAGCCTACTTCAATTTCAAGACAGAATTCTACCCGATCTACTAAGGGTGGCTGGTTCAGCTGGCATGGTGGTTTCTCGAAGAGTAGTTACCGCGCATCTACTGCACCACCTGCCTCTCTGGCAGCCGGAACAGAGAGTAGTGTTGGCACTATGTCCAGTGCTTTCTCTGCACTGAAACGTTTTGGAGCCGGAAGCAAAATGTTTAGCATCGCAAGATCAACACTTACCTCTCGCAATGGCCGTGACGACACAAGCTTATACACCTCTACCTCAACCGGCTCAGGATCAGGACGACGCATCTCTTCAACTAACCCGGAAACCGCAAAGATGGCAGCGGAGGGTGGAATCGGCTTGACAAATGCAAAAATACGTCTATACATCCGTGAATCAGCAGCGAAATGGCGAGATCTGGGAGCAGCAAGACTTACCATTCTGCCTGCAGACCCTACTCCTTCAAATACTCCCCCCAATCACCCTGATGATCAAGAACCAAGCGGCACCTCAAGTCCACCATCCGGCTCTGCTGGAGATCCTGCTGCTCTCTTGGCTGGTAGAATCAGTGCACCAATCAAAGACGAAAAACGTATCCTGATAAAAAGCAAAATCAGTGGTGAGACTCTAGTCGACGCATGCTTGGGTGAAAGTGCCTTTGAGCGAGTCGCTAGAACTGGAATCGCAGTATCCATCTGGGAAGAATATGATGGAATTGCATCTGAAGGCGGTGTTGTTGGTGGATGCTTCAAAGTGTACATGATTCAGATGAAGGGTGAAGCAGAGGCTGCATATACCTTTGGCCTTGTCGGCAAGCTGAGATATTAACCGCCATATGTTATCTTCTGTTCTTCTTGCCCCGTTTTATGCATCTCTAATATTTGTGCTAGCGTGCCGTTATGTTCTATTTCCATATTTACTTGACTTGTTCATAGCATTATACCTCTGCTTAGTTGTTACTCCCCTTCTCTATTTCACGCAAAGATGCACATACACAAGGATTTGAGTGGTTAGTTGTTAATTAGCGACGAATTCGACATTGCAGTTAATAGTCATATCAGTGAGGAATTACCTACAGTCCTCATAGCTAGTATAATTACAGTTAATATCTATTTGGCATCACGAAACGTCACACAATGTAATATACCTTAGATATACTCCGGTTTAAGAATACCACAGTTAATACTTCATCACAAATCACCTAGTATTGTTGGAACTCTAGTGAGCGACTTGAGTACCAACTAGGGGATACCCGGGCATATAAGTGAAGTTGAAATAAAATTGACACGAGGTTTGTTGGTGTCACTTCCTATCTGGGCAGGTACCGGGAGGATGACATAAGCATCCATGAATAATTCCCTGAATGTCGGGACTTTGGAAGTGACGTCATAACTTATTGTGCCAAGGAACATTCGTGAAGGCGCTGGACAAGGCGCGAAACATCGACAAGGCTCACGATGCAGGCGGAATAAGCGCCCAAGGGGATATATATGCACACGCATGCGAGTCTTTGTTTACAATTAACCACTTTGCTAACAACTATCGTTTTCCAGGGTGCTTTTCAAGAAAACAAGCACACCAGCTCACACACACATATATATAACCGAAACAGCCCTAAACACACACATACTGGTTACCCCTCGACCCCACGGCCACGATGGCTCCCAGTCGTGAGTCGTTTACCGACAGGTCCTACAATGCTATAGAGAAGGCAGCAGACGAAGCAGAGGAGCATGGCCACCCACAGGTGGTGCCAGCTCACCTTGGTTACGTTCTCATGAACGGAGATGACGAGGAGGGGCGGGATGACGTCTCGATGTTCAAGCAGGTCATCGAGAAAGCCGGAGGAGACCCGGAAGCGATGACTCGGTACTTGAAGAAAGTCATCGTCCGACTACCCGCCCAGTTCCCGGCAGTCTCCCAAGTCTCCGTCTCTTCCGCTCTGAGCGAAGTCATGGCTGCTGCCTACAAACTTTCAAAGAAACAGAAGGACTCTTACGTTGCAATCTACCACCTTATATCAGCGCTTGCGCAAGAAAGGTCTATCGAAGAGGGACTTAAGGAGGCCGGAGTCCCGTCTGCCAGCAAAATCGAAGAGGCTCTCACAGAAATACGCGGCTCGAAGAAGATTGACAGCAAAACCGCAGACTCGACTGATGGTGGAAACGAATGGCTAAAGAAGTTTACAGTTGACATGACCGCCCTAGCCAGGGAAGGAAAAATTGACCCCGTCATTGGGCGGGAGGAAGAAATGCGAAGAGTTATTCGCATTTTAAGCCGACGAACAAAGAATAACCCTGTCCTGGTTGGTGAGCCCGGAGTTGGAAAGACAACTGTTGTCGAGGGCCTGGCGAGACGTATCGTCAACTCAGACGTGCCAGCAAGCTTGGCCAAATGCAAGCTGTTATCCCTCGACATAGGCGGCCTTATCGCCGGCGCCTCATACCAGGGCCAGTTTGAGGAACGAATCAAAAACGTGCTGAAGGAAATTGAATCTTCAGAAGTGACCATCATTCTTTTTATCGACGAAATCCACATGCTCATGGGCGCTGGCGCCTCTTCCTCCGGCGGAATGGATGCTGCCAACCTTTTGAAACCAATGCTCGCAAGAGGTCAGCTACACTGCATTGGAGCAACGACTCTTAATGAATACCAGAAGTATATCGAGAAGGACTCTGCTTTCGAACGCCGTTTCCAGCAGGTCCTGGTCGCCGAACCCACGGTTCCGGAGACCATATCCATTCTGCGAGGTCTCAAGGAGCGATATGAAGTACATCATGGAGTCAACATCCTAGACTCGGCCATCGTGTCCGCAGCGACACTCGCTGCTCGCTATCTCACCACACGACGACTTCCAGATTCCGCTGTTGACCTTATTGATGAAGCCGCTGCATCAGTAAGGGTAACCCGTGAATCCCAGCCAGAAGCCCTTGATCTCTTGGAGAGACGGCATCGCCAACTTCAAATTGAAATCCACGCGCTGGAACGCGAGCAGGATAAAGATTCCAAGGTGCGTCTGGAGAATGCGAAAAAGGAGGCCGAGGCCGTCAATGCGGAATTAATTCCACTTCGCGACAAGTACATGAAGGAAAAGGAGCTTAGCCAGACCATCCAAGAGGCCAAGATCAAGTTGGAGTCTCTCAAAGTACGACTCGACAGTGCAACACGCTCAGGAGATACCCAAAGGGCCTCAGACCTGGCATACTATGCCATCCCCGACGTGGAAAAACGAATCAGCGCGCTGGAAAGTGCAAAAGCCAAAGCTGATGCGGCCCGCGTGAACGCCGGAGGAGATGATAACTCCCTTGTTGTGGATGCCGTCGGGCCTGATCAGATCAATGAAATTGTTGGACGATGGACAGGAATCCCTGTTACTCGACTGAAGACAACCGAGAAGGACAAGCTGCTAAACATGGAGCAGCAGCTATCCAAAACCGTGATTGGCCAAAAGGAAGCTGTCAAGTCAGTGTCGAATGCTATTCGGCTGAAAAGATCAGGCCTTAGCAATCCAAACTCGCCTCCAAGCTTCCTCTTTTGCGGTCCATCGGGAACAGGAAAAACACTCTTAACCAAAGCCCTGGCTGAATTCTTGTTTGACGATCCAAATGCCATGATTCGCTTCGACATGTCTGAGTATCAGGAACGGCATTCGCTCAGCAGGATGATTGGTGCTCCTCCAGGATACATCGGTCATGATGCTGGTGGTCAGTTGACAGATGGCTTAAGGCGTCGACCATTCTCGATTCTGCTATTTGATGAGGTCGAAAAGGCTGCAAAGGAGATTCTCACTGTTCTCCTACAGCTGATGGATGATGGTCGTATCACCGATGGCCAGGGTCGCATTATTGACGCCAAAAACTGTATTGTCGTCATGACCTCCAACTTGGGTGCAGAATACCTGAACCGCCCAACTCTTCCCGATGGCTCAATCGATCCAACTACCAGACAATTGGTCATGGGTGCATTGAGCGACTACTTCCTCCCCGAGTTCCTTAACCGCATTTCAAGCACCGTCATCTTCAACCGACTTCCGAAGCGCGAGATCCGCAAGATCGTGGATGTCCGACTGGCTGAGATCCAGAAACGGCTTGACAGCAACGGTCGTAGGGTGAAGATCATGTGCTCACCCGAGGTGAAGGACTACCTTGGCAAGGCAGGTTATTCACCCGCATACGGTGCTCGACCATTAGCCCGTATAATCGAGAAAGAGCTTTTGAATAACCTAGCCGTTTTCATCTTGCGAGGAAGCATCAAAGACGGAGAGGTTGCTCGGGTCGTGATGCATAATGGAAAGGTCACGATTGTCCCGAACCATAAGGATGACTATCCAGATAAAATGGACACTTCTTCTGATGACGAGGACTATGATACCGAGGATGACGATGAGGATGAGGAAGGTGATGCCGAAGGGCTCTACAAGTGAGCCTAATCCGTTTTGGCAAGATGGCTAGCCAGTTTCATTTCACTGCTGATTCTTTTCTTTTCTTTTCTTTTCATTTATTTGTTTTTGATACGATATTGTCACGATATGCATGCTTTTCCTTTGATTATCTGGGTTACCTGGCACCTTGATTTGATTTTCAATACACAAAAAAGCCTTCTTCATTTGAACGTTAGCACGCACTCATAAAGTTGCGATATATACCCGAAATTTCATATCTACTTTCATAATCCGCTCCGTTGAATACTTATTTTTTTTAGCATATAACTAGTGGGTAGAATCTGAAAAAAGTTGATCAAAACCATATTAAATGCCTCCAGAATGCTCTATGGAAGTAGGTATGCAGAAACTGTAATTTGAGTAATAAGTTTTCAGATGAGTGAGATTATCAGTACGGAGTAGCTAGACCATGATCCATCCTTCCAGCGATATCCCGTATTTGGCAGACAGGAATAAAGTTTTGGGCAAAGGAATGATCACGTGACAACGCGTTAGCCCGAGGTACCTTGACGCGTGTAACGCTTAAATTAATACTTTGGACTCCGCGAACATCGACGGCATCAACTTCATGTTATTTTTACATTAGGCAGTAGACCAGGCAAGCTACTTGAAATGCTATGCTGGTGCAATGTCATTCAAGCCATTCCGTCCCCCACTTCCCAGAAAGCCACAACCCTCGACCACAACTGCCACAGCGCGCGTGCCTTCAATCTCTGAAGAGCCTTTGCGTAAACGAAGGCGGGTGAACACCTGTGATGATGATGGGGACAATGAAATAGTGAAAACTTGCGATAATGAGACATACTACAGTGTTCTTTGGTAAGTATATAAATTATCTGTATTGTATTGACTTAATTATGCAAAGCTAACGGCTGAAATATACTTAGGCGCAAACCTACCGCTAAGAAGAATAAAACTTGGGATGGAGACGGAATCATCATTGTTCGTGGCGGTTACGGCTACCTACAGGATGTGTCTGGGCGGGAAATGGGCAAGATTATGCTGAGATCTAGCCTGGAACCCGGAGCCTCATTGTCTATAAGTGGTAAGGATGTCGAGGTGGAGTCAGTGCTTAGCCAGAAGGAATTCCTTTCCACTTCAAACGGAGCGCAGAAAGAGAGCATTGAAAAAAAGAGTAGAATTGCAAATACTCCATCCAATCACTCTTGCCTTCCTTCTAATACAGTCTCGAAACCCGGAATGAAAATTTCGCTGAATGATTTGAAGATACAAAAACCCCTTAATGTGTCTGCCCCGCGGAGTTATGCCACCAATAGCTCCTTTAAGAACCCTCAAAAGCAGTCCACCGTTTTACCACAGGGATCAAGCGGGCAGATAACCCCTAGGCATGACCCAACTCTACCTGGCGCTGTGGTAATGAAAAGGCCTAGCTCAGTCCCCGCTGGAAAACAGATAGTAGATGTCGTCGTTGACCCGATTCTAGGGAAACATCTAAGGGAGCACCAGAGGGAAGGTGTGAAGTTTCTTTATGAGTGTGTTATGGGGCTGCGGCCTTTCAATGGTGAAGGAGCTATTCTAGCCGACGAAATGGGCCTAGGGAAAACTCTGCAAACAATAGCCTTAATTTGGACCCTACTGAAGCAGAATCCCATATACGGTTCTCAGCCAGTAGTCAAGAAGGCCCTAATTGTGTGCCCGGTTACCCTTATTAACAACTGGAAAAAAGAATTTAAGAAATGGCTAGGCAGTGATAGAATTGGGGTATTTGTTGCTGATGGTAAGGGAAATCGAATATCGGATTTCACAATGGGACGAAGCTATAGTGTTATGATCATTGGTTATGAGAGGCTACGCTCTGTGCAAGATCAGCTTACGAAAGGACCTGGGATAGACATTGTTGTTGCTGACGAGGGCCATCGGCTGAAAACTGTGCAAAACAAGAGTGCTCAGGCCATTCAATCTCTAAACACTACACGCCGAATTATTCTTTCTGGGACACCAATCCAGAACGAATTAAGCGAATTCTTTGCTATGGTGGATTTTGTCAACCCTGCCCTCCTAGGAACGTTTAAGTCATTTATGAGGGAGTTTGAAGGCCCAATTGTTGGAGCTAGACAGCCAAATGCTCCTAAGAAGGTCATCGAAAAGGGGAAGGCTAGAAGTGAAGAACTGGCGGAGTTGACGTCACCGTTTATCCTCCGCCGGACAGCTGATATCCTTTCAAAACATTTGCCACCAAAAACAGAGTATATATTATTCTGCAATCCTACTTCTGCGCAGAGAAGTGTATACCATCACGTTCTCGCCTCTCCTATGTTCCAGTCCGTGTTGAGAAACTCCGAAAGTGCTTTACAACTTATCACTATTCTGAAGAAAGTATGCAACAGCCCCTCGTTGCTTAAGCCGAAGGTAGAGGATAATGGCAAATGTGAAGACACATCAATGAGTGCTTTATTATCCTCTCTCCCGCCGAGTATCCATCGCTGTCTTGCTGCGGGTTCCAGCGGGAAGATCAGGGTTCTCGATCAATTGCTCTATAACCTACAGAGTAAAACAACAGAGAAAGTCGTCCTGGTGTCCAACTATACTTCTACGTTGAACCTGCTAGCGAATCTCCTGACATCGCTAGACCTCCCATTCTTGCGCCTAGATGGTTCTACACCTGCCACCAGACGTCAGGCTCTGGTAGAGGATTTCAATCGCTCTCCATCTTCATCTTGTTTTGCATTCTTACTTTCCGCAAAAGCAGGGGGTACAGGGCTGAACCTCATCGGAGCCAGCAGGCTTGTACTTTTCGACGTGGACTGGAACCCAGCAACTGACATCCAGGCAATGGCAAGAATTCATCGAGATGGCCAGAAGCGACACTGCCATATCTACCGTCTGTTGCTCAAAGGTGGAATAGAAGAGAAGATCTGGCAGCGACAGGTGACTAAGCTTGGTTTGGCAGATAGCGTTATGGATCAAAAGGGTGGCATAGCTCATTTTTCACAGGAGGAATTGAAAGATTTATTCCGTCTGGATGAGAGCTCCAAGTGCCAAACTCACGAATTATTAGGATGCGAGTGTGGTGGTCGGGGAGAGACGCCTAAGGGTATAAAGGAGGAAGACAACCTTTGCGCAGAATCAACCTCTGTTTCTTCTTCCGAGGATGACGACCATGAGCTGGAAGATTCAGACGACGAGTTCCCTGATCTTCCAAAGCTGATGAAAGCGTCGGAGCTCAAGATATCTGAAGCACCTCAACCTTTATCTAAACGGCAGAGAGCATATGAGAGAGCCAAAAAGCGTTTCTTAATGCAATACGCCCATGTTGACACTACCTTGCTGAACACCGGAGGAGAACAAGATGTTGACGGAGAGGAGGCCGTCTATGATACAAACACAAGTATTGAAGCAATTATTGGAGATGAAGTTCTATTGTCATTGCTAAAAGAAGAGAAAAGTGGAGTGGGATATCTGTTTAAGAAGAATGGCTTTGCGAATGCTCCATTGCTCGTTGATTAGAAACTGAGGACTGGGCTGGTTGCATTAAATTAAATAGAGATGTAGAGATATATTAACAATACCAGAATTTGTACGGGGTATTTATAGGTCATTTCCCTTTTATCTTCTTTTTGAAATGCTTGATATTGATATTGTCATGAAAAGGGGGTTGACATCACCTTTAAAGCGTACGTCAATCGTGACCGTTGGATAAATGTAAATAAACTACTTTTAGTTCCTCCTCATTTAGCCAATCATAATCCTCACAAAATACCTAATCTCGTAATTAGCGTTGTTGATTGGATGTTTCATTTTAAAGTTTAGAGGTACCCGGCCAAACTGACTGCAAACAAAAACACCCAACGGCGCTTCCTTCCGCCGAGCTGATGCCACATGCTGTGGGCCTTTTCTCGCACTGTAGCTGGATCATGACGAGTGAACAGACATTGCAGATTGTATTTTACATCTATCCACAATTAATGACTGAATTATGAATTACTAACCAGCGCGCCCTACTAGCTATGATGTATATTAGGTATAAAATATGAGGCAACAATCATGCAAACACCATGGTCTAGATGCATACTGGGAAGAATAATTGCGGTGGGTCCACGGATAACCACAGAACTATTAACTTGTTACTATTACTTAAGTTCATCTACTAATTTCTGCTTGGGTATGCTGGTGGGAATAAACAATATGCAGGAATTTGATCCACAATTTATACAGAATGTGCATCCAATTAAAGAGATTTTGGATTTAGGGACGGAGTTAATATTATGTATCTTGGTATATGGGTAAGTATATGCCTGCGACTCGTCTTTCATAGACGTTACCAGTGGGTTGTAGTAGTTAACCAGGCAGGAAACATTGTCTTTTATTCTTGCGTTGGCGGTCTTGTAGGAGTAACTAACTAATAGTAGTAGTTTAATGTTCCTTTACTCGTGGCGCCCGTGCTGGTAATTCAGGGCGGAAAGACGAGGCGGAGGGATAGGAAGAATAGCAAGGTCAGGAGGGACAGGGGGAGAGGAGGAGGAGGGAGAGAATGTCGGTGGTGGTGGTGGTGGTGATGATGATGAGAAGGAGGATGAGAATGCTGGCAGTAGTATGTTGTTTTTGATAACGACGCTGACGCGACACGGCGAGAACGACGCCAGTCTCCGTAGCTGACAAATGTTGTGTTAATACAAATTGATGTCTTTGGATGTCCGTAGATAAGAGCTGGGAGTTGACGCTTACTTGGCCAGCAGCCGGCGCAAATGGCCAGTTCTGAATGCGGCAATTAAGATGGCCAAACTATGGCCACGAAGTGGTACATATTTAAGGTCTGGATGGTCTTGTCTATCAATGAGGTTTCAGTAATCATAATATTAGTAGCGGGAGCAGTGATTATAGTGCATGATCTATCTAGAAGGTAGCGTCCGGTCTAATTACAATTGCATATCTATTGAAGAAGACTGAATATGTCCGTTGAACATCGTGCTCGTAAGACGGTCGTGGAGTCTATTTAAAAAACAAGGTTGAGTAGAAGACGAGGATATCACTGGGCCTTGCGGTTAATGGTAGCGGCCTTCATGTACTGGATCGATTTGGTGATGATGCCTATGCTCTGGCACATGTAGTCTGTCACAGTCAGTATGGATACCCGAGAGACAGATAGGAGCCGACTTACAGGCAGGCACGACGATCCAGATGGCGTTCATGGTGAAATAGTAAAACCAAAAGTAGTATCCCTCTGGCCGGCAGTAGCTGATCTGGTGGAAGTAGTGGTCGAACATGCTAGTAGCGTAGTAGAGGATGTCTCCGTATATTTGGCCCAGGGAGACAATCACCTGGAAGGAATGGCGCAGAGGGTGATCGACGGTAATAAGATATGCGAGCAGGAAGCACAATGGGCCCCAGCAAACCTATTCTTCATCAGCTTTATGCCCTAGCAACCAGGACCTCTTCCTTTCTTCCTTTAAAATAGGGGTAAGGGTATCGAGTCTCACCGCAGTAATGGTCTCCATGCACAGCACAAACGGGTCCGAGGTGAGGTACCGCGAGTCCGAGAGAGAGTATTCCTTCCACAGCTGGCCAAAGAAGTCCTGCGCTGGTGCCATTCGAGTGTGGTTATACACAAAGTAGCCCTCGAAGAAGAAATGGATGCTACCGCCTGGTCAACCGTTAGCAGCCAAATCTCTCAAAACTAAATACTAGCACCAGCACAGGGACAAGCTACTCACTCAGGACAAACCACAGGATGGCCACCTTGTCGCCCATCTTCAGGCTGGGGCGAGCAACAGAGACCACCGCCAGCGTCAGCAGAAGCAGCGCGCCCCATCCTCCAAGAAAAGCGCATACCAGCGTCGGGACGTCCCAGTCGTTGGCCAGGTATCCGACCACTTTGGCGTCCAGCGGGTAGTATGGGTGTGCAGGCTCCATGGCAGCTCTCTCGTCTCTCGTCTCTCGCTCTTCTCGGCTAACCTCTGCCCGGCGAAGGTGAATTGGTGTCGTGATTGAGATGTTGAAGCTGTGAAAAAGCAGAAAAAAGGAGAAAATCTGAATAGGGCAACTAAAGTTTGGGTGATAACTAGTGCCGGTCACAACCACCACCACCACCACAACGGTAACTGCAACGACGACGACGACGCACACACACACAGACAACGAGACGTGACAGCAGCAGTCATCGAGACTGTGAGTGACTCTGGCGGCGCGGAGTCATGCCCTCAGACAGCAGACTGGCGAGGATGGACTTAGCCTTCGACTCGCCCGGCGATCCCCCAGGCATCACAGCCTTGTTCCTGATCCGCTTTGACATCAGAGCCGGGTAAAGCCCCCAGTTGTTCTCTGCTGCCTTTTCTGCTTCTCTAGCTAATTACAAGGGTTTAACGGTAGATATACGATTGCCTGGAAGAAGACGGCTTCAGAGAGTACGTTTGACCCTCCCCTTGCCGCAGCGTTCACTCCTGACGGACGACCTCCAGTTGTACTTGACAATGCGGTGGAATTCAAATCTCTACCCTCCGGCGCACACAACGTCAAGGAGGACCTAGTGTAGGTGTTTCGCCCCTGGAGGAGGATAGGCTGCTAGTCGAATGCTTATATCGGGTAGATACTTCGTCCATGATCGATACATAGGCCTCAGCGCCTTTATCAACCAACCCGCGGGGGAGGCGGAGCGCAATGCGATTATGCTCTCAGTAGGGATACTTGCGCCTCTTAGCCATGGCAGGCTCGGGAGAAGCTGGAAGCACGCTGCAGGTCTCAAAGAACTTGCCATGTATGCCTTTTCATTGCTCTTTCAGACTTTGTTCTGATGGCTACTCCTTGCTGACCTTGTGATAGACAACTAGCAGCCGACCCGGACGAAACTCAGCCATTGGCTAGCTACTGGGACAAGCACCAATTGAGAGACAGCGAGGGCAGTTCACCGCCCGAGTCGCCATTAGAATCCATGTCCTATCCTAAACCAACCTCCGTGCCGCCTGCCAAACGTCGACAGCGTGCTCTAAGTGATGCGACTGCGCTTATATCAAGTCGCACACTTCCGTCATACCACCCTGCATTGACTCTGCCGGACTTCCTAGACACATTCGGGCCCTTGATATTCCCTTTATATCGGGCAGCGCTCTTGCGGAAACGCATAGTCTTCCTTGGTGATGCTCCGGTCGAGTCATCTTGTAATTTTAGTACGTTTACCCTTTGAAGATACTCACGCTCGAGAGTGACAAGTGAACTAACTTCAATCAGTATATAACATATCCCTACTATCATCTCTTCCTCAGAACTTGCTACCCCTCCTTCCCTCCACCAAAGATATACCCAGTTTCCGACCACGACCTCTATTCAATATTGGCATACACGACATGGCCCAGCTCTCCGCCCTGTCCAGCACTGATCCATGCTGGATAGCTTGTTCCAGTGACCGCGTTCTCGGGCTACGGCCAGAACTTTACGACGTACTCGTTACCCTTCCACCAAACTATTCCAGGCAAGCACCTGAAAGAGTATACCCCAAAATGTCCCTTTCCCCTCCAGCTGCTGCAGGTCAGCAGAAGGACCCAAAAGCGAAATCTACTCCCATAAAAGCTACACAACGAGACAACCGTCGATTCATAACGTTACGAGATGGGCTCAGAGAGTTTTCGCGGCTAGGCGAGATATCTGGTCCTGACAGAGAAGACTCAGATAACGCGTCCACTTTCTCATCAAGTTCCCTGGTTGAACCGATCTCCTGGCCTTTACTAGCATATACATCTTTCATATGGTGGGCATCTGCTGGTGAAAAAGGCGCAGGACCATCCGATGAAGAGGCAGAACAAGATGCAGAACTTCTCCAGATATCCAGTGACGACACGGAGGTTGTAGACGACCATTCAAACCCGAATTCGCTTCGCCGTCGAGGGTCAATGGTCATTCCAGATGCCAATAATACGTCTCAGGAAATAGCTTTAATAACTTACTTCAGACGATTGACCACCCACATATTCACTATCTTATTCGACATCATCACTCGCCAGACTGAAGAAGACTTGGACGAGTCTCCCGACCTCAGCAACCAGAGCGAAACGTCCTCACTTCGCCGCTACCGCGACAATGAGGGCGAAGAGCATGAGGATGATGAGCAGAACTCTTCTACGCTTGTAGGCGAACATGATGATCAGCCGCTCTTGCGTACGCCAGACGAAGAAGAAGGCGTTATCACAATCACTTCCTCGGATATAACTAACATGGGCCTTGATGCCTGGAGTCATGCCGATAAAGTCTTCGTTGTAGAGCTAGTGAATGTATGGTGGGGGCGGAAGGCGCAGGTTGAGGGATCTCATATCCAATGCTGTGGTGTAAGAATCATATAACTAGGTGGAAAGTCTTGTATAGTTTGGTATATTTACTTATGATGCATATCAACTATTACTTTCAGAGCATATCCCTTGTTATATACTCCTTTCATGTAGCCTTAATGTTGACCAAAATGGTGAAGTTATCGCAGAGATATGAAATAACATATTGACTATAGGATAGATTTAAGAAAAAACTAATCTATCAAGGCCTATATACTCCTATAACTCCAATTTTGTCCGGCGAGATAGAACGCTAGATAAGAAGAACGGGCTCGAAAATAGTTGGAACAAGTTAGGTCATGGCATATGCATCGTAAAAAGGGGTAAAATGAATTATGAATGCAACGCTATGAGTGAGGTGGAAAGACATAAAAAACTAAACCATTAAAAGGGGTTCTAATATAATGCACTTGCTGCAATGCGGGAGCATGGACAGGGGATAAAAATTCGGATAAAACCCTCGAGATATAAAGAAATTGGACTCCAAAGGCTACTAACGCCTTTGGATACTAAACTCTAGTATCCATGGCCGGCAGCAGAAAGCCCACGGCGGCCAGGTTTGGCACGGTTGACCGTACCTTCAGCTCTTGATAGGCTTCTTACTCCATTGCTGGGCGTTGAGGCTCCACTGACGACACGGGGACGATGGCTCGCATCGTTTGCGCTGGCAGACCGTTTAAGGGCGCTTTGTGTACGGCCACGTCGTGCTCGAATCTGAGCCAGGGCCTCTTCACGACTAATGGGAGTACCGGGAAGTTTTGCAGATAAATCGGTTGACGGTTTTTCGGAATTGAGCGGGACCGTCTTTGTGGTTGTAATTGTTTCAACCTCAGCTGTGGTATTGTTTTGACGCTGGCGTTGTTCCAAGGGGAGAGGCGTCACGTAGCGTTTCCGAGGGTTTGTATCAGCAGGCTGCTCTTGGATACGCGATCGTGAAGATGGAGGTTGATTATGAGAGGTCTCTAATGCCGCAACTGATGGTGGCTCTTGATTTCTCTTCTTTGGTTCTCCCAGGTTTGGAGCCGGAATGGGTTCGTCACGAAGCGATCGCCTTAGATTCGGAGGTGGATCTGCATGATTTACTGGAGGACGATTATTTGGCTGTTCACGTCGCATTGTCTCTGCTTTGCGTACTGGGGACGGAACTGTTTTGAAAGTCCCGGTATCTGGACAGAAGACAACATCAGGTTCAACGGGGGAACCATCGCTTGCTGGGTCAGGTTCAGGACAGTCAACGTTATCATCCTCTGGAGTGGGAGATCGTTGAGCTATCTGTAACTGCGGCGACGGCTTCCTGGCAGGCGATGGACTGGGTATATTTGCAACTGCCTTTTTCTGTTGATTCTCAGCAGGACTTATCTTTTCCCAACCCAAGTCGTGCACATATTTAACCCCTTGTCGTTCCGCAATCCTGCAAGAGCACCTTTTAAATTGACATTCCAGCTTCAAGAAGTCAATCATATCCTCTGCCCGTCTTCGCATTAGCTTCTCCCAACGTAGATCCTCCTCAAGCTCTAGTATTATTTCTCTTTCGTTATCAATTAGCTTCAAAGGCTCATCCTCCTGCTCAACTGGTACCATGTCGTGGCCAGGCGTTAATTTTGTGGGTGATGTCAAGCTAGACCGGAAGTCAGGTTGGTGTTGGGCGCTCTTTTTCCGGACTGGTGACATTTGGTCCCTTGAATCAGGCTGACCACGCTTTTTCCCTCTCAACGCCGGGCTTCCTGACATGAGATTTATGCTTGACCTCTGGACTCTGCTTCTTGGTGTTTCTCCTCGCATCATTTCCGCTTGCGCCTCGAGAATATCTGACTGGTTATCCGTCTCGAAGGCCTTGATCTGTTCCTTTAGCACTTCATTTTCCTCTGTCAAACCTGCCAAAGCATACGCGCGTTCAAATGCCTCTTGTCTAGCTTTGTCCTTGGCTTCTCGTTCAGCCTTGACCTCATCCTTGAGGTTCTTGATCTCTCCTCGGGAGGACTTCAATTCCTCTTGTGCCTTGACCAAATTGGAGCCGGCACGAAACGCTTCCTTCCTGGCACGCCGTATCTCTTTTTCGAACAGTGTTCGCTCTTGTGACTGTCGTTCTTTGAAGGTGTGTAGCTCCTCGAGTAATGACTCGAGTCGTTCACTCACTCGTCTTTCCCGTTGCCTTGCCTCGTTCAACTCCTCAGTTGTTGCTTTCAATGCTTCTTCGGCTTCCTCGCGGCCCAATATCGCTCTTTGCAAAGCGGCATGTGTGGTCGATGACAATGGCAGCGGCGCGGGGCTGCTGGGGCTCGCAAGTTTGTTGAGAAACGCAACTTTAGACTGGACATCGACAGAGTGCTTGTCCGATTTGGATTGCAGATACGCTAGATCCGAAGACACTGGGGATGCTCTGTTCATTGTCTGCTGGTTGATGCGACGCGGTGATAGTGGATGAAGGGGCGAGCCCGTTTCTCGAGTGTACTTCAGCGACGACGACTCCATGGCGCATTGACTGTCTCCTGGGAAGCAGGTTGTATGTCACTCCTTGAAGTTATGTCCTACCTCGCTGTCGACGGTGTCTCCTGTCAGTCGTCTGTCTGTCCAATGTGTGGTGTGTAATGATGTGATGTCTAGGTGTCTGTGTGTTTCTTGGATCCTTGTTTATTTCGTAAAAAGAAAAGTTTTGTTGCTCCGAGCAACGCGTATTATGTAATAATAATATCACGTGAGTGCTTATATCCATGGATGACTGGAGGTCGGAAAGGCTCTTTTTCAACGACGACGACGCCAGGAGAGAAGAAGACGGAGGATAAGATGATAGAGACAGCGGTCAACCACTTGTGCTGATTTTTGATGCTATGAGTTCTGGTTTTTTTTGCCGTGGTAGGCTCGAGAAGTGCTCTATAACCTGCATACCTGTGTGCCAGGACAAAATAAACCACAAGCGAGTAAATTATCTCCACAAACTGCTGAAGATCGCAACTTCGGCTCCTTCAGCTTTTGCATATTTATAATCGAGAGCTCTCCCGGTGTAAAGGAGCAATAAATGACAAAAAAATGCATGAGATAATTACCCTCCAGCTTGGACAGCGCAGTAATTATGTGGCTACCCATTTCTGGAATGCCCAGGTACGAGCTCCGATGGCCCCGCGATTGGGCTGGGTGGCAAGCTGATTGATATTAGGAATCATATTTTACATATTCGGAGAATGAACAGTCACCAGTTAATCATGATATCCATTTTCGTGGAGGTATAGGGGCTGATGGGACAGAGACGTTCACTCCCCGTACTCTTATCTACGACCTGAAGGGTGGATTTGGCACACTGCGCAAGTACAATGCTCTATATCAACTTGAGGAAGATCAACCTGGCCTGGATAGCGGGCTTTGGTGAGTAATATAAATGATAACTGAAACTGAATTATCGCATTTTCCTTCTTGTCTTTTATAGTTGACGTCCTAACATAGTGACGACATAGGGACACAAGCGGAGTCTTGCAGCAGCAGCCTAAGATACCGCAGATTGAATATCAAAGATGCCTCGATATGGGGCTCCCGGTTCCTGAGTTGACTGCAGAAACCGTTAGATACTGGTCCGACTTCAACCGTGTGTTTTACAGCCCACGCTCTATCCAGCAAATCAATGAGTACGACCTTGGTTCCCAGCTGATGCCGTTTGAGGACTGGTCCACGGGGCAGAGTCTTTTTTCCGACCTGGACAGAGAACATGACCTACTGGACCGTGATTTACGGCCTTTTGCGGAAGAATGTGACCAGTTAAAGGGGATTCAGATTTTTTCCGGAGTGAACGATGCATGGGGTGGTTTCACGGCAAGTTATGTAGGCCGCCTGAAAGATGAGTACGGAAGCAAGAGTATTTGGACATGGGCTCTAAATGATTCATCCAGCCCACAACGAGTAAGTCGGCCGCTCCTGTTTCATTCTTACCATGGCTTCGAATCGTATTCTAACTTCCGAGAACAAGGAAAAACGTAAGCTTGCCTCTGCGAACCTAGCAAGGTCAGTGAGCGAGATAGGCAGTCAAGTCACAGCTTTCATACCCATTGCAGACCTGCCAAGCAGGATAGCGCCCTATGTGAAGCCAGACCTGCGCCATACATGGTACTCATCGGCCCTGATATCTTTGGCGCTCGAGAGTATCAGCCTTCCCACTCGACTAAGAGGGCATGAAGCGCTCGACCTCTGGGAAATAGCTTCCCGAGATTCACGGAACATATATCATCTCGAATCCACCGTAGGCACACAGGAGTTATCTGGTTTTGCTACCGATAGGGGGGGTTCAGGACAGGACATATCTGGATCTGGAGTCAGTCATGGCCATGATGATGACGATGATGGACACCAAGAAAAGCTGAAACAGTTTGATGTTGAACTCTCTCCACGCGGTCTTGCATCAACCCATGACAGCAGGGTGTTCCATCAACTCTCGGTTAGAAGAGACAGAACTAGTGATAAGTCTAGTTCTTCAAGCAATACAGCGCCACCTGTAAATACGAGCTCCAAGACCCAGAGGTAAGTCTTTGTAACCATCCCATCACCCTCAGTTTCTTCGCAGCAAAACTGCAGGGAGATAGGGAGGCCGAGAACTTTCGAAACAGTACTAAAACAGTTGCTAGCTTCGATACACAACTAGAATACCCAGTACTAGACTCCTTCCCCCGTGACTTAGTCGCGGGCCAAGGGCCACCAGGGTCAACGCTCAAGGTCGATGCGGCGCTATCTATATCCTCACAAGCAAGAGGATATCTCAAAGATTTGCAGCAGTCGATGGGGATCTACGTCCCCTTTGACCAACGCGAAGAATTATCGAATTGCCTAACTACGCTATCTGAGGCTTATATTGATGGATGGGAGAGCGATAGTGATTCTGGTGACGATTGAGACAGTCTCCGTCTGGTGTTAATTAATTCTTCACGAGATCAACACTTGCTGAACATCTTCCCCCACACCCCCTGATCTGCAATAAGGTTCAATGAAGCCCCAGAAATCCCTGGAAGGCAACATGTGTGATGGCACAGACGACTCTACCACCGCTCGCTGCTTGCCACCTGAATGCAGCCAAAGCCGACTCTGTGCCTTCCAACATATTATTCCAGAATCGAACCACACTCCTAGACGCTGATGAGAGAGGATTGATATCTTTATGAAGAAGAAGAAGAAGAAGCAGATGAGAATGCCGATGTTTCTCGGGTTTTTCCTTTAAGCTTCTGCTCTCCACACAAGGATCGCCCTTTTTTTTCAGGTACGGTGGCATATTTTCAACAGTCATTTTTTCATCTCCGCAAAGAAGGTACCAGCCAATAAGAGGCTCCAAATCGCTAACCGACCCATCCCACCATCACTGTTTATTTTTCTTTTCTATATTTTCTTTCCTGTCTATTTGCATCTGTCTCTCCACTAATCTCCACCAGCGCATGTTCCCCAGATCCAGCCACGAGAACAACACTTTTCATGGAAGTCCCTTCGTATACCACGGTGCATACAGCATGCTTAGAACAGCGAAATGGTCTGATATAAGTGGCGAGGCGCTCTTTACACAGTCTAGCCAGGAAGGAGTCGTGCAGTGCCTGCATCAGTTAGACGACTTGACGGCCCAGCATTCAATTCGGGTACTCCGTAATGAGTTCCATGTTGGACAGAATGGTATTCAACAATAAAAGATATTGAGGCCGGAAAAAAGTAAAGTTGCCGCCAAGGAGAAGGTGCTGTTAATTCAGAAGAGTAGACTGGCACACCAATGGTGATAGCACAGCGGTTGCATAGAGAGCAAGTGTGCGTCGCTGCACAGGAATGCTCGGTCCATTCTTGATAGCATCGAGGGCTTCAATCCTTCAAAAGATGCCTTCGTCTCTTTGATTTCGAAAGCGAAGATTTCTCGTGGCTGAACCAAAAAGCAATTGATGGCGGGCTTGTCTCACAAGTTAGAATCCGGCTTTGCCACTTGCAGCACACTCTGGGAATGCTGCCATTGTTCACACCTACCTGCTTTGAGCATTGTGAGAGGATTCCGATACTGCCTGAAGGCAGTGACAGTTGTCTGCTGCAAGGACTATCGCTCGATATCCAGGATGACATCTTGTATCGACAGTTTGTGAAAGTATGTATGCATTTCCTGACAGGAACTTTCCGGCAAACTTCAGGAACGCAAGATGCGGAGTTGGTACATCATCCAAATGTAACTGCCATGCCCTATGCTTTGGTATACATACACATAACACTGATCTGACGATCCGATAATTAGGCCTCAGATTTGTTGTGGATGCGGAGCTGATCTCTAAGCTGGTTTTCTACCTCTATTATCCCGCTCGGGCCGAGTGAAATCCGAGGCCGGCAGAGGCTACAGGGCAATAGGCCACCATCATAGGGGAGAATAATGTTCGGGCCCTTCGGGATAATCCCGCTTGCCTCAATGAGCTGGCCAAGGTACGGAAACCTTGGAATGCTTTTCTCGGATATCGAATAACATGCATACACCCGGGAATATATGCGTACATAACTACCAAGATGAACCCGCTTACATTAGTCTTCTATCATTGCTTCAGGCATGGGCAAGCGATGCAGCCATGCCATAGTGTGCCTCTTGCTCTGCTACAAGGCAGTCTGAGATAGCCAATGAGATTAGCTTGCAGCAGGAGTCGTACAGGTATCAGCAGCGTCTCTACTTCCCGCATCCCATACAGACGACTTTCTTATCTACTCTCGGAGTGCATAGTTACATGATACGTGTCCTGGTACTCCGTATGTCAGACTACGTGCAATAACTATAAACGCAAACATCCAGGCCGGGAAGACTCGCCTTGAAATTGACAGGGGGTGACACTTTGAATCCAGAGACGTGGTCTCCAACAATTTCCACTCTTCGATCTGGGAACTTTAGGCCCAGGTTACGGAAAGTTCTCTAGTTATCTGGTTGAACCTGAAATTCGAAGTGATGCGATGTCGCTCCTGGCACCGCAATGACATCTTCTTCATCCACATAGCGGATGAGATCTGCGCTTACTGCCCCTTGATATTAGTCGGATTGCTTAATAGTGGTTAATTGCTCAGAGTTAATAATACGGAGTAACTGAACGAACTTTGCTCCCACGCCCCGCCAGTTAACTAACTTAGTAAGTTTTTGAAACATCAACCACCTTGCCTGATCTTCCAATGTTCAGAGCCGATATATTGGATTATCATCATTATCGGCGTGGAGGCCCTCATCTGCCTATGCTGGGCCAGGTCCGCCCAACAACCGTCCCCACCGATAAGCATGAGCCATGGTGGCGTTTTGTGCCTGCTGTTACCAAAATCATAACAGCAACCATAAAAATAAATAAACCCACTTCTCGATATTTTTGGGTTTACCAGGCAAGCCTTACCACGGGACTGGAGGGACGAAGCGCTGGCTGAGAAATATGAGTCCATGCATCAAGTTCTACGAATCGTGTCCGTTCGTACTGCATATTCTAGTTACCGCCCACCGAATATCCAGAGAGCTAAAAGAACATTTGCCTCTCCATCAACGTACCAGTTGGAGCCAGGATTTCCCACAGCTCCACTGGAATGTCACCTTTGGCCAGAAACAAACTCCCCGGATGGCGTGTTTCGATCTGATTATCTACTAGATAATACGCAGCAAAAGAATCGATATGTTTTACAATTCTTGAGAGCTACATGACTGGATTTTTGCTTCATTCCTGGGGATACTATCGCTGAGAAGGTTCACTTATTGATAGCCTCAGAATTGGAGAAGAGGGTGCTGAAAGTATATGCCGGTATATAAACATCGGGTCAAAGCCAATTCCTGTTAACTTCAGCTAATTAAGGTACAATACAGGTAAAATGAGAAGTTTAGAAGAGTGGGAAAGTTGAGCCTTGAGGGTGAGGATGCACAAGGATTCCTGATCCTTGCAATTTCTCTTGAAGCGGATATCTTTTGAGGACTGAGGTGCACGATGCAGCCATGCACATTGCTAGGACTCCCCTGCAGTTGTTTAGGTTACACGATATCTCGGTACAATATATTTTCTTTTCCTTGCCGGACCAAATCGACACTGGTCTCCGGCATGGTGCTAGAAACCTTGATTAATCAAGTTACCCATGGTGTGTTTTATCTAGGCCCGAATGATATTCATCACTCCTCACGATAGATGCCCACTTGGGGTGCATATAAGCCCCATGCGCTCCCTACATTCTCCTTTCCTCTCTTTTTTTATACCCAGGTGTCGTGGAAGTCATAGTGGGCATCGAGGAACTCCTTCGCTACGGTTCCTTAATTCCACTCCTTTCATTTATTTTATTTTATGTTTATCTAATTTTTTTTATTGTGCTTCCCACGCATCGGAATTGCTGTCATAACTTTCATTATTGTGATTCGAGATGAAGTCAGCCCTTGTTTGGCTGCCATTGGCAAATGTTGCCTTTGGTGCTGCCATCAAGCGCCATGAATATGGAGGTGGTTATGGAGGAGGCTATCCGGGTGGCTCTCCCGGTGGCCCTCCCGGTGGCTTTCCAGGCGGCTTTCCAAGCTTTCCAGGGCATGGAGGGGGTCTCCCTAGTTGGCCTCAAGAACCAAGTGAACCTTCTGAGCCTCAAGAGCCAGGTTGGCCCACCTGGCCTAATGACCCCTCAGAACCAATTGATACTCTGACACTCCCTTTTCCCCCATTGCCGACATATCCTCCAAGCACTCCGGTTCCCCCCTCAACAGAAACCCCCATTCCAACGCAGCCTACCTCTCCTACTGAAACAGACTTCCCTGAGCCAACGTTTCCTACCGGAACAGACTTCCCCGAGCCAACGTTTCCCACCGGCACAGAGACTCCAGCTCCAACGCAGCCAACCTCTCCTACTGGAACAGAGACTCCAATCCCAACTGGCACTCCAATTCCAACCTCTACTGGCACTGTTAATCCTACTGAGACCACAACCTGTGAGCCTACGGATACTCCAGTTCCTACCCAGCCAACTTCTCCTACCGGAACAGAGACTCCAATTCCCACTCAACCAACATCTCCAACTGGAACAGAGATCCCAATTCCAACTGGTACTCCAATCCCAACCTCCACTGGCACTGTAAGCCCGACAGGGACCTCAGACACTACAACCTGTGAGCCAACGGAGACTCCAATTCCAACACAGCCTACAGGAACTGGGACTGAAACTCCTATCCCAACAGGGCCAACTTCTCCCACTGGAACCGAGATTCCTATTCCAACACTGCCAACTCCTACTGGAACGGAGATTCCAATTCCTACTCAGCCAACGGGCACGGGAACTGGGATTCCTATTCCTACTCAACCAACAGGAACAGAGACTCCTATTCCAACACAGCCTACAGGAACCGAAATCCCTATTCCTACCCAACCTACGGGTACTGGAACGGAAACTCCTGTTCCTACTTGGCCGACGGGCACGGGAACTGAGATTCCTATTCCTACTCAACCAACAGGAACAGAGACTCCAATTCCAACTGAGCCAACGGGTACTGAGACTCCCGTGCCTACTCAACCCACAGGCACCGAGACTCCCATTCCAACGCAACCAACAGGAACTGAGACGCCTATTCCTACGCAGCCAACAGGCACTGGAACTGAGACTACTATTCCAACTGAGCCAACGGGTACTGAGACTCCCGTGCCTACTCAACCCACAGGCACCGAGACTCCCATTCCAACGCAACCAACAGGAACTGAGACGCCTATTCCTACGCAGCCAACAGGCACTGGAACTGAGACTACTATTCCAACTGAGCCAACAGGCACCGAGACTCCCGTGCCAACTTACCCAACATATCCTACTGGAACGGAGACACCTGTCCCGACATCAACAATTACTCTGACAACGACTGAGACATACACCAGCACCAGCCGCCCAGGTAAGTTGAAATACTTACATAAACGTTTAGTTAATCTTGTACCGGATGCACTAACATATATTAGTTACTACGGAGACACACACTAGCGGAACCGAGACGTTTACCTCGACTAGGACTGAGACTAGCACTTTGACCTACACTCATGCAACAACAACCGAGACTGTGGTTCCTGTCCCACCATCTCCAACCGGCACTGTTGTACCTCAACCACCCCAGAGTCCACCCCCGCAGAGTCCTCCATACCCAACTGGAACTGGTGTTCCCCCACCTCCTCCAGGGAGCACTGGAGTTCCTCCACCAGTTCCTCCACCCTCTTCATCGGAGACTCCAGTCCCGTCTGAAACCCCGGTTCCATCACAATCCACTGGCACTGTTCCTCAGCCATCTCAAAGCCAGCCACCATCCTACCCATCACTGCCACCCTCATCAACTGAGACTGGCGTTCCTTCCGCACCGCCATCAGAAACTACTACTGGTGGTACCAACCCAACGCAACAGCCAAGCCCAACAAGCCCAACTCCAGTTATACCACCAGTATACACTGGTATGGCCACGCGTACTAAAGGTACTGGGGTTTCTGTCCTGATGGTTATCGGTGCTGCTATGATGTTGGCATGAGCCACGTTCCCTTGAATTCTACATGTTCAATTTTTCTCCGTTCTAATTGATCAGACGCTCTTTTATTTCAACCATACATGCCACCCACTTGGCTATTTTATTTTTAATCTCATAATTGACAGTAGTAATTGGGGGCGAGCATGGCGGAATAACAAACAATTGGAATAATAAAATCTCGTATACCTTTCCCTCTTCCATGTAATTTGGGCCTGTGAATAGGTTTAGATTGTAAAAACTTGCAGATACATGCTCCTCACTTAGAGGCACATTTTTCTTTTCCCTCTCTGATAACACTGCTCTAGAGAGCACACCTCATTTTTTTTTTTTAATGTCAATCTATGCTTGTAACTATGTACAGTGCTCATTGGAATCCCAATTTTGGTGGCCTGGTGTAAACACGAGAGGTCAGTGGTCTCATTACGAGGGCTCGTGGATACTAAAGCATGATAAACCGTGTCATCTACACCTGGTGAGGGAGAAAAGTCATCTCGGGAAGTACTAATTTCGAAAACAACGTGTGTGATGTGAGCCAAACCCCTCCTTTTATCACACCATCTGCATATGGATACGGTACTACTTGACACAACGTTGCTGGTGATGCAGAGTGCAGAAACATCAGTTACTGCCAGCCTGTGCTGTGTGAGGGAGCATGCCCACGGTCTAGACAATCTCTAAGTACTTTCAGCAGCTGTATGCTATCCGATGCAAAGTACAATACGTGGTAGTATGTTACGTTGTGGAGCGTAGGAAACATCCTGTCATCGAGAAGTCTCGCCAAACTGCTGCCGAATTGAACTAAATTAAACGATGGATGCTTCAGTAGTTATTCATATTGTAAATAGGGTATTTTTCACATCCAAAGACAGCATAAAGGGCTGAAAGGCTTCCTTTATGCAGGATGGACGGAATAAGAGCATTAGATATTGTTTCTGCCTGATCGCAAAGAAAGTATTAACACTATTGGCACCGTCGATATTCAGGCATACTGGTATTCACGAGAGTGATTCCATGCATGTATAAAGCGAGGTCTCGAACCCCCTTTTCCTTCGCCAACAATGAGTAGCAAGCAACATCTTCACTTCTCTTTGCTTTTCGTTGAAATATTGATTGGAAGGAGGTTGGTGAGTTGCTTGTTTGTCTTGTTTGCTTCTTGAAACTTCGTATTACATAAGCAAAGGGATTAATTATAATCCGTAAAATCCACGTGACACAAACTTGCCAAGAATTTAATGCAAACATGTCGTATCAAGCATGTTTGTCCCCTTTGCACCGACCAAGCTCTCGACATCGCCGAAAGTGCGTTCTAGCTGATGCCAAAGTGTCCTCATCGCGGCTTTCTCTATCTTTCTCTCTGTCATTCGCGGCCAAGGCAGCTAGATTTCATACCATTATACATTCAATTCGAGGATCGGGCGCATAGCATAGACGTGTCCTCTTCTGCTCGTTAGTTTTATTCGCCGCAGCGGCGCTGGTTTATGTTTTAATTTGACCGCAACATCTAGTTTGCCCCCCATCACTGTGATCTGCCAGCCACTCCCACCCTCTCTTGGTTTTCCCTTGATGAAGCAGATAGCAAACCTGTCGCCGTCAGCAAGGCTCTGACTTGTTGTATATATGCTCCTTTCCTACTTCTCATCAAAGGTATGACCCCATTCAACCAGGCCGAGATGCTATTACCTATATCTGAGGCGCATTGTAATAACATCCAATTACATTTTAGGTCTAGATCTGTAGCCTTCCCACTCACTTCTCCTGCGAAGCCATCGTTACAATGGCGCTGCTTGGACGGAGAAGAGCTTCTCTGTTCTATCTAATCGCCGCAGCAGCACTGCTCTTTCTTCTCTCCGTCGCTATCCCCGCAGCCGCGGCAGCCTCTGTTGGTTCTGGTGTCATTGGCATTGATCTTGGAACAGAATATATAAAGGCCGTTCTTGTTAAACCAGGAATACCCCTCGAGATAGTCCTGACCAAGGACTCAAAGAGAAAGGAAGCCGCAGTTGTAGCATTCAAACCTGCTCGCGAATCTAGCCCTACATTCCCCGAACGGTTTTATGGTGGTGACGCTAGTTCACTTGCTGCCAGATTCCCGGACGATGTCTACGCCAACTTGAAGACTTTGCTCGGCGTTCCCGTGGATAGTGGCATCCAAGGCTCCGGATCAGAGAACGAAAACTTGGTTGAGATGTATAGGCAGCGCTACCCGGCTCTGAAAATTGAAGCTGGATCTGGGGGCCGAGGGACTGTTGGGTTTAGGAGCGCGAAAGTTGGAGCAAATGATGGGAGGGAACCCTTCCTTGTTGAGGAACTGTTGTCTATGCAGCTGAAGCAAGTCAAGGCAAATGCAGAGGCATTGGGTGGAAAGGGGACAAACATTAAAAAGGCAGCCATCACAGTTCCGCCGTTCTATACTGCTGAGGAAAAGCGTAGTGTGGAGTTAGCCGCGGAGTTAGCTGGCCTTGACATCGTCTCCATGGTTAGCGATGGTCTAGCCGTTGGCATTAACTATGCCACCTCCCGCACGTTCCCAAATGTTTCTGACGGAAAGAAGCCTGAGTACCATGTTATTTTCGACATGGGTGCTGGCTCTACTAGCGCAAACGTGCTCCGACTCCAGAGCCGCACTGTTAAGGATGTGGGGAAATTTAACAAAACCGTCCAGGAAATCCACGTCCTCGGGACCGCCTGGGAAAAGACCATGGGTGGTGACATGTTCAACCAGCTAATCGTGGATGATATGGTAGAAAAATTCGTCGCTACAAAAAAGCTTGGAGATGTGACAGCCTCCCAAGTTAGAGCTCACGGAAAGACGATGGCAAAGTTATGGAAGGATGCTGAGCGGGTCCGTCAGGTTTTGAGCGCAAACACTGAAACCACAGCATCTTTTGAGAATCTTTACCAGGAGGATGTCAACTTCAAATACACTCTCACTCGGGCCGAATTTGAAAAAATCACTGAGAAATATGCCAACCAGGTTACTGTTCCACTGACGGAAGCAATTTCCGCGGCGGGCTTGAAGATTAGCGACATTGAATCCGTGATTCTTCACGGTGGTGCCACTCGAACTCCTTTTGTCAAGAAAGCACTTGAAGAATCTACCGATGGAAAAGTCAGAACAAATGTCAATGCCGATGAGGCTGCTGTATTTGGTGCTGCTTTCAAGGCTGCCTCCCTCAGTCCCTCATTCCGCGTCAAGGAGATCCGAACTTATGATACCTCGGGCTACGCTATCAATATGAAATGGAAATCAGGAGACAAAGATAGGCAACAGATTCTTTTCACTCCTTACTCGGAGAGTGGGTCTGTCAAGTACCTGACTGTGAAGAATGTGGAAGATTTTACAATTAAATTTTCCCAAGTCTACACCCGAAATGGCAAGCAGGTCGAAGCCCCCATCCTCGAGGCACAAACAGCGAACTTGACTGCTTCTTCTTCTAAGCTCAGGGATGAATTTGGTTGCTCTCCTGTGAACATTACCACCATGGTGTCTGTCAGATTGAACCCTGTAAACGGACTCCCCGAAGTTGTGGGTGGCAGTGTGAGTTGCGATGTCCAAGTCGAGAAGAAGGGAGTTGTAGAGGATGTCAAGGAATTCTTTGGACTTGGGTCGAAGAAATCTGACCAGGAACCTATCAAGGAGCCTGAGGATGCTATTGACCTCGAGAACACTTCATCATCTACGACTTCGCCAGCAGACAGTACGTCTGCAAGTGCGACGTCCTCGACTGCTTCCTCCAAGGAAACAGACAAGGCTACCAAAGAGCCAAAAGTCCGAATCGAGTCAATCTCAGTTGGCTTTACATCCGCCGTCTTAGGGATACCGCCAATAACGTCAGAGGAGATGAAGCGTATTCAAGATCGCCTTTCCGCGTTTGATGCCTCTGACCTTTCTCGTGTTCGCCGCGAAGAGGCATTCAATGAACTAGAAGCTTTCATTTACAAAGGTCACCATTGGCTTGACGAGGAGACTTTCACCAAGGCTACGACAAAAGATGTCCTGAAGCAATTGGAGGAGAAGCTTTCTATCTTAGGAGAGTGGCTTCATGATGATGGCACCAGTGCCGGAATAGAAGAGCTTAAGGATAAACTGCGTGATTTGAAGGGGATTGTCGACCCAGTAGTTGACCGAAGGAATGAAGGTTTGACTCGCCCCAGAAAGATCGATGCCTTGAGGGGAAGTCTTGACAGCACCAAAATGCTGGTAGAGATTATGGAGAGTCAGATTAAAGCTGAAGAGGAGCTCTTCTCTTCTTCCTTGTCAGCTTATGAGGCGGCTTCTACCGAGGTACCATCTAGCTCGACAAACGAAGACTCATCCTCTCCTTCCACCGCCTCAACGCCAACTAGCACCCCATCTAAGGATTCAAATGGAGACGGCGATCTTGACAAAGATAACTTCGCTGAATCATCATCCACAACACAAACTGCACCCCCAGTCAAACCCACCCTTACTTACTCCCTCTATTCACCTGAGGACCTCTCAGCCGCCGCAAGTCTCCTAAACTCCACCACAAAATGGCTTGAATCTAAACTTGAAGAGCAGAATAAGCTCAGCGAGTTTGAAGACCCGGCACTTACTATCGCTGAAATCGATGCCAAGCTCAAAGAGATCGAAAAGATTCTCTCTAGCATTCTCACCAAACAGAGACGACAAGGCTCCAGCAAATCTAAACCAATCACTAAAAAGAAGGTCAAGAACATGAAATCGCAGTCAAAACCCAAGGCTAAATCGAAGACCAAGGAGACCCCAAAAAGCGAAACAACGAGCGCTAAAGATGAATTGTAATGGTTGTTGATAGATATGGTTTTGGAGCGTTTTTATTTTATCAATTCCGTACCTTGTTAAAATTAGCAGATTTCTGATTATCATTACCTTAGACCTTTTATACTAGCAAAATGATAAAGATAGAAGAACAACCCGTCCACTTCGAATCGTTCAGGTGTGCCTGATGACTAAGCAAGAGGTATTCATGGACCGTGCGGTTGGTTAAGCTTAATTTGACGCGAAAACTTACTTTTTGTTGCTATTTTCTGCGTCGATATTATTAATGTTATCGAACCTCTTCGAAGATCCAACAAGAGCCATCCTCGGCCAGAAGTCCATAACTAGCAGCGGACAGAAACTTCCCGTGATGTCTGCCATTTGAGCCTCCGGATCTACTGGCTGAGAATCAGTCTTGAATTGTTGACGTCAACATACAAACAAATTAACAAGAGCAAGGGTGAGAGCAAGGGGGAATGGCTTAGTGCCTGCGGCCTTTATCCGGAGATTAAAGGCCGTAGTTATGGCGGCTTTTAGCCTCTTTAATTCCGCATGGCAGAAAGAAGCTTATATGGGTTTCATGAATGTACCAGGCCCAAGGATATGTTCCGTTATTGGATCACCCCAGCAACTGTCGTCATTCCTCCCTTCCAAGGGGGAAATGATATTATACCAAGAAACTCACCTCACTCTAGTTCTCTTCTTGTTCGTCCGAATACATTGGATTTCCAGGACCGCCTCGGATCCGCGGGCCGTTGATTTATAATTATATCGAACGTGGTAGACCCACAGGAGCCTAGCTCGATGCTGACAAAACCACGTTATTGCTATCATGGTAAGGGGGTACTTCGTGACGGCATGATAGTAGCTCTTAAAGCTACCAATCATATTTTCGTGTTATGTTGTGTGTGTGAATGAGCCTCTCTATAGATTTTACTCTAGAATTAGACCGTCCTCGGAGACTTTTATTTTACCAGGATTGAAATCATTGAGTCACAGCCATAATGGCGTGGGCTACAAATTGCGCTGGTATTCCGTGGATTGCTTTACATGAACACAAGCCATTTCGTCTTTAAAACAGCTGGGCCTCTACTTATAGTATTTGCAATGGATACCCCAGCACAATCTTCCGTTCCGGCGAGCGGGCAGGCTTCAATTTACTCCATCGAGCGACCCTTAACGAATACTATTGATAACTCTGAAAAAGCCGCTGGTGATGACAGCCATGCAACGATACCATCTCGAGTACATGGATGGAAAGTAAGTAGAACACCCGAAATCTAGTAATATTGGTTTACATTCTAGCTCACATTTCTCCTCCAGTGGTTCCTTGTCTGCTGTGTGCTCTATTCCTCAGCCTTTTTATACGGACTTGATACAACAATTGTGGCCGATGTCCAGGTGCCCATTGTGGAAAGATTTGGGTCTGTGGACAAGCTTAGCTGGCTGGGAACCGGTTTCCCTCTAGGATCAGTCGCAACTATCCTTCCAATGTGAGTTTATTTGAAATATAATTTGCGGATATGTCAGCTAATGTCCAAAGTGGCGCTCTTTATAACATATTTGATATCAAATATGTATACATAATCTCACTCGCTTTGTTTGAAGGTGGGAGTGCTCTTTGTGGAGGTGCCCCGAATATGAACTCGTTAATAGTAGGCCGAGTGATGGCTGGGATCGGCGGGTGTGGAATGTACCTTGGGTATGTCCTAACATTGTTTAAAGCATAATTTTGATACTAACACGCTCTTTAGGGTTCTCAACTACATTGCAATTTTTACCACTCTTCGAAGACGGCCTGTATACATGGGATTGACTGGAATTGTCTGGGGAGCGGGAGCTATACTTGGCCCTGTGATTGGAGGCTCCTTTGCAGACAGCCCCGCGACATGGAGATGGGTAAGTTTCACCCGCCTGGATATATAAACTCCCATCTCTAACAGTTTCAGGCATTCTATATCAACCTAGTTCTTGCTGCCATCACACTACCAGCACTTTTCCTGCTCGTTCCAAGACATAATTCATCTCCAGAAGGCTCTGTGTTCTCGAAGTTTAGGGAACTTGATATCATAGGAATGATTCTTAACGGCGGAGTGTACTTCCTTTGGGTCATGGTTCTTACATTTGCCGGAGTAACATGGAAGTGGAACGATGGACGCATAATTGCCTTATTCGTGCTTTTTGGAGTCACGCTTATTGCATTTATTCTCCAACAATACTTCGCAGTTTTCACCACGCCAGCCCGCCGAGCGTTCCCTGGAACCTTCCTCAAGAGAAGGTCATTGATAATCCTTTACATCAGCACCTGCTGCTCTAACTCGGCATTTTTCGTCGGTGCCTACTATATCCCACTATTTTTCCAGTTCACTCGTGGAGATAGCGCAATTGCTGCCGCCGTTCGCCTCCTACCATTTGTCATGGTCACAATAACGGTGATTATGTCGAGCGGAGCCTTAATGCCAGTTTTCGGTTATTACATGCCGTGGTACTTCATTAGTGGAGTATTCTTGGTTGCCGGATCATCCCTTATGTATACTGTTGATGCCCAGACACCCACCGCAAACATATACGGGTATTCTGTTCTTCTTGCCATCGGAGCCGGAGCAATAGCACAGGCCGCTTACAGCGTTGCTGCAGCGAAGGTTAAAGGGGTTGAAGTTAACCAAGCGGTTACCTTTATAAACCTTGCTCAGCTTGGGGCAACGGTGTTGTGCCTCGCTATCTCTGGCACGATATTCCAGAATTTAGCCCTAAGAAACCTTGAAACTGCCCTCGCTCAATATGGCGACTACTCGAGGGAACAGCTTATTTCCGCAATTGCTGGAGCAAAGAGTGACATTCTCATCCATGGAACACCTGAAGTAAAAGAGGCTGCAATCAGTGCCATTGTCTCTGCGATGAAGAATGTTTATGTATCGCTTATTGGTGCTGGGGGCGTGGTATTAACCACCTCCTTCTTCCTTAAGAGGGAGAAGCTGTTTATGAAAATGGAGGCCGTTGGGTAAATTAATTTTGGTTATTATGATATAGAAAGGCTTAGTGACAAAAATAAATAACTATAATCAAGCAATCCAAAAAAAAAAAAAAAAAAAAAAAAAAAAAAGAAGCAGAATCTAAAACTCAGAGATGTTAGTTATAAACAAATTAATAGCACGTTCCTTCCTGGACAAGACATGTAGATATGAGTATAAATATTGAATATCAAATCGTTTCTCCATATATATATCATTTGGGTAAACCCGTAGTAATCTCTCACAAATAAAACATATGTGACATGTAAGACCACATGTTAGTGGTATGGTATCAATCCATGCCTTACTAGCCGGATTCAATTACCAGGATGACTGCGTATCACAAGCTCTTCATCAAGATCAGAGCTCAGACTCCTCGGAATCACTAGGGAAGGACTGTGTATCGAAGCTTGCATCATAGTGCTGTGACTCTATGGGGGCAGCCTGGTCCTTCAATTCCTCATATTTTTCGTTCGCAGCTGCAATGAACATGTCCCTCTTCTCCTTAGCCCAGTCACGAAGGTTGCGGTATGCCGATGCTCCTCTGATGAAGTCATCGCGATCGTTTACCATAGAGTAGGAGCATAGAGAGGTCATGATATGTTTAGGGCGTCCATCTTTCTCAGTGGGAGGCGCCATATGATGGCAATAAAATTTCAGATGGCCGTAGTGATAAATTCCAGAGATAGTATAAGCATTTCCATCATAGACTGGCTCATTGTCAATGTAAGACTGTAAGGCATGCATACCACGCGCCCCAACTGTGCCGTCATAACAAGCCTGACGCATTGCAATAGCAGGATTTCCATCGGGACCCTTGGCTTCCAAAAAGAAATTTGGTAAGATAGGAAGATCTGTTCGAGTAGAAGGTACAATGCTATCGCGTAACTCCTCTCGGACTCCTAAGCGGAGGCTTTCGGGAATAGCCCCATACACAATGTCAGGCTTTGTGTCGCAGAGAGAGCCATCAGTAATAGGCACGGTGTTATTGAACAGGTAGTCTCTCGAGATACTCCTGAGATCGCCTGTGAACATGTCGATAGTACATAGCGAGTCGAGAATGACATCCCTCTCGTTGAAGGCTCGAAGGTCTTTCAGTTTGAAACTTTGAAAAGCCTCATCGGAAAAGCGCTCTGATAAAAGAGAAGGATGGGGCTTCTTTATAACCTCCTGCAACTCGTCCCAATTTCTTGGCTTTGCAGGCGGGTGACCTTGGACATCCGAATAGCCATCATAGTAGATTTTGTGATCCATGAGGTGGTTCAAGAATTTGCCACTGTGTACTGTGATCGTTTTGCATTTTTTGGCCAGCTGTTTATTGCCGTTTGCTGTCCTGGATGTGGCCTTTATGGTGTTAGCTGTCGGGGTAACGTAACGCTTTTTCACTCCTGAGGTAGCAGTTTTACGAGTGCGAAATCGTTTTTCGTAGGTCGGAATCACTCCACGTCCAGATTTGTTCACAGAACGACGTTTAGGGGTATCTTCGACATATGTTGAAGCGACAGCCATTCGAGGGTTGAGTTGGATCTGAATAGACCTAGCTCTGGTTGAAACCATAGTGAAATCAGATACAAATTGATCAATGAATAAAGCGTGATGGCCAATGGCAAAAATAATTGTGCAAAGGTTGTTGCTGAATGATTTGAGCGTGCTAATTGTCTGGATACAGGAAGGGTCTCTTGAGTATCTGATTATTTCATGACAGGAGATGAGCAACGAAGGGCAGTTCCTCTGGCTTATATAGACCTCTACATGGGAGGAAACTGGGATAAATGAATAATTAGAGCCCGGGGCTCAAAATTTAATGCAATTCGAGTAAGTACAACTGTATCAGCCGCATGATTGTGGAAAGTCTGGCAGGCAGACACGAAGGCGGCAATGAAAATGGTTGGATATAAAGCACTCAACAGCATACTTGGCAATGCAGTCGTTTAATGCGCAATAAGTTCATGCAAATAGTGGGTATCCGACAGTTTACCAAGTAGTTGATTGGATAAGCATTCTCAGATCAGGAGGCTTGTACATTTCACCCTGGGAGGGTGCAGTAGAAGTGGGTAGGGATTTCAAGGGCTATCAGTTTAAATAAGGTTTTTAACCCAGCTCGAACGGCGCGAACTACTAATAGTGTGCAAGCCTATAACTCTCAATCTCTATTGGCTTATTTTAGCCGCTGCGGTACGGCCCGCATATTTTGGATCCTTGGCACGAGGCGCTGTTTATAAAAATAGCCGTGTGATACGTGTATGTTTGAGAGTGGTTAACCGGTTCATTTCTCAAGCTATGGGATAAACAAAATGACAGCTATATCCAGATGTTTCCCATCTTCCATCTTTCTCGCGCAGCTTTAGCTAGAAGAATACAGGAAAGAGCACCCGGAACCACTGGTAATGTGTACGGGTTACATCAGAGTGGATTGTAAGTCCAACAGGAACTAGCCGTTAGGTATCTGTTTCTGGGTGGAGTTGGTGTCTGAATTAACCAAGGGTTAAATTTTAGGCCCCATTTAAACTTTAGGCAACAGTTTCAAGCGTTGTAAAGGGGCTCCCAATGACTCGTCTCTGGTATTCTATTCGTATACGAGCGTCAAAACTCCACAGGGGCACGATGCGCCTTCAAAGCCACTTGGTGACCCTCAAAGTTTCAAAAGATTTATCCAAAATTAATTGAATAAATCAGGCACTATACCCTCCATAATCAGCATTGAAAAAGAATCAATGACACATTGGACAAGCGATTGGGCATCGTGGTTGCTCTCGGGAGAGACTTCTGCGCATCCCTGCGGCTTTGATAAAATTCATGCTGCTGCCTGGATGATCAAACTTAACTGGAAGGAAGAATACTTGGTAATGGCTTGAATACAAATCCAGTGGTATCTAACCGTTATTGCATCACTCCATGTCTCGGTTTCTTAATATATCTCTAGTTCACAAAATACAGGGCTCCGTGATCCCTTCCATTAATTATTCGATTCCTGGAAATGTCAGCAAGACATGGTATCGTACTTTGGGTTAGTAGAGATGCATATTATATGACATAGTTATTAGACCTCTATTCTCCAACCGATATGATTAATTCAGACTCTTCTGTCACCATGTCCCGAGTGACTTAGTAGGGAAGTTGCTGAAGACGGCATTCCTCCAAGGACTCCGATACACAGGTCTGTGAAGAAACTCCACTAACGCTGGCTAATTGACTAAAAAGTGTGTGAAATTATAACATTGACAGGATAGGGTATTGTACCAGATGCAAAGCTTCAAATGTCTAAATTGATGGTTTAATCACTGAAACTTACTGTTAGTGATATTAACTATTATCGAGCGTTTCCACGGTGCTAGCGGTGGAAATATACCAAAGCTATATAGCTACTATAGCAACTCTCTCTGCCACCGACTAGCGGGTTCGCTTTTAGTTCAGCAGTTTGACAAAATCTTTTGCAACGACTTTTTTCACAGAGTTAATCTCTTCCCAGTACGATTCGGTCCATCCACATTGGGTAGTCGTCTAGAACATAGGTCTTAAAACCTGTGCATATTCATAATATAATACACTATACTTACTGGATAGTTTCTAAGCGTAGTACTCCTGTGGTGTTGTTCTGTTCGTCAATCACTATATTGTGAGGGACATGCATGAACACCGGCCATCAATAATCAACACATTAGTAAATGGTATTTAAATAGATAGCCTCCGAGAGTGGTTGACGATGATCTCTTGTGTCGTCAAGAGTTCGTCATATGCAAGGGAGCCATCAGCCGCATACCGAAACAAACCATCATAATCTGGTGGGCGAGGTGTAGTTTGTGCTGCAGAGCTCAAATCCCAGATTAAATGGGTAATAAATCCTTTGGTCTCTTTGTTTGATGTGATTCGCTTCTCTTCTGTCCAGCGTAACCTGCAATACTCGAGAGCCAAAATATTAAAATCGTCTCAGAGTTAGGATGGAATTGTGTAAAAACCACCTTCGAAAACTAAATATAGATTTACTTATCCAAGAGTTATATCTCGTATTCAGTAGACGCCAGTCTAAATATCTGGTAAAAAAAAGTCTGAGGTTCAAAGCCTTATATGGACCAAGATATAACTAGATACCTATTGGATGGACATTGAGCAAGGCTTGACAATTAGTTAGTGTAAAGGCATCTTGGGTATCAGCATCATCCACGAATACGTATATTAGGCAAATTTTCCCTCCAGTGTATCCCCATTTCTCTCCTTTGGCCCAACACGACCTCTTTATTAACTGGCTCGCCTTACCTCTAGTACCACAAGAGAGCAAGAAAAGATGGGAAGAGACAGCAAGAGAGAAGCTTGGAGAAGAGTAAACAAGAAAGAGAGAAAGTTGCCTAGGTAGGAAGGTGCTGGTGGTTCTGGGTTTAAGGATGGCAGTTTCCCCTAATAGTAGTGCTAGACGACGTTGTCAGCCTCAACTTTATGCAAAAGACATAGGAAGGACAAGAGCAGGGCGAAGCAGAAGAAGCAGCAGCAGCAGAAGAAGAAGCAAATGTTCCCTATCACCACTCTGTCTGCACCCTCGCCTCCTTAGCCACCCCCGTAGTCACTGCTGCCAACGAGCCCCCAAGAGGTAGCCCCATCCCAGCGGTGATGACCCAGGCCGTCCAGTGTGGTTGCTTGTGATGGGGGTTACCCTGGGCGGATTCTCGTTATTGACTAGGCTCGCCCACAGCTACTACCCCCGCCGGTAGCTATGCTGCCGTCTTATCTTGTATTCTTATTTTGTTTTATTTTATTTCGCTTCTCGCAAAGAATGAACCGCGGCTAATGACTACCACGTGATCAATGTTAAGTTCTTACGTAAGAACGCCTGTAGGCCTTTTGGCGGGGGATTTTCTAGTTTTCTAGTGGGAGTCATTATTATCAGGTCGAACTTCCGGCTAATGATTTCGCATGCCCTTTAGGATACTCTCTTCTTGCTGCCACGTTAATGTTATTATTTTGAAGGTGGGATATTGGACTGCTAAGGACGAAAGATGGAGACGCCAACGGACCTGCCAGCTCGTCCTAAGCCGGCGGAAGACAGCCAGCCCGCCGAAGATCAGAAACCTGCCGCAGAACAGAAGCCACCAAAAGAAAAAAAGCCCAAGGAGAAGAATCCAAAAGAGAAGAAGCCAAAACCTGAAAAAGCTGAATCTAAACGTGCTGCTCCAGCTTCCAATGACCCGGATGCGATGTTTAAGGTCGGATTCCTTGCCGACGTGTACAAGGAACGGCCCCTCGAGAGTACCGTCAACAAACAGGTTGTAACGCGATTCCCCCCCGAGCCAAATGGCTATCTCCATATCGGCCACAGCAAGGCCATGACTGTCAACTTCGAATTTGCCAGATACTACGGTGGAATATGCTACTTGCGTTTCGACGATTCGAACCCGAAAGGCGAGGAGGAACGTTACGTCGAGAGCATCAAAGACATTGTCAGCTGGCTTGGTTTCACTCCAGTAAAGATTACGCACACAAGTGATTATTTTGATAAGTTGTACGAACTAGCGGAGAAGTTGATCTTGAAGGATAAGGCATATGTCTGTCATTGTACAGGTAAAGCGAGTTCTGGGTTATTGCTAGAATCTCACGCTAACACTTTTGATTAGACAGCGAGATCAAGGCCCAGCGCGGTGCAGACGAGACCTCAGATAAAAAGGGAAACGAAAGGTTTGCTTGTGCTCATCGTGACCGTCCTACATCAGAATCTCTTGCAGAATTTCGTGCAATGCGTGATGGGAAATATCGAGCTCGGGAGGCAGCGCTCCGTTTGAAGCAGGATCTAGAGAACCCTAACCCTCAGATGTGGGATCTTTTCGCATACCGAGTAGTCGAAACGGATGACGGTAATTTCGCAAAGCATTTGCAGACTGGTGACAAGTGGAAGATATACCCAACATATGAATACTGCCACTGTGTGTGCGATAGTTTTGAAAACATCACGCACTCACTGTGCACCACGGAGTTTGAACTGTCGCGTGAGTCCTACGATTGGGTAGTAAATGAGCTCGATATCTACAAGCCAATGCAGAGAGAGTATGTATTCTTTTTTGGGGACAACTGCACACTGGGAAATTCAGGGTTTTCTAATGTATGCGCAGGTATGGTCGCCTAAATATCAACGGCACTATCATGTCGAAGCGGAAGCTAGTTGAGCTCATTGAAGGCAACGAGCCAAAAGGATGCAACCGAGGAAAATACGTCAAGGGATGGGATGATCCTCGCCTTTTCACTCTCGTTGGTCTTCGCCGACGTGGAATACCTCCCCAAGCTATCTTATCCTTTGTAAAAGAACTCGGTGTTACAAAGGCCAAAACGACAATTGACGTTAAGCGCCTAGAGCAGTCTGTGCGATCCTACCTAGAGTCAACGGTTCCTAGGCTTATGCTTGTGTTGGATCCCATCCCTGTTGTTATTGAAAACCTCCCGGATGACTACGTGGAGATGATTGACCTGCCTTTCTCAAAAGACCCTAGCCATGGGGTAAGTGCTCGCGGAATCATGCATTTGTATGCCAGTTTTACCACGGTTGCTGACACCTATCTAGTCTCACACTGTACCATTTACCAAGACCGTCTACATTGACCGCAGCGACTTCAGAGAAGAAGCCTCTGACAACTTTTTCAGATTGGCTCCCGGTGGGTCCGTTGGTCTGCTAAAGGTTCCCTTCCCTATCACCGCTACATCTTTCGAAAAGGATCCAAACACGGGTCTAGTTACCTTGATTCACGCGAAGTACGATAAACCCGAAGGAGATGAGAAGTTCAAGAAGCCTAAAGCGTAAGTTGACTTCCATCTGAAAGCCCCCGTAGTCCGGAAAGCTAACCCTTAATCATAGATATATCCAATGGGTTGCTCTATCTCCCGCTCACAACAGCCCTGTCAATGTCGAAGTACATAACTTCAACCCGCTTTTCAAATCAGCGAACCCTGCCGGTCATCCTGATGGCTTCTTGGCCGATATAAACCCGGACTCTGAAGAGATTCTCCCCAATGCAATCATCGAGACCGGCTTCCATGAAGTAAAGCAGAGGGCTCCCTGGCCAGCTAACAAGGGAGAGTCAACTACCGATAGACCATCACCTGCATCAGTTCGGTTCCAGGGTATGCGTGTAGCATACTTCTGCGAGGACACAACAAGCACACCCGAGAAGATTGTACTTAATAGAATAGTTACTCTAAAGGAAGATGCCGGCAAAGCTTGAGGGATATCCTTCTATTTCTCAGGCACAGGAAATAAAAGCAGTACTATTATTGTATTCTACTCTGCAGTTCTTTTCAATCTTCGGCATTTCGGCAAAAATGATAAACTAGTTAACTAGTTCACTAGTTAGCTGATTGACTAGCTCACTGCCGAGCTGGTTAGCTTCCTGTAGCCATCGAGCCGATTGCCGATGCCCTCGGTCTATCTCGACGACTAGACTAAGGGTATTTGTTTCGCCATTCATAATACACGACCATTAACTGGGTGATATTGTGAGACGTGGATGGTAGTTATAGTAGGACGGGAATATGTACACAATGAGTGAGTGATCTGTCTCTCCACCGCCTCCTAAAAAACTTCATCTAAATATTCAGCGTCAGGTTTGTCAATTGAATAACTAAGTGAAAGCTTTTCTCTCCTTGTAATTCAGAGATCCAAGGCACCCGCTGGCTCTAGCAGGATGATTTGATTGGTCTCGGTTTTGCGCCCTGGCTCTGTATCTCATACCTTTGGGGTTTCCTGTTGTGTAGCGCAGAGTGGCGAGGAAACGGTGCGTTGCATCTATAGAAGTACTGTTGGTGACTTGTGGCCTGTAGTAATACGGCTGCATAATAGCAAGGAGGCGAATTGGCTACCCGCAGCAACATGTTTGGCAAGAGGAAATGGAAATGAAAATTCGTAGATATATATTTAAGAGCAAAGGGGAAATAATACACCTATCCATGTTCATCCAATAATCTTCACAATCGAAATATAAGCCGTATAGTCCTGATTTCCATAATTCCACATGATTAGAGAACGTGCCACTAGGCCCCTCCGTTACCCGCCGACAAATGAAATCCAAGTATAAGTATAGATGGAGAAGAAAAATAGCTAGCCGTGCCTAGGATGTATAGTTAGAGTGTAAAATAAATGAAGAAAGATGAATTAGGAAGACTCCGTTCCATGTAAGCTCCGATCGGGTGATGCCGGGTGAAGTGGAAGAATAATCGAGATTCGCCCCGTAGTAATACGCTGGTTGCTCTATCCTCTTTCTGCAGTGTATTTGATAGAAAGTAACCGAATGTAGAGAAGAAATGAAGAAGGTTGAATAGAATATCTGGTAGTACATGGTTCCGGTTAAATGGAAAAATAGCAGTCTCCACGGTAGTAGAAATGTTCGTTTCACTCATGCAGTGTTGTAAGTGAATGTGGCGACTCCTCCTAGCTGATCAACTCTGCTAGGGGGCGCATTTGGTCTCGGTGGCTGCGCTGGGGCTGCCAGTATCGAAGGGGATTCAGCTTGTAAGCAGAAGTCGGGCTTGAATGCACTTCGGAAGGGTAATTGCTCGGAGCAGAGACGGAATGCAGAGATCTCTCGTATGCGTTCTGCGGAGGGGTGACGAGCATCTCCTCCTCTGTGCCAGCGGCGGACTGAGGGTCTGGGAGGTCTATGCGGAATGTGCTCTGCGATAGCTCCACGCTGGGAGCCCTATCCGGACGTAGATAGAGGCGCAAAAGCTGTCTCCTCTGCAGCTCTGCGTCATCTGGAGCCACTTCACTGGCAGCTCGAGTGCGCGCCCGTCTTCGCTTCCGTGAACAGGTCACGGACAGCCAGTAGTCGGAGAAGTAGAAGGCCAGGAGCCCATAGGCAGCTGTCGAAACGCACGAGATGGCCACGATAATGGTGGACAACATATTCATTGGCAGCAGTTTGCGCACCAGGATATTGATAAGAACATTAAACATTCCTAGGATGGAAGATGTAAAACAGGCACTGTATGTACATATAGTCAGCGTGAAGTTGCATTGAATCAATACAGCAACGGGGTTATACGTAGAGCCCATACAAGAAGAGAGAGTTGAATAGGTAGATACTCCTGCGCCACCGCACGTAGTAGAGCGCGCTGAGAAGGTATGCAAGCGTAAGGAGGATGACAGCGGTTCCCAGGAGTGCATTCTTGTTTGCTCCCAGCTCCGCGCCGTTTGGCTCCATGGCGAAGGGGAAGAGGATGAAGCTACATCGCGGCAGAAGAAGCGGAGGTCGTTAGCATTCGCTGGCTCCGGCCAAAAGGAGGCAAACTCAACTTCAACCTCAACTTCAACTTCAACTACAACTTCAATAGCAGCAGAGATCAGAAGGAAAAAAAAAAATCACATACCCGGTCAACAGAGACCACGCTGAGCCGACAGAGACAACTTTCCAGTACCATGGCAGTTGATCTCCCAGCAGGCCGAGGGACCTGCCCAACTCTGAGTAGTTACGGGGAGCCATCTTGACCGGTCGTCATCACATCGAGAGAGAGCGGGAGCCTGAAGCGCACAAAAGTCCTGCTGGCGCACTTGCTTGTTGTCCGAAGAGGAGGGCCAGACGAAGAATGCGGATATGAGGAGAGAACAGTCAGTCTCAGGGCTTGAAAGCAGTGCGTATCTGGTCGTATTCACAAGCTAGCAGAGGGCTATTTTCTTATCGGCAGCAGGGTTTAGCAGTCTGCACCGTGGTGGGGAAGAAGAGGGCGCGTTGAACGAAAGACTCGGAGATGGAGAAGATCAAACGAGTGAATATGAGACAAGTTTACTCTGCGGTCCTGTGGTGGAAGATGGCAGCAGAGAGATCCCCGGAAGCTCCAAAAGACAGCGACGAGTGAGAGGCTGAGAAAAGACGAAAAGACAGGCACGAAAGGAGGACAAAAATGACCAAGGCCTGCGGTAGGGATCGGTAACAATGACAGAAAAGGAACTAATCAGGACCAGGATATTCGCTTCTTTTTCTTCCATGTCTTCTTCACCTTTTCTTTTCAAGGTCGATACGACTACATACGGAGTACGTCAAAGGGTGGGAGGGGGTTGGGTAATAGGACAGGACAAGGCGCTTTCGTCCTTCCTGGGATGCTCCGAAGATGCATGCGTCCTGCGGGCCAATCTCCATCATGCGCAAGGGATGGGAGCAGGGGTAAAAAAGCAGGAAAGTCAGAGACCTTCTCATCCCCCTGGCCATGGGGACGCGCGGGTGCAGACCAGGGGCCAAGTTTAGAGAGCGCATCACTGTCCCTGTTCGGTTAATCTGGACCAGCATCACATCGAGTCATCAATCATAACACAGCTCATCAAACGGGCGTTGGAGTTGACAAAGGAAGAGCACCCGTTGGATTCCCTGTTTATTGTTGCCCGTCGCTGGTATACAAGCCACGGCTGCTTGAACAAAGAGAGAACGGCGATACCACTCCGGATCTACGGTTGGAGATCCCACAAAGTTACCTTGTCGTAACTTGGGCTGCTAGCCTATTATTCTCTCCTTTTTTTTGTGACCTTGTTTGTGTTTGTTGGTATGTGCTTGTACAGAGGACATAATCATGGCTGGTTAATTAGCTTAGAGTAAAAACTAATAACGTAGTTCGTTACTAGGAACAATGTCCAGGTGGAAGCTATCATGATTTATCAAAATAGGGGAATGTATGTATGTATATATTTAACAGACCGAGAGCCCGGCAAGCAGGACGATGTAGTCACTTGGAGTAGATCTACAAATACAGAATAATCGAATGTTTTCCTTGTTGGTTTCCTACCTACGGAGTACCTGCAAACTAAAATACCAGTGCATTGAAATAACTATAGTGCTGCTTCTCATAGGCATCTACCGACCCAGGTGACTGAACTTGCGAGCATGCGTTCTTGCGTATTTATCTCTTTAAATCGGTTGGTTTCGCGCTTTCTGCAGATCCGAAGGATGGAATGATTATTTCAGATGGCTCACGGCACAGCTTAACCACCTGTTCAATTACCGGCAACGTTTCGACAAAGGTTCTAGCAAGCTGTTAAGCCGCCAGTCATCATAGATACATTGTCCTTCGGCCACTTCACTGCCATCTACCTGCCTTTCCTGTAAGATTATTTTTTTCATCGGACAGAAGTCCAGACAGCCATAGTCGGTGAGCTTAATTTTTTTTTTCTTTTTTCTTTTTTCTTTTTTTTCCAGCCATTTCATTTTCTACTTCACCTAGATGATGACACTATAATGAGATATCTGATCTCTTTTAGAGCTAATATATCTCCTCCATTCTGCCATCTAGCATCTGTGTAGCTGAACATCTCGCTGGAATCTCCAGCCCTGTATTGGTCCACCGATGGCTGTCCCCGTAGTGTCGTTTGAAGTAGGTTTGTAGAGTTTCTTTGGGCAGCATTTGCACTTTCAAGTGAACTCCTAAAGGCGACTGATCTCCGCATCAAATTTGTCCCAGGGTGTCACGCCAACGTCTGGCTTTCATCTTGAAGGTTTTGCAAGGGTTCACATACATAGAGTCTCTGGGTAAAATTGATAAATTCGCAAAATTTCCTAAGTTCTGTAGATGGTCAACTTAGGGCTTGCTGTAGTTAGATTTGCCAACGACGATCTTGTTATAAGAGACCCAGTCTTGGTATCTGAGAGGCTGTTGGTATATACAAGAAGAATGAAATGGTGAAATCGGACTTATTCATCGAAAGAGTATTAGTTCTAAGTTGACTCTCATGGTTGTTAATTTGTGCCTAAGCCGCACATACTTTGTCATCAGGAATTCGACTGCACTATGACTTCGGATGAATTCCCTAGACAGACATGGATGACTCTTCAGACGAGAAGCCAAAATAGACTTCTAATTGTATTCGTTAAAGTTGGGAGAAGGCGCACCGGCTCCCGGTGGCGATGCTGGCGATCCATAAATAGATACGCCGTCCAGCTATGTATATTTAGTTAGTCGATACAGGGCAGTGGCCGGTTGTGCCGATATGAATAGTGGGTGATAGGGTCGCTGATGGAAGGAAGGGTAGTTCTCGGCAGTTAGTGTCATGGCTTTGCTGCCATCAGAATAAGTAGGCTGACAGTAAGGGCTGTTAATGTACGTCAGGTCTCATGATGTGCGGAGACACGGTGTGAGGTGGTGTATATCAGTGAAGATGCAAACACCAAATGATGCAGCATCCATTGGAACAGCCTCCCGAGCAACTTCTAGATATCATGCCCTCGAGGGATCCCGGTATGAATTCGAAATGCAACACCTCGCACCCCCTTTTTTTCCTGGAGCCAACATTCCCACGGATTACCTGGTAATGGTTAAACGAAGGTGATAAAGCCTGCTATATCTGCTGGCCAAGCAAAACGGACATCGTAGAACCGTGGACGGCGGAATCGATGAAGATAATGGCATATGTAGTTGTTGAAGGAAGCACATAGTAATATTTTAGATAAATGGAACCTGGAAGAGAGTTGGTTAGAAGGAACTAACTAAATTAGGCAAGTCGTTAATCGTCCAATAGAAGCATTAGAATTTAGCTCCAACTATGAAGCTTAAAAGGCCATCGCGGCTAACTAGTTAGTCAGCAAGTTACAGTCTTGGCGCTAACTCGCTTAAATGTCATAAACAACGACTCCAGGCTGACATGTTCTCAGACAGAGGCAAATGTGGGAAAAAAACCATGAGAAGCTCTGTTGATTTCTTCTTTGGAGAGTTTAGTTTGACATCGGGAGGTGCATGCTAACTAGCTCCAATAGAGAATGCCCTAAGTCTGTTCATTTTTTTTTTTATTTTCCAATAATATCTCTTGCCATATGGAGTAACTAATTATCAGAGCTCTCAAAACACTCGGCATGTATCTATCTACTCATAACTGCCCCGGAAACTATGACTTGGCTACAAGGGATAATCATCCTGGCTTTCCTTGCTATGCAGCAGGTCCGAATTATGTATTATTGGCGTCTGTATGGCCACATACTTCGAAACAAAGAAACGACTAAGCCCGTTGTGCATCTATACCCATGGTTCATTACTATTTTTTATCATCAAAGTACGAAGATTTTGTTCCAGGTCTCATAATAGCCACATATGTGACATATGTACTAGAAATTAGTCCTTTCGAGACTGTGATATACATACAAGCCCACAATGACGGCGCTTTAACGTGATACTGGCATACACGTCGAGCACACCCTTCACACACCAATCATTCTCTTCGTTGACAGCTAGTACGTGGGCCGGTTCTCTTCCTCGCGGCTACTACGACCGTATTGGAAACTGATATAAAGTTATCCCCTTTCCCTTGTCGTCCGGATCAAGGACAACTGATGCATGGTACTGTGCAAAGAGTGAGTTCGAACAGTTTTTCAACGTTCCAAGCCCATTGGAAGTCTCCATAGCTTTACAATGGCTATTGAGTAAAGGACTGTGTAGCCACTAAAACTAGTGGTTACTGCCCGTACCCAAACTAATTGTTCTTGTGCGGCCACAATACCTCTGTTCCAAAGACCTTACAGCCAGACTATTCCTCGCCAGTTCTGCCTCCTCAAAACCGCTCTGCCATCGATTTAGCTGATGAATGCCCAGGCCACTGGTTTAATGCCATGCTAACATCTCCTGCTAACGTCGGATGGATAAATAACACCATTATCTTTGCTGGGCGCTATAGCAAAGCAAATCCTACGATGCTCCAGATCTCAATATATCCCAGTTGGGCTGTGGGCTGCGGAGGCAAGCCAGATGTTATCGTGTGAGAAAGTGATCGTCGTTGTCCATTGCTACGAATAGATAATTCGAAGTCTGCATCCAACGAGCCATGTCTGAAAACAAGGATCTGGCACTTTTTCAGTACGTAACAAAGTCTTGTCTTAGAAGTCCTTGATGTGTTGACTCTGTCCCATAAGAAAAGTCATTGAGACTTTTGAGGTTGAAAGTTGCCTTTTTGGGTGAGGCTCGACGGTAGCCCCCAGGCCAGTGTCGGATCACATCTATCATCGGCTTTTCGGCCATTTTAGGCCAGGCGTCGAATACAGTACGAAGTGCTCCAAACTCCAGCCATAAACGATGGCATTAAAATGTCTAGATAATTTGTCAACTAAATATGAATCTTATACAAGAGAAACTAATCACAATATATATGATATAGGTGTTGAATCATTTCATAAAGTACCCATCCATGGGTTATTTTGGCCGAAGGGCCTAACCAAACCAGGTTGCATTTTACCCTTGGTTGACAAGAGATTATCCCTTATTCCAACTCCCAGATAACAAGTAATAGGAACGCCCCAGTTTCAAATGAATGAATAACGGATCTCTTTCCTCACTTGCCGAGCTAGATCGAGCGCTTCTTTTCTCCCCGTTCTTGAAAAGACATTGAAATAGGCCATAAAAGTATTTTGACCGGAGTTTGGATGCGGCACTTTCTGGCCCCGTTTAACGAAACATGCACATCGGCTGATGTTTTTAGCTAGATCTGGCCTTCGTGCTATCAAGTCGGCACAGATGTCGTCCGAGTCAAATATACCCTCGCAAGTAGACGGAAAATCGGCAGGAATAAAGACCATGACACTTGTATATTGGGCTCCGTGCTTAAAGGGCTGTGATAGAACGCGTACTCGAGTCTTATCGCCCACAGCACTAAGCACAGCTATGGCCCAGTATTCAACACCATACGTGGATTCAGTTATCTGAGAAGCTGTCATGCCTGGTGGGCGTGGATTAATTTCTATAAGCCAGGGGTTTGACTTTCGGTTTATAGATTTACCATCAACGGGTGTCAGTTCAAGAGCCCCATCCCGAGAGGTATACTCAACTGATGAGTTCTCAACTCGACCTTCAAGGTGCATAATGCCATTTCTTAAGTCTAACTTGAGCAAAGTGTCCAAGAATGCGCTCCTTATCTCGTCCTTCTCGTGGGAGGGTAACGCAGAAGGGTATACGATGTCCAATTCATGGAAATTAGTAATTATTCGCCTATTGGAGCCATTGATATCCGCTGACTTGGGCAAATCATCACATATTTCAGAGAAAAGGACTTCCCCGTCTAGTAAGACAAAATTAGCGTCGAATTCCGGGCCTGAACAGTATGGTTCCATAACAAATTCGGTTCCATGGCGGGATGCATCGATTGACTTGATAGCTAGAGCCAGGGCTTCCGGAGTATCAACGCGAGAAACACCTTCCGAGCTCCATCCGTCACATGGCTTCACAATGAGGGGGTACTGAAGGTCATGCTTATTGGCAATATCAAGGGCTTCATCAACGCTACATGCAAGATGAGCATTATGACCAGCAAACTTGCTTGTTAGGTACTTATTTGTGGCTATTTTAAACCCTTCAGGTGCGCAAGTTGGCAACCCAAATTGCTGTGCAACTTTGGCGATATACGGCCAGTAGGTGTCAGCAAATGTAACTATGCCATCTACTGGCTTGCCGTATGCTTTTAACGATTCCGTGATGTGATCGGCTAAGTTCTCTTCGACTGGATTGGTCAATCTGGTGGGAATAAAGGCCTCGCGCCAGTGGGCATAGTCGGGCCCCTGAAGCCAGTGTCCAGCGTTATCCAGGACCACAATATTAACTCCAACTTCCATGGCCGCAAGATAGAAGCCAGATCCGGTGCCGCCTCTATCGGGATGATCAGTATTTGCGTCAACAAGGACGAGTGTTTTGCGGTGCGTAGTTCCAGGTAGTATCCATGAGAGGGACAGTCTGTTCTCAAGTTCTGACTCAACGAGCAAGGAGATTGCTTCCATTCGCATATTCTCCTCGCATTCTAGGCTCAGATTAAGGATAAGTCCAGCAGCAGCAGCTGAAAAAAGCTCCGAGAGACTGTTTATTTTATCTCCATCCAGAGCTACACTGCTCTCAAATGTCCTAAGCGGCTCCGCAAAAGAGACTGCTGTTTCAACATGCTGGCAGTCCCGAAGGCGCAAGGGAATGATATCAGAGTGCACAATATATCCCTCTTGTAGGGGAAAAATGAATTTTGCCAAACACTTATGGCCCTGAGAGGTAACAGTAGTGAGAAGGCTTTGCAAGATGAATTGCAATGCTTTTGTTGAACCAAGAGATTCGGAGAGAATTTCTTGAAATGAATTTGCACAATCTGATAGAACATAGATGTCTTCAAAATTATCCAGAGGAATATTGATATCAGACGAAGCTGAATGATGGAAGATAATGTCTATGGACTGCCAGGTACTCCCGGCTGGTGGTGACTGGTGAAAAGACCATGAACAGTCCAGCAGAAGAGCTAGATCATATTAGAAAAGAGTCAACCAGAATGGGTAGCATCTCTTACCGTCATCCCTCTTGGACCGAACTTGGATCTTCTGAAGAGCTGTCATAAGGCAAGATTTTCCGCAAAGATATGAACCTGAAGATTCAAGAATCAAGAAGTGTAAAAGGTTATGGTATGAAATCCTGCATATTGAAACCGGGCTAGTCAGTGATATTTATACCTTTAACTAGTTAACTAGCTAACTAGTTAGCCAAGGGGCCAGGCAGCAACATCATCAACTTGCACCCTCAATTTGAATATGTTCCGTGACGAGGAGGTGCATATCAACATGGCAACAGATACACCCCAGCGTCTTGACAGCAAAATCTGCCCTGCAGACGATAATGATGAGCCATTCTCGGATGCTTCCAGCACGTACTGGCCCGAAGGATGGAATTGGGCACGTCTGAGCGACCCCGAGGCGAATCTTGCCGCTCTACCCGAGGATGAAAAAATCAAGATGTTCGACGGTTTGAAGGAAGTACTCGGAGAAGAGGGAGTTGGCAGGTTGTCAGTCTACAGGAGGCGAAAGTATCAGAGACGTCAGGATCAGCAGCCGCGGGATGCGGGTGTCCCTCCACCCGAATATAAAGCACCAGAATACCTCAAATTATCACGGCAACGATACTCCAATGGCCACCCTTGGGGATTCGTTGCATTCCGCACCGTCCTATACGATAACGAGGAGATGTGGATGGAATTCAAGGATCGAACCCAGAAAATCTTAAATATTGCCTTCGACCATGTAGTGGAGGACCATAGAGGACATGAGTACGAGGAGGTTGCGTTAGCACGGAAGAATTTTACCCTTCATTGGGTTGAAGATAAAGAGCTCGATGGCGCCAACGAGGACACCCTTCGTGAATGGTATAGAAAAGTCAAGGAGGCTGTACCAGCCGGTATGGGTTATAACCTCTTCCTATCTACTTGCTCCGAGTCTGTGGACTTAGTTCTGTCTGGCCGCCTCCCTAACCTCGATTCGTTTCATTGGCGTGACGATGCGCCATTCCTACTTGTCGTCATGGAATCAACCGAAGAGAATCCCCATGGAGACGATGAGGAGGAGCCTTATGACCCCTACGATCCCCATCATGAGAAGAATTGGTATCAGTCTGTCTTCAAGGTGCCTATTGAGATTATTCCCGACACACTCTGGCCGGAGATTGAAATGGCGATAACTCCGCCCACCAGGCTCACACGTAAAGTCAAGGGGTTTAACCACCTACTGGGAGGACAGAAGCCAAGGGAGATACCTCTTATAGGCGATTTGAATGAACTGTGGTGGGGGATGATGCCATCACCAAGGCGGCTACGCGAGAGAGCCAAGCTTAGAGGGTTTCCTGAGCCTATCTATTTCTTTTGACCGAGATGGTTTGTGTTAATTACCATCTCGAATATATGACTTGGGATTTAGCTAATATCCAGACGCTTCTTGTTTATTGTTATGAGGAATACAGCCTGTTATAACCCTGAACCTTTATTACCGCTAGGACATATTATATCCTGAGAGTTATGCCTACGATTTAAGACTGGCCATAGTCTATGGTTGTTAGTCTAAGAAAGAGTTCATTGAATCTGTGGAGTGATATCGACAGTCTTTGCAGCGGAGACTACCGATACTAAAACTATCCAATATGGTTTAATTATTCTAAACCCTTCAAAGTCTTAGATACTAGGGCAATCCTGTCTGCTACGAGCAAGTCGACTCCGGACTTGGTTTGTAACTACAATCCAGCCGTCAGCAATCAATAAATCCCCATAGCCAAACCGATTGATAAGAATACAGAAAAGGAATATAATTAGCTCACCTCGACACTCTCTGGAGTATTATTCAATGGGCCGTAAGTAGCGCAAACCAGGCCCTTATTTTTGACATAGCTCACCAACCGTGGACACATCACTATCACATCTGAAGCAAAAACGACTCCAGCCAGGCCCCATTTTGTTGCAAAGCGGACAGCAACTTGCACACTTCCAGCTCGCTCCTCCTTATCCACTACAGGCGGCTTTCCTGCGTTTGTGATGAAGAAAATGGGGTATGCCTTTTGTTTGATTGCAAGGAGAATGCAAATTTCAGGGGTGAAGGATGAAAATATTATGTTGCGAGAGCCGGCGTAGCAGGTTATCAAGGTGAGTACCGTATCGACGAATGTGTTAAGCTCGATAGCTATAGGGGCCATCTGAATGGCATGCGCTTCATGGATACGGGGGTATTCTACCGTGGCAATCGTAAGCAGTCTTTTACAGGGAAATAGTATGGAGATGACGTACTTAGTTCTATATCAAATCCAACCTCTTCAGGTACATTAAGCAAAGCCTCTTCTAAAGTTGCAAGGGGTATTTGAATGAAGTCGCCCCGTGTATTGGGTTTGTACCCATTATTAGAAAAGTATACCGTATGCTTCATTCTTAATCTGGCTTCATTGTCCGCTGTTTTTTGGTTCCGAGATAATGATCGTGGGCGTGACCTGGAACTATCGGCGTCATTCCTCGATGATAATTGCATATCGCTAGCATGTATGAACTAGATACGTCAGAGGCTGTGGCATGAAGGAAAACGGATCACATACTTGTTTCAATGTCAAGTCGTGGATTGCAACATCAGTTCCTGACTCGCTCAGAGACAGGTCATGGTACAAAACTGGTATAAGATCTCTTGTCAACTGCACGTCAAACTGTCGAATCATTAGCATCTCAAATTTCAAGGATTAAAAACTAGTGTATAATGCATACCTCGACGTGAGATGCCCCTAAGTTAGCAGCAGACATGAATGACTATGACGGTTAGTTAACACGCTGCAGATCATTTAATTAGCATTACCTCTTACTTGAATAGTGTTTTCCCCTAACTGAAGATAGCCACGGTCTGCTGTATTTTGCCCGGAACCTAGAATGAGTGTAAGAAAGAGTTATATGGATGAACGCTGCTGGCTTACCTCGATGCCCAATTAACTGTGTTGACCGAGTTTTCTCCAGATATTCAAAACTTGAAGATCGAGTATTCAAATCTAGGAAAGGGGTAGCAATGAAGGAGGTAAACGTAAGTTTTCCTATGAGTCTCATAGTTTCCTTCTCCAAGATCGGTACGGTGCTTTCTCTAATCAGGCTCTTATGGTAAGAAATATTTGCGTCATTTTTGCTTGATAAAAGAGATATACCGCTGCCAATAAGTATGTTGCCCAAGTTTGAGTCCGAAGTATTCTTGAGCAGTTTAAACACGAGATGAGTTTCTGAGGTGTCGCCAATAGGGAAAATCAATGTATCATCAACCAGATCCCTTAAAAAGGGTAATCTCAGTATATGAGCAGTACCTCCAGAGGTGGAGATTTCTAGACTCAGTGCACTTTCAGGTAACAATTGACCTGACATTGTTGAAATATCCTCCAAATCAAGGGGGTTAATTTCTCTGCCCTTTTGCACTGTCCCTAGGTTAACAATGAGATACGCAGTATCACCCACGAGATTAAAAGGTGGTGTAGTCATGCAAGGGTTTTGGATCGTTGGTGTTGTAACCTTGTTCGTCTGGAGCCTATTAGCAACTGCAAAATGCCCTCTAAACGCTGCGTGATCCTTTGCTGTCCAACCTTGATAGTCAGACAGTAGCTCATTTGCACCAGCGCGAAGGAGAGCTTCAACTATTGGCAGATGCCCCCGTATGCTGGCTGTAGTTAATGGTGTCCATCCATACGTTTCCTCCTGGGCATCAATTGCCGTATTTTGTTGAGAAGCAATCTCCAAAATGGTATCAACGTAGTCCCTCCTGCCAACCCGGGAAGCGGCATGCAAACAAGTTTCTCCGTTACTAGAGAATTGATTGACCATAGTACACCTGGAAGCTAGAAGCTGGACTAACTCATCATATTGGTATTCGATAGCGATAGTTAGCAGGTCATTGAGTATGTTATCACTGGCCTCATTTATGCCGAAATATACGGCATCCAGGAATATGCGGGCGACATGGACATGCCCCCGTGCAACAGACCACTGGAGTGGTGTTATGCCCGTTGTATTTGCAGCCAATATAACTGAACTTGGTGAGATTCCCAGTTCTTTTAAATACTTTATAATGAAGTCGCAAATCGCCGGGAGTCCAAGTTGAGCACTATATTGTAGTGAAACCGCACCGGCAGCATCTGGGGTGATTAAAAGATCCTTGGCATTTATCCCAGCATGGTCGAGTATGAGATTAAACAGTTTCATAAACAAGTTTTGAGGGTCAAAATTCTCTCTCATCCGTGAATCCATTTCATGGGAAGATATTGACCTTAGACGAGAATGTCGGAATATAGCCAAGAGAAGACTATTGAGCCAGCTACTATTGACCAAAGATCTTGTCTCTGCAGGGTGGCTCTCGATTAAAGCTGTGGTACATGACCAGGACCGGCACATGATTGACATTGTCAAAGAAGTGTTGAAAACTTCGGCGACCATGTCCTTGGAAATATCCGGTGTGCGCTTTAGCTTGCCCAATAAACGGCTCAAATTGATGGATTGGTTAGCAAGGATATCATTGTTCATAGTAGTAAGGAGAAGTCGGGCATCGGAACACTCCTCGGAGAGACTCGTCAAGCTGCAAGCAGATAGAGAATTGCTGCCTTGTCTCGTGCTGCTGATCATTCTTTGTAGTCTCTCTATCTCCGTCAAACACTGCCTTTCACAGAATGCTTGTTCCTCAATGAGGCCATCGAGTCCACGATATGGTGTTGTATGAAATATCCTCTGAGATTTTTCAACTTTGGAATTTATCCTTTGAGAGCCCTCATAGTTCAATCTAATGAACATGTGTAACCGGTCGTAGTCTTCAAGGAGTTCACCGTATATCAAGTACTCGTCCTCCACGGCCAATGACGTTGCCCCTTGACGGACTCGTTTATAAGGCTCCAGTACAATGCTCTCTTTGCCCTTGAGTGTAAGCAACTGGGTATCTATAAACACCTTTATCGTACCAAGAGCACAGCGAAAGGCCGACATAAAATCTAGCATGAAGTCAGACAACACGCAAATTTTCACACCACCAACCGCAAGGTCAAACGTACCTTTCAGGTTGATTTCATATGGCGGCGGATGCCCTCCTTTGGCGGTCGATTTCAGCATAGCTTTCAGCCGTCTGTAAGGAAGATAGTTTGGTCTCCATTCTGGGGCCTGAAGTGACAGAAACTTCTCTTCAAACTTCATGGCTGCCTTGGTGTTGTAGATTCCGGGATATAACAAATAACTAAACGCTTCGTTAACTAGTTAAAGCACGAAATCTTGGACTATAACTAGCTAAGGAACTAGTCTGGTTCAAAGGCTCTTAAATAACTAGTCAGCGGCCTCGATGGCTGCGTTGACGATGGCTGGATAACCCCCCGTAGACACTGTACCGCAAGGTTGAGTCGGCCAGCCGGGATTACCCGCGGCGCTAAGACCACCCCTGGCGCTTAGAAGACGTCAACGCCGCCTGTGATTCGTTCGGAGTTTGTGTTTGAGTTTGCTCCAATAAGATCTAATGGATGTGGGCAATAGGCAAACTCCAGCTGTGAAGGTTTCATATTTGGCCACTGTTTAATATTAAGATGGACCCTCTCTCGGTCACGGCAAGCATCATCGCCGTGGGCACCGTCGCGGGCAAGATATGCTCTGCTTTCACTGAGCTGAGGTCTCTCTGCCGCAGCCTTCCCGGGCGCCTCCATGCATTGAACAATGAAGTCGCTGATCTCGAGATCGTTCTCTTTGAGCTCGCTTCGCTCACAGAAAGGCGGACGGCGGTACTCGACAGTGAACGGATGTCTCTTCAACACCTGGTGAAACAGGCAGAGGTCAAGCTGTTGGAGTTGCAAGAAATTGTAGGCCGACTGCGAACGGCGTATCGAGATGCTGCGGTTCCATTTGCTCTTGGAGCCTTTAGCAAGGAAAAGACCAGGCTCCAGGGGTTGCAGGAGGAAATCAGGTCGGTCAAATGTGATTTGAACATCATGCTTGGTGCTTCGAACTCGTATGTACTACACTGTTGCATCTCTGCTGCCTAGTTTGATCTGTGTTTCTTTGATCTGATTCTCTTCCAGACAAGATATGACTGATATGCGTCTTCAGTTGGAGGCCATATCCATTATCACTAGGGAATCTTCCCAAGAAAACATTGCTTTGCAAGGCCAGCTGATCAGCAGTCTTTCGCACGTAGACGAGCGGGTGGCTCGTGTTGAAGAGCTGCTACGTTCCCAGGCACAAAAAGTCAAGGAAGAACAGTTCACCCAAGTTGGACCGCTCTACAATATCATTGCTGCGAGACGACACTCCCCCCATCCAAGGAAAGCCCCTATACCTAGAGATGGTGGGTTAAGCACTTACAGTGGACCGGCTACTCCGTATCGGGTTCGCTGTGCTCCAGCATGTACGTGTGCCTGTCATACACAGTTACGGAGGGCCTCGCTTGGCCTCTTTGAGCGAGTTCTAGGACAACTGTTTATTGGATGCTCGGGGATCCCCTATCTGTCACCGAGCTGCGATGCTGATACATGTACCAAATACCGTGCGAGTAAGATCAGCATGGAATACTGGTTCCCCATGGGACACAACTCAACCATTCTCCGTATGCAGGCAGGGTATCAAGCCAATACTGGTCTCCTTTTCCAGCTCCAGACTTTGAGAAGTGTTCCTGATGACGCGCAGTGTGTGAAATTTGCATTGGCTGGGGATATAGAAGGTTTGAAGTATCTCTTTGCCAATGGCCTCGCTTCTCCGAGAGATATAAGTCCGGCAAGAGGCTACACCCTTCTTCGCTGGGCGCTTTACGGTAAGAAATATGCCACTTGCGAGTTTCTTCTCCATGCAGGTGCAGATCCGGACTACAGACCCATAGCCATGTCGGATAACAGCCCTCGGATGAAGGCCTGTCACTTTCTTCTTGAAGGAGGCCTCCCGGAGGATGGCACTGATGCATTGCGGCTAATTGTTCGAGGTGGTCATTATGATGATTTTATCGACGAGTCAAACTTCACTCAGACACATCGTATTGTTCTTGGTTTGTCACTTCGGAGCTTAGAAGAAGAAGTAAAACTGCATCCGGAAGATATCAATGCTCAGGACTCTATGGGCCGGACTCCATTGGCTTGGGCGGCAGCACGAGGAGATAGCCATGCTGTTGTTACCCTGTTAAGCCACGGAGCTGATCCAAACATCATAGATGTACAGATATCCGGGCCAGTATCAAATGCAGCTGCTCGGGGCTATACGGCCTGTGTTCGACTGTTACTTGAGGCTGGAGCCCATCCAGACCCTCCAATGCCTACGGGAGTGAAAAAAGGCTCCCCACTGAATGTGGCAGCCCGCAATGCTACTGATATCCTGCTACTGAAGAACCTGCTGGACTTTGGGGCCGACCCTGATTCAAGTGGTACGGACGGAGACACGCCTCTAATCCACGCTGCCCGGACTGATAACTCTAGCTTTGCGTTACTGTTTCTTGAGTATGGCGCAGATATCAACTGCATCTCAAAAAAGGGAGCCACCCCTTTGACCACCGCCATCACTTATAACAGCCATAATGTCCTGTCATTGATTTTGGACAGGTGGCATGAGTACTCGGACTGTCCACGTCTAAAAGCACCGGATTTACTCCAGGCCGTGGCCTTGTATGCAGATGTTAAGACTATGCAAATCATTTCGAGCATGGATCATCTGCGATCGAGGCAGGACAAGGATTATATCATTGGAGACTTTAGCAGCCGCTTACATCAAAGGCCTGACCTGACAGAGGAGTTAACCATTGCCTTTGGTAACCTGCTAGATGCCATCAACAACGTCAATACCACGAAGCCGAAGTCTCGTATCTGTCCGGAAAAGTTGCTCGAGGCTGGTTCAATGCCGCCCCTGCTCACTAATAATCAGATATCCAGAGAAGATTGTCAAGACAGCCCCAGCTCAGAATCAGGATGTTTCTTTTCCTGTCCTGGGTCGCCTGTTGGCTTTTTTGATATCAGTGATGAGAATGCTCCAAGCGCTTTCCCAGATGACGTTGAGTCCCAACCAAATCACCCGTGAATGTGACCTTGCCCTATGCCTCTCACCCTCCAACTAGACGGGATTTCAGCCCCTTTTATGCTATTTATTCTTTTTATATTTACTTCCCATCTTCCTTACTGGTTTCAGGAGGATACGATTAAGTTAGGGTTCATGCCTTGTTTGCACGTGACCATTTCATACCAAAATCTTTGAGGCAAAAAGTGAAGAGAAGGAAAAAAAAAAAAAAAAAACGACAAGCGGAGAGATGAAGCTGCATTGGAAGACCAGTATATTTGAGGGTGGATGAGGAATTGGAAATAATAGGGATGTTCACTTGTTTTGAGGCGATTTCTTATTTATCAAGGGTATAACAAGTGGGAGGCTACGTTGAACAACTTCATATCTAGCAGCTGAGCACAGCTACTAGAAATGGAACATGAAGGAGATATTGAAATATCACTGCTGGTACCCTGAGAAAAAGAGACGGCAGATATCATTTGACTAGTCAAAAGAAGGCAGGCAGCAGCAGAGCAAGCGGGGCGGAACATCATCCATGTACCCCTTTTACAACTTATACCTCTCCTGTTTCCAATGGGCAGGAGTCCCACCAACGCAGTCGACCAGTGGGAAGCTTTGCTCTCCATACATACTAAACTGTGATATCTCGACTCTCTCATCGCCGTAGATGAGGTCGAGCATCATTTTCAGTTCGACAGTCAGGAGTGTACAACCCTCGGCACTCTTCTGCATCCAACCTGCCTCGAACTTCGCTGTGTTTAAAGCTGCTTTAACAATGACGAGCTCTTTGGACAAAAGGTCTGCGAAAAGCTTTCGTCGATCTTTGAGATCACTAGCAGATATCGATTTGGCAATGCTTTCGGCTATACGTTTCCTAGCCGCCATACCTCCTACGCCATCCGTGGCGTTCAACATACTGGCGTCCTCATGGTACTGGCGAGTCTCCTTGTAGTCGACGGGGGAGGTGTAGTTACACCATCTGCTTAGTATCCTGGATAGGGTGTTAGCGATCATGAGCCTTTTGGTATGTTCGATTTCGTGCGGATAGAAGATGAATGGAAATTCCCTGATATCGACTGTGATCTGTCTCCAGAGAAGGTCAAGCTGTTTCCTCTTAACTAGAGACAGAATATCCGAAGAAAACCGTCCCTGTCGGACAAAATCTCGTATCTCGTCAAAACATCTCTTTGGATTTATACCTAGGTGGTCACACGCCATCTGGAAAAGAGTCGAGGGCAGAATTTGGGCGAATCTGGCTGGAATTTCGCGATACTGCCTTTCCTTGAGAATGGCCATATACGCCGGCCTCCAATAATCAGCCAGGTCATTGTCGTACGGGTCTGGTATCGACTGGTATCCCAGCGTGCCTCTGCCATTTATGCGCTCAAAGATCATGGAATATCGATTATAAAACGACCGTTTTCGGAACAACAGGATCTTTTCTGCGACTTTTCTGGCCAGTTCATATTCTAATGGTCTCAAGCTCGGCTCAAGATTACAGTGCATCCGAAAGCTGTCAATAAGGGTCGACCACATGAATCGCAGCCTGAACTCCTCGTCTTGATATTGGCATAGCTGCTGCTTGCCGACGCCTGCTGCCTCTGCGCTAAGGTACCGCTCTCGGGCATCTTCGTTAAGAGTGTCTCGCCGCTGCACGGCCTCGCTTACCAGGCTCCATGCGCGCTTGGCTATCGGGGAGAGTTTGGGGTCTGGTGGAGATGATGTCGGCTTCCTGCCGGCGTCTCCGCTTGCTGCAGAGGGCTGCAAGGCCACTGGCTCTTTATCTTCATCTAGCGGGAGAAGACGTGGGGATGTGTCGGCCATCTCTCTGGCCGCGAACGGTTATAATAATATACTCATACGAATGGCACAAAATCGACCCGGCTCTTCGCTCCAGTTTTCTGCACTTCCTCTTAAACCGGCTTCCTAGGGCACCACCGCCCTCTGCATCTTGTCCTCCCGCCGCCGTGAGGCCCCGTATAACGAGAAGGCGAGGCTCACTGGCCGGTGAAGGAGCTACTTTGGTTAACACTCATCCACCCCTTAACTAGTGAGACAAAATAAAAAAAAAAAAGCCTCTATAACTAACCACCTAGCTAAAAACAACGCTCTACACAATGAACGACAGGCTATCCACTCTCGTATTTCAACGTCTCTGTAGAAAAAGAAGTAGAGCGAAAAGAAATGGTAGCTAGCCCCTTTGTCTCCAGATTAGTGATGCTTCGGCCTAGAACGCCGGCACAGACCAAAAAGCTGGCATCGTGACTATTTGGCGCAGACTTGGCCGTAGAAAAAAAAAAAACTCCCCCTTTGCCCCAAAGCCAGCCAGCAGGTCGACCGCCAGAACGCACCAGCTTTCCCCGGCCATGCTCGCTTCGTCCTACTATCGACACACAGACAACCTCTCGGGGCCTTGCGCAGTCGGTTTCTGTCCCCAAGGCGCGCAGGAGTGCAGCGGACAGCCCATGACCCGGAGATGAGCCAGCCGCCCTCTCAACGGCCAGGCGGTTCACTCCCAAGACCGATCAGGTTCGTCTCGTCAGATGGCCAGCCGCAGACGAAGCGGCGCAGGGTGATCGCAGCGTGAGTGCTCCTTATTTATGTTTTGCCTTTGGTCTGTCCGGGCTGTTGCTGACCGTCGTTTGGCCTTTGTCTCCGTCTAGCTGCCGGACATGTCGAAAGCGCAAGAGCCGGTGTTCGGGCGAACAGCCAGGTATATACCATCGCCGGCGTCTAGATATACCGTCTAAAGGATACCTTACTGAACGGTTTCTTCTCTATCAACAGTTTGCAAGACGTGTACGGACTATGGGCACACTTGTCTTGGATACAGCGACCCTGCCAGCGCTCAGCCGGCCGCATCCTCGTCCTCCACCGCCGCCGCTGCCACTCGACCGGCTACACAGTCAGATGTGAAAGGAAAAGAGACCGCTGGGAAACCTGACGGTCCAAAGGAGAAGGCAAAAGAACCAGAGGTGCTTGGATGCAGTGCTCCCGTTCCCAGTACGGATCTTCGCGAGCAGAGACGAACCGCAGACGTGGCAGATCAAGCGCAAGATGTTCAGCGAGAAATACATGTGGAGGATGTTGCGCCAGCTATCAGCAGTCCAGAGAGCAGTATGTTTATATCTGATACAGTCTATGGTCGAGAAGACGGCTTATGCTGATGGAATACTACTATATAGCACGGTCTGCCCTTATCTCGAGCCACCGAACCCATGTCCCGTACTTTAGATATTTTGGGCCAACGGCCATCGTTCCGGGATTCAAGCAGATGGTATACAACCCTCAAGTACATGAAAGAAAGACATAATTCTAACGAGCGGAATACTTCAGGTTGTTCGGGTCCGGGAAACTCGCAGGAGTAATCCTTCACTCTCAAATGGTGTGTTGTGCAGAAACATACTGATACTACTGAGGACTGCTAATCCTAACTCAGAGCATCAGATTCAACAGCGTCTATTCAAGATCCCACTATGGCTCATGGAGCTGGAAGTTCGCGTCTTGGACCTGGCGACTCGAACAGCATTCACTTCTATGATCCTGACGATCCGCTTCCCAACAGTGAAATCGTAACCCATCTATGTGAGGTCTTCTTCGCTCATCTGGGCTGTAATTTTCCTTTCCTACAACGAGATAGATTCCTTCGTAGCTTGAAGGAGAAGCAGCTTGCGCCCATCCTTGTGGATGCAGTGTGTGCCTTGGCTGCCAGATTTTCTCTTCATCCTCTGCTCTCCGTCGAACCCGTTAATGAAGCTCCATACCCCCATCATGGCCAAGCTTTCGCGCATCGTGCTATGTGCGCCGTCGTGGATGCACTTGCCTGTCCAACTTTGGCTGTCGTACAAGCCTGTCTTCTCCTTGCCTATGAGGAATTCGGTTCTAACCATGACAGCGGTCTATGGATGTATCTTGGGATATCGATCAGGATGGCGCAAGATCTAGGCATCCAGAAGCTTGATGGGATGAAGTTCAGATATGGCTGTGTTGGTCTTACTCCCAAGGCTGTCATAGCCGGTCAGATGGTTGATCCTGAAGCCTCTGCATCTGCCTCCACCAAGCGGACAGATGAAACAAATACCAAGGATTCGGATACAGAGTCGGTCGAGGCAGAACGAGCAAAGGAAAGGGAAAAAGTCGATCTGTTCTGGAGTATCTTCTTCCTTGACAGGGTTATATCCTCTGGGACTGGGCGGCCAGTCACTCTCCGGGACGACGACATTGAGATACATTTCCCTCTAGATTCAGAATCAATACTTTATAATGGCTGGCCATCTCCGTATCCTCCACTAATGAGAATCATACATCTATACGGGAGGATGACGGATCTATTAAACTCAATCAAGGAGGTTAAACATGTCACTCCAGATGTCCTTCGGCGCCTTGCTGGGATGGAAAATGACCTAACTGGTAATCTTTCAACCACTGCTTTCCAATGATTAATGTATGATACTGACTAGTTATAGGCATATACCAAAAGCTGTCTCCCAAGCTACATTTCAATGTTATCAATTTCCAGACCTATGTCAAAGCTGGCCAGGGGACCAACTTCATCCTCCTACATTTCGTAAGTCTACAACTCAACCAATACTTATATCGTAATAAAAGCTGACATTTGATAGTGGTTCCATACTCTCATTGTACTCCTTCACCAGCCTACTTTACTGCATTCATTTAGTGGTAAAATACAGCAGTTGTTTTCCAACAGTCGAGAACTGTCTATATCCTCTGCCAAAACTATCGCCGATATCCTTGCTTTTGCAGAACTGATAGATGTCAAAAGCTTCACTGGAAACCCCTTTACCAGCCAGCCTATCTACATCGCCGCATGCGCATTTCTCATGGAGAGCGCCTTCTACTCTGTCCCTTCGTCGAGGGCTGAAAGTCCACCTCCTAAACCTGCGTCTTCAAACCAGTCATCGAAACCCCCCGAGACTGAAGCAGACCGCAATACAGCACCAGACCGTAGTTCCAACCCTAAGCACTCACTACTCGCTGCTGCGGCAAAGGAAAATTACCAGAGGTGCTACAAGGCCCTGCAATCATTAGAAAAGTCCTGGGCGGGCACCAAATATATTCTTACGGCATTGGATCAAAAGTCAAAGGGAATATGGGATCCTTTGCTGTATACTGAAGAGGAAATGGAGAGCACTGCTGGTGTTGATATATCGCTAGCTATGGCATGGAAAAAGACTCAGGCTAGTTCCACAAACGCCCAAACCACCAGTGATTCGTCTCAAGCTGGCTCATCTCACGGTGCAGCCTCTACTGGCCTGGAGTCTGCCAATATTGATCCTAGTCGGGGTGAGTATTTGTACTGTGCAAACGATGTTCCCAGTTACTAACTATGGAACAGCCATAGGTTGGTCATTAACCGGCGCCACCAACTCATCACAGCCAAACTTGAGCTTTTTATATCAGCTTCCGACTACCTCATCAGGCATTCCCGCACAATACCCTGAAACCTCCCAGTTACAAGCCACTTTTCAACGCTCCCGATCTTCTAATCTACACTCAACGAATTCCGCCGCCACCCAGTCGTCACTGCAGCCTTTCCAGAGCCATGAAACTTCTAGCCAGCCAAGGGGAACCCCCCAGCTCCCGTCCCCAGCCCAGCAAAACACGCTTTCGCCCCCTTATTCACACATCCAGCCTGACAGACAGTCCCCATCCAGCACCACACTTAACCTAACTCGCAGTCCAGGTTTTACTAGCCAGTCCACATCTCTATCTCGCTCTCAGCAGTCCGTCTCGCCCGGAGCACAGCTGCGGCAAGACAGCAACACGCAGTATAACTTTCACACTCCCTCTCCCTTTGGTAACCAGCCCATGGCTGCACTAGATAATACGCATATTCCTGGATACGACAATGTACCCTTGAACTCCCAGAACCTCACTATCGAAACCCAGGATATTGACATGAACAACCTCCAAAACCAAGCGAGTTTCCCGTTCTCGTTTGAAGGCGGTTTTATGCCGTGGCTGGAGTATCTACCCGAAGATGTCCTGCATTTTTTTGGCGACTCTCAAGGCTAAGGGGTGCTATCTGAACCTTGTGCCGGCCTGTGGCTACTTTTCTTTGTACATTTTATATTGCTTTCTGGTTTTATGAGCGATGATTTCATGAGCGTTCCTCACTGCGAGCCGGGATACCTATTGTTATATTTCGAGTAGGATAAGCGGGTTTTTCGTATGGTTACTCATCGTAATTTTATCCTTTTTCTCCTACTTTCCCCTGGATAGTGTATAATTATATTTATTGATTATATTCAATAACACTATAAACAAAGCATAATCAACGGTGATCTTCTTAATTCGTCGCAGATGTTGTAGTTAACTTTGGATGGTTGTCCCTGGCAACGAAGAACATCCCAGCCACCAGCGAACACATCATCAGAGCGAGCAAAATGTTCACCGAGATTTGATATGCGACGCCCCCCAGCCGTGCTTGTGAGATTGTTTTCAGTGTAAAATATTGCTTATTTACGAGGACCTTCCGGTGATGATTAATGTATGCAGCTATCCATCCCCTCTTTGTGTCGAGGACGGCTGCCAACTTTTGTTTACAGTATATATAACGAGACCACCGGCCTAAAGAACCGCCATCAACGTCGCTTTTACAGACCTCTACTCCTCTAAGCCGAGGTCAAGAACCATTCTACGACGCCCAATCGACGATGACCACCCCGCAATTGACAGAAGACAAGATAAAGATAGACGCCGCGGCGAACAGCAACCCTGTGGCCAACGGGTCAGCCAAAGCCACCTGTACACAAGCTCCCGCAGGCCCGAAAAACAAGAATCATCAAACGCTGGGCGAAGAGGATATATCGATGGATGATATAGATACAGGATCTGGGCCGCATGAGAATGGCACTGGTGGGCCTACACAAGCCAACGAGGAATATAGATACAGTTCTTCGTCCACATCACAGCCAGGATCAAGAAGCAGCTCTGGAAACACCGAATACAGAGAAGGAGAGATAGACGATTTCCCGTACGACGATGAGTTTGAAGATGAAGACAAGTCCTTTGTCAGTGACCTGCGAGGCGGTGGGAAAGGGATTCGTTCAGCACGTACTTCGATCTCGTCGCTTCCAGGATCGGTTGTTGTATTCCCCAATAACAAGTCAGGGGGAAACGGACACCTGTCAAGGGGGGATTATCGACAAGATATCAATATCAATACTGCTGATAGGAACCCCATATTTGAAAGCCCCCTTTCCGGTGGCAGAGTTCGCTCCAAGAAAAAGATAGCTAAGGACGGGCGGTACAGCTATGCACCGCAGGTGAGAGACTTGGACTCTCCGTTTCGCCACCCCAGCTCAGTCCGAGCTATGCAGATGGGGGATGAGGACTATTATGATGACGGATGTATGGATGACGGGAACTATTTCTCGTCTCCACCGTCAAGGAATAGCCGGATGGGCGGCCGTCAACATGGATCCCCGAGGATGTCAGACGTTTCGTTCAGATCAAGACCTATGTCTCCATCTGATCAACGGTCATATCATACCAGTCCACCTCAGCCAATCCAGCCGAGCAAGGAGTATGCGCTTGTCCTGCTTCATTGCACCTTACTTCCACCGTGTTTCCCTCTTTCACTTCCGCCTGGACTACCTCCCCCAAGCAAAGAGTTGCTCAAAGAGATATTGCCTGATGCTTATTGGACTAGATGGAAATTATTAGAAGAGAAGATCGGCTCTACCGGCCTTTTAAGGGACAGAGGAATCCTTATATCTCATCCCCAGGAGGCATATGACTTGCTAGAGGAACGTTTGCTAGAAACCCTGGGTTTGACTCGCCCAAGACTTGCATATGGTCATTTCATTGGGGGAGAGGATGATACCGATGAGGATGAGCACGTCACTGAAGATGAAGATGAAGATAACGACACTGAAACCGGCTGTGTGAAACACAAATGCCAGGATTGTGGTCAGAAGGTCATCAAGAATCGTGATGGGATTGAAAAGAAATGGGAGGTCAGAGTCTACGCTGCAAACGGACTTATGGGGCAGGGCGCTTGGTCAGCTGCTTGGAAAGAGATGGAAAAAGTCGATGTGGAAGTTGGGCTGTGTCTTCCGACAAAGCTGAGGAATGAGCTGGAGCTAAGGCTGACTCAGGAGATATTGAAGCCAGAAGTCAAGGTGAAGGATTTTCCACTTCGAGCATCCAAATCCGGTGAGATCCCTTCAGTACGTCCTCAATCGCAAATTGATGGGTTGGATGAACCACCACAGGCAAAGCCAGCAGCTAAATCGCCGGCCCGCGAGAGAGGGAGAATAGCGTCTATCCCAAAATCAACACAGTACCCTGGGGATGATGTCAACCTTTGGAAAGCACTCTTTAATTACATACGAATAGTGTGTCGAGGCAATCAGCTCCCGATAATGACCGTCTTTCTTGTTCTACTTGCTCTTCTGACTCCTTCTCCGTACCACTTCCTTGGACACTCCTCCTCGGATGTTACCATGCCGCAGCTCGACACCATATCCCTAGACCAGGCTTCAATTACGCCAATGCCTACCAGCAAAGTAGAAGCAGTGTCTCAGCTACCGGCTAGCTCGGGAGAGATTGTGGAAAGCTCATTGCCGGTAAGACAAGAGTTGCCGACTGCGTCGTACTCTGGGGACAGTTCTCAGGAAACTGTATCAACCCAATTAGATTCTTCTGCCTCGCATCCTAAATCTCAAGAGCAAAAAACATCATCCGAATTGGATACCTTACTTGATGAGAATCCTTCAGCTGAGACAATCGCTTCGACGCAATCAGGCCTTCCAATTTCTGGCTACCAACAGCCAAATGATACCACGATGCCCTCACAGCCCGAGGAGCCTGCTTTCTCGGTTCCTTCAGCTTCATCAGATTACTCAACACAACAGGATCAGCCATCCCCTTCATTTACACCAAGCTCTTCTTCTTATGCAACTTCATCTACCTCTCCCACCTTGCGTCCTGTTGAGAACGGAGATCAGCCCGAAGATACACAAGATTTTTTACACTTTTCTGTACCTCAAGACCACATACCTATTTCAACCGATGCTGCAGCACCTGAGGTCGAAATAGCACGCGATGAGATATTTGAATCTGTACCAAAGCCACCACAGTCAACACCCGCCCCAACCCCCGCCGCCATGGAGAAGGAAAACGGGCTACCGTTCCAATCGAGTCCCCACGAGAAGGTTGTCCATGCAGACTCAAAGCCCTCCACAGATGAGGAGGATCAATAACCGATTTTGCATTAGGACAATATTCCTATTTTTAGCCCATCCTTTCTTTTTGGATCTAAATATTCTATGTTTATGTTTATGACCTCATCACGCCTTGATGTCGCCCAAATACTTGCTGTCATTCGTGTTTCTACCTGTACGTCCCAAATATACCCCTCTTACCGTACTATACCAACGATAAGTTGTTGCAACTTTGTATTTGTTCAATCCATTATTGGCAGCGTTTCACTCTTCCTTTTTTTTTTTTTTTTTCTTCTATATTCCGTATCATTTTAAGCCCTTTGAGCAAGCGAATTTCCCCCATCCATTATGCCCTGAGCATTACCGCAGTTTTCGCCTGTCTTCTTGAAAAGTGAGCAATTGTGCACCATATGCGCAGGCAATAAGTTTCGCTAGTATTTATCCTTTAAATAAATTTGATACCAATAATACAAAAGATATACACTATGCTGTCCGTATGTTCACTGTAGGAAAGGCTGTATGACGATGCCAGAATCTCCTACTCTCGTATGGCCTTGCAAGCTACCTAAACTATAACTACATGCTAGTGCCAACTTTCAATCCGCATGGCCATATTAAATTCAAGTACATCAGCATTCTTGAGGTATCATTTGGTATTGTATCGCTTCGGATACGGGGAGGCTGACATATAACTTAGTTCCCTCAGCCTTGAAGCTGTGGCCTCTTCGTTCAGCCCAACCAGCTAGCTTCTTAACTATTCCCCGAAGAGCCCCAAATCAAGGTGTAAGACACCCATTTTGTGGCGTCTGGGGAGAGAAGAAAAAGAAAATAATGTATACCTAGCCAGAGCTAGCACATGGCAATGCGGTGTAATCGAAGGCCATGGACCAGACTTTCTAGAATCCCGGCCGGATTGACATTACTGAGAGAGCGAGCATCAGCCATCGCTTGACAGATGTCATTGCACTGATGACGGTACTGCTCAGTGAGACGCATTCTAAATCTCTGATACTAGAGTTGTACCGAGTCAACCACTACTCAGTTATACCCGATGCTGCCGCTTCAAAGTTCAACTTAGCCTCCACGAGGAAAGGCTTTTGGCGTTAAAATAAGCCCAAGTCTTGGTGTTCGCTAATAATAGGGAGGCACGTTGAAGACAGGCATTTCGCCCAAGGTTTGAGGCCACTAGAGCCGAATGGCCGCAGGCTGGTCCACGTCTTGAGCACTCTATAGATACTGCGCCTAAGAAAAGACGGCAGTGCATATGTATCGTTGACGCTCTCTTCCCCTGCTGTGGACTTCAATAGCTGGAAGCGGATTTATATCAGCTACTAACAACAGCTAGTGTATGGACTGGGATGGTTACTTGTTCAGACATCAGCTAGCTAGGACAAGGCCACAGAAGCTTAACATCCGTCTCGGGCAGATAGTTTGATATACTGCATGCTGGGTATCCTCCTGCTTGGTTGTTAGTATATTTGTACGCGAAGGAGTTAGTGTATGTCTTACTTTTAAGGACGAACCATAGATCCGCAAGATACCATTTTACGGACTTTCAACTACCACACGGGGCAAAGTGTAACCCCAAAATTAGTGTGGGTAGTACTTCATTTTGGGGCCTCGAGTTCCATTCCGTGTCCAAGAGGCCTTGTCCAATTGCTTTTCTGGGTAATGAAGAAACTTGGGTACAATACCTCCAAGAATAGAACTCCACTACTGAATTAGTGCAGAGGCAAAACAGAGGAGAGAGTGCAAGCAGCCCCATGCAACTAGGCTGTGAGATGGCAGTGTATCATTCTCATATAGTATATCAAACCGAGGAAAGGTATAAATTAGACAGCCTTCCCCAGAAAATCTGTACTTCTCCTCATCGTCAACAATCAGATCTCCCTTTCACTCCAAAGAAAACTTAGAATTCTCTGCACTATTATCTCAGTTCACGCCATCACCCGGCCAATATGAAGCTCACTGCCCTCTTTGTATCTGCCGCAGCTGTCGTCCTCGCTGCCCCGACGGCTAATCCAAACAACCCGGAAATCGAAGCACGTAATACTCAATTCGTCTCCCCAAAAGACACCTTCCTTCATTACATCAACACTGGTGTCACCAATCACGACATTTATGGAAGACCCCTGGTGGTAAAGAACGGCAAAGCCGCCGAAGAAACCAGCGCAGTCGTCACCTTTGTTTTTGACGGGAGCTATAACGGCCGTCGATGCAGACTCCGTTTCGATACTTCACCCGGCGACGTATCTAAGGGTTCGCAGCAGCTTGACGTATACAGCGTGATTAACCCGCCAACCTGGCCCATTCAAAGTCCATTCAGCAGAGACCAACACTATGGCCGAATCTATGTTTTGGTCCCTGGAACTGCACAGTGGGTGCAGGGTTATAATGGATATCCTGAATTTGACTGTCCCGTCAACAAGCGCATTGGGTATGAGTTCGTTGGTGTTTATGATTATGACATTATCGGCTGGAACGTCGGTTCAACTGGGCCTCGCATTGAAGTTTTGTAATAGGGGGTATAATCCACGGTGGCTGATCAATGGTTGTTTTTCATTTCTTTTCATCGCTTTCATAATAGTTAACGGCTCGCCGCTGCATGTTAGTTCTCTTAATGTTTAGATCAGTGAGCGCTGATCTATAGCGAGTATATAACCTCTGAATGCCATTTGATGTTTGAATGCGATTATTATTACCTATGGTAACATTTCATAAATCCTGAGGTTGTAATAAATTGGTGTTTTAAAGTTCGATGCTCAACTTTGAGCCTCAAGATGGTCACGTGCACAAACAACCCCAACTTCGACCAGCCTCATCCTCCACGTCAACATAACAAAACAACCACCGATGGTGTCTATTTGTTAGAGGGATCCTGTTTATAGGTCTAGCAATAGCTTCTTTACAGCTATGCTGTGACCAGAAATTTGCACTGCTTGATACGATTGATTCTGCCAGGCCATGAGAAAATGTACTCCACCAGAAGGTCGCATTGCTTCCTAGTCAGTTGGAGCTTCAGCGATTCCCATTATGGGAAAAATTACTCTCAAGCAAAACAGATACTTTGTGGATCAGTCACTATATGATCGGGGATGAATTTGCGATGAAAAGCTATCCACTCCGTCCTCAGGCTTTCGCGGATATATCTGGTTGGTCCGCACCATGTACCAGCTTTTCAGCAGCTTTACTGCTTGCCTCTTCTTCCAGGTCTTCCCTCAATTTTTGCTCCTTAAGCTGCTTCAAGTGCTGGCAAAAGAGACTTCCAGCTCTTATCTGGTCCCCGTACCGAATAAAAGCGAAAGGAATCGCCGTCATAGCCAAGCTAGCAAAAGCAAGCAGACTACACCCCCAACTTATTCCAAGAGATGAATACATACGGCCTGCTGCTACTGGGAGGGCAGTTCCAAGAATGCTTCGGGCAAAACTCGCAGCTGATTGCGCGCTTGCCGAGAACGTCTCATATGCATCGGAAAGATAGTTAATCATTGCAATAAAAATGAGGAGGAATCCCGCACCGAACGGGATACCAGAGAGCATTGGGATAGACCAGTGGATATTGGGTGAAGCAGTCCATCCCAGCCAGAAGAGAGATATAACAAATAGTGGACCTCCAACGACAGCTAGTGGAAGTCGCCGGTATTCTTCCACGCCTGCCCAAGGAGCGTTTCGAAGTTTTGCACGGTTAAGATAGCTATCCCAGCATAAAAAGAGACCGAGGGCTGCAGCAACTCCGGCGCCAACTAATCCCATTGATCAGGCCTATTCGAACTGAGATAATAAAGGGAGATCAACTTACTTGGTAGGTACATCAGTCCTGCAATTCCTGGGCTCATATGGTATGTCTCTTTCCAAGGTAAAACAAGTTAGCATTTGTTTCCCATTCACTCCAATTATCCAGATACTCACTTTGAAAAATTAACGGATATGTCTGAAAATACATGAAGAAAATGGCATAAACCAATGCTAGATATAGACACGTGAAAAGCACGATTGATTCAAATATGATCATTCTAATGGGCCGTGTCAGGGTCACAGTCAAGGTCTCTTTGATTCCTTTCTTCTCGAGATCGAGAGCCGAAACTATTTTATCATCCCCTGTTTCCTTGCGCAGTTTCCGAGCTCTTTGTTGCAGAAGCACTGGAGCATATGTTTCGGGCGCCAAGAGAACGATCGGGGCTGTCAACCCAGCAAATATCAAGCCTACCCAGAAGCTCCATCTCCAATTTACTGCTGATATGAACCCTGTGACAGGTGGACCAACAATTGGACCCGCACATGTTGACTGCAAAAGTTAGCCTTGCCTTTGATTAGAATGAAAGCCGGAGTGGCTCTTACTGCCATAAAAAAGGCCATATATCTCCCTCTTGTCCTGGGCTCGTCATACACATCGGCAAACACTCCCCCAACAACGGCTATGGGCGCTGATGCTGACACTCCGACAAAAAACCGCATAGCCAGCAGAGCAGCCCAGCTTTGCGATAAGGCACACGCAAGAGTGAAGAGCATAAAAGCTGCAAAGCCTACTATGACCACCGGCTTACGCCCATAAGACTCCGATAGGGGTCCGCACACAATTGGCCCGAAGACGTAACCGAGTAAAAATAGAGATATTGGAAGAGTCAGCTGTTCAGCAGATCGAATTTTGAACTCCCGTGCTATATAGGGTATCGCTCCGCTGGGCAAAGAAGAACCAAGAGTGCTATTTAGCACGTTCATGATTCCAGAAAAGAGAATGAACAGTTTTTTGTTCTTTATTCCGTCAGCTCAGCCTGGAATTGCACAGACAGAATACATACTGTTGACCAATTTATTGGGTTTTCGGGGTCTTTTGCCTGGAACGACAGGACTGTCTTGGAGGCTACACGGCGACATCTATAGGAAGTCTTGTAAATGCCTCCAATAGACATGTTTTTGCCTTCTTCGTCGCCATTACCGACTACTTCGGATAATGAGGACCCGGCAAGTATTTCTGGAACCGCCACAGGATCTGAGGAGGCATCAGCATCATCTCATACTCCGTCGATATTCTGGGCCACTTACTAGCAACTACAGCAATTTCTTTTAGCTGGCCATCAACTTGCGCGGGAGCCTTTTCAACTGTCCTCATCTCTCCTACAGCTTCACAGTTTTGAAGGCCAAGACGAAAATACCGAGTTTGAACCGAGAGAGCTTGGGGAATGTTTCAACCTATATATTCTGATGAAGGACATCACAACATTATATCGTCTTTGATTACGTCTTTAGGCTCTAATCAGTTTGACATACCAGGGGAAGAGATCATCATATTCACACAATAATGTGAAGAAGATAGCATAGTGGAATAACCGTGGGGACAGCCCGGTTAGCACGGCTTCTTTTCATGCATTTCTTTTCTATACGGGTTTCCAGGCCTCCTGTCTAAGATATAAGGAGCATTGGTAACTGGCTAACCAATCACTAGCCTGCAACTTCAGGAGGGTGAGAGTGCGGAAATGTTGGTCTCGTTTAGCCTAGGGCCAGGGGTCCCTGAAATGTTTGCCGAGGGAGAGAACCGACATTTTTCGTTGAAAGTCCCTTCTTTCCTGCGGGTTTGTCGGGATAACTTAGTTATACGGACTTGACTTTCCCCACCATCGAATCTGCATCCTTCAAACAGAATAATAATAATAATAATTCCAGGCCTTGACTCTGGGTGGAGTTTGTCGACTCGTGGAAACATCGTACCGAGATTTAGCGCGAATGCCTGCAGACGCTTTGACAAGAACAAGCATTGCACCGATAGACAGAGGTTAGATAACTAATGCGGTGAGAGACCTAGCAATGGTACTTTTCGAGAACAACTGCTTTACCTAGCATCCAACTACCAGAGCCCTTCACTTACTAGGTATGCCCTGCCAGTCGGTGATATTAACCAACCCGTTGGTAAGTGAACGGGATCAGTTTAGCCCAAGAGCCAAGAGCGGGACCGGCACGAAGAAGGACCTCCCTGATGCTGTGCAACACGAAGATTCCGCTGCTGATGCATGGCGGGACCTCGCCTGAGTCGACACCCACGAGGTGCATGGTGTGAGCAAGGCCCGAGTGCATGACCGCCGAAATGGAAGCAAGAATGTGTCAACCCTGGCTAGAGATTACAGATACATTTTCCAAATGGAGTACCAGGATACGGATTACTAGCAGCACATAAATTGTGGCCGACATATCTTGGCCCTTACACGATCGTAGACAGCGTCATGAGGTCATGAGAAATACAAGCGACCAAAACATCTCTCTATATATGAGACCTCACTTTTATCCACAGAGACAACGAAAATGCTTCCTACAGGGGTTACTATTGGTTGTTGCATGCTCGGGATTCGGAGAAAAAAAGGAATTCTTAAAGCACAGGGGAAGTTGCGTTAACAGGATTGCTTTTGATCTTGGGACATATTATTCTGAACGATGATATTGATGGAAACACGTTTCCATTGAATATGCGATCGTCTGACATGTCGGAAATTCATGGCCGAGCATTAACTAGTTACTTCTTTGCGATTGGAAAAAGTATCCAATCGAAGTGCAAAACCGCCTTTCCGCCGAGTCTCCTTCCTGGCTTGTGCTGGACTCTTAAGGTCAATCAACAAATTGTTCACCGATCACGTCAATCTGCCCTCGACCCTCGGCCCCCTCATCAACCCAAACACTGACACTCTTTGGGCCAATTTTGAACTCGGCATAACCTCGTGGATCGACCTCTACGGGTGCCGTGGTCACCGCACCAGATGTGAATACTTCCGTCCACTTCTCACCGGCATGTCGTATGCCAACATACATTGTCTTCGACATAGGCGCAGCGCTAGTACTGGCGTTTAATACGCACGCCAGCCCAGATGGGTGTGCCGTGTCACCGTAACGAACGAAGCCTGCAGTTACATCAGTAACTAGCTGAAGCTTTCAATATGAGAAATGTAAATCAAAGGTTGCCGAAAAACTAACCGACACATTTCTTGTTATCAAAATAGTCCCTCTGTTTTCCGTAAGCATACATAGTTCTAAGGGTCGCTAAAGCTGCCAACTTATCAACGGGTGGAAGCCGATACTTGGGTTCAGTGTTGGTTATGCCGTAGAGATCACCGTAAAACAAACAGGGGTAACCATCCTGACGGAGGAGAATTAGCGCATATGCAAGAGGTTTAAACCAAGCATCAATCAATATCTATATACGGGTTAGCAAGGGGTGAATAAATTGCGGTTATCGATACTTACTTCGAGTGATTGCCCTGGTTGCTAAGGTATATTAGCGGCTGCCGTCATGTTTGTTGATCTACATGGTATCTCACCGTATCATGGTTTGAGACAAAAGTCTGGCAATAGTTAGATACGTTGCCATCGGATACATTTGAAATTTGGGACATACCACTGCTTTCTGTGGGTGAACCTGCACGAAGGTCTTGTCAAATATTTTTCGCAAGTCCTGACCCTCCTTGGCGAAAAGGGAGAACCTCCCAGCTAAGGGAGCGTCAAACAAAGACACGAGACCTTCCATCTGATCATGGTAATTTAGCAAGTCGCTAATATCCCCCGTCCAGTATTCCGCAACCAGAAACCAGTCTCTCCCTACAGTCGTTCGGATATGTTGAATAAAATCTTTCAAGAACCCTCGGGAATAATGCTTGACTGCGTCAAGTCTCAGTCCTTTTAGCTTGAATTCGGTCCCTAGCCATTCGATCCAGCGCTTAACATCGTTCGTTACCTCAATATTGGAATAGTCCACATCTGCAAACATAAGATAATCATAATTCCCATTCTCGGTGCTGACATCTTTGGCCCAATCCTTATTTCCCGAGCCAACCAGTTTGTAAATCCCAGATTTTTGTTGGAGGGCGTCATAATTGATTCCGCTGAAATGGTACCAATGGTACTTCAGCTCGCTGTGTTTGGTTCCGCGACCTGGAAAGTCATAGCCCAGCCAACCTTCTATCTCTCTTGGCTCAGAAATATTGACAGTTCTATCTATCTGACTGTTAGAGTAAGGCCTTGAGCAAGTAACTGGAGTATCACTACCTTTTGGGTCCACTTCGACAGCCACGCATTTCTCCTTAGTATCCGCTCCAGCTTTGTGGTTCAAGACAGCATCCCAATATATTCCAATATCAAGCTCGTTTGCTAAAGAAATGAATGCTTCAAGGTCCGATCTGGATCCCCATTTTGTTGCAGTTTGGCCTTTTTGTTCGAACTCGCCTACATCATATAGGTCATAGATGTCGTACCCATTACCGCCTGTAGCGCCTTTGCAGCCGGGAGGAATCCAGATATTGTTCACACCCATCGACTTCAGCCGTGGGAGGCTTTCACGAAGTCTGTTCCAGTGTTGCTGATCTGCAGGAACATGCCATTCGAATCCTTGGAACATGAGATCATTTTCTTTGGCGACTTCAGGTTCTTTTTGCTAGGTTAATTCAAAGCTAAATACAGCAGTGAAAGCTGTTCCTGAAGAGGAGAACAGGTGACTGTCAATGAGATGGGAACTAACCATCCAATGCGTCCCATTTCCTGTTCCTTAGCCTGCTATAAATCGACAATATTTGGCCCATAGTAGTATACGAACTGCATGGATTCAAAGCTAAAAAGGACGTAAAAGATAGCCCATATAAATAGAGAAAATGATGCTGAAGAAGCTGAATCGAGAGGTATTTATTGTATTCCAAAGCTCAACACTCCACCTGGAATCTCTTATCCTTGTGTCATGTTGAACCCTGGCTGTGATAGCTAGTGCGACGAAGATACGTGTAAGAAGCACAATAAGCAAGCTGTCCAATAGGATCTGTAAACTTCCACTGTAATATCATCAGGACATAACTAGTTCAATATAATAATACTTATCAGTAATAGCTATCAAACAACAAATGGCATTACAGAGAAATCATGAAGTTGGTGAATGTCGAACTTTTATTGAAGTCAAAACATCCGGATTTAAGAATAAACTTTAAGGTTCGCTGTCACATGATATTAAACCTTAATCTATCAACCGGTTGACTAAGCAATATGAATTTTGATCAAATACTTTTGAAAAGTAGACCTTTCGACACAGAAACTCGCAGAGAAAAAGGAAGGCCGTGGGGGAATTGTTCTGGTTGATTGTTCCCGATTATGGATGCTTTCAGGCTCCTTACAAGGTCTACAAAGATCAAATCTTCAACCAACGCAAAGGGAACAGCGTCCAGCCCTCTGCCATCAACCGGCGAAGCTCGCACACCACAGTTATTTCCTGCAAAGCCCACCAGGCCAAAAGCAAAAGGAAGCGATGATGATAATCGGGGGAAGAAGAGGAAGCGAGGAGCGGGTAATGAAGAGGACTCTGAAGTTAAGGATACGGCACTGAATTTCTTTAGTGGCCCGGCTTCGTCTGCTCCCGAAATTACCTTGAAGATATCTACGGATATAGATGCGGAGGACCAGAGCAGTGACGAAGATAACGGTCGCCATGATGCTACTGCCCAGCTACTTTCACTCTCTGAAGCTGATAGAAAATCTATCTTGAAGTCTCATAAGATCAAAGTCACTGACCTTCGAACACCAAAGACAACTTGCGACGACGTCGGAACAACGAAGAAATCCAAGAAACGGAAACGAGAAAAAGAGACTGCAACAACTTCTCTCACGAAAAAGCAGCGGAAAGCATTACAAGCACTCTACCCCGAACCCCTCCTCTCGTTCGAACTGCTACAGTCGAAGTATAATATTTCAAGGCGTTTGTTGGAAAATATACGCAATCAAGGGTATACTGTACCTACAGAGGTACAGCTTGGCTGTCTACCAATGCTGCTTGGAGGCCTGTGTGCATTGGCAAAAGATGAAAAGGCCGACAAAGGTTCGGAATGTGAGCCTGACCTTCTTACTGTTGCTCCCACTGGAAGCGGAAAGACATTGGCATTTATGATCCCACTTATCAGCAAGATAATGAAACATCGTCGCCAGAAATCGGGTGAGCAGTCAAAAGGAATTCTAGGCGTTATTGTTGCGCCGACAAAAGAGCTTGCGAGCCAGATTACGAATGAGGGCAGAAAGCTCGCTCTGGGTACTGGGGTTAAGATTACATCTATGCGTAAGGGTATGCGCGTTGTAGAAGAACGTGGTGGAGATTATACCAAACAAAAAGATGATGGTAGTGAGGATGGAAGCAATTCCGACAGCGACGAGGAACGGCCAAAAGAACGAGCAAAGTCTCTTGCAACCGTAACGAAGAGTGATATCCTAGTTACAACTCCATTGTTATTAGTCAACGCACTTTCTGACAATGGCCATAAAGAGCTTGCCTCAATGCCTTTAGTCGAGTCGCTTATTCTTGATGAAGCAGACGTTCTTCTCGACCCCCTATTCCGGGATCAAACGCTTAAAATATGGCAATCATGCATTAACCCTAGATTACGTGTCGGATTGTGGTCTGCCACAATGGGATCTAATATCGAAGAACTGGCCAAGGCAACAATTAGGGAACGTCAGAAGGCTCTAGGCCTAAAAGAAGAGTCCTCCCTCGTCAGACTAGTTGTTGGTCTAAAGGACTCTGCTATACCAAACATCTCCCATAAACTCACGTACGCTGCAACGGAGCAAGGCAAGCTTCTAGGTTTAAGACAACTTCTACATCCAACCACTGCTACAGCATCTTCTGGCGAACATCTTCGTCCTCCTTTTATTGTTTTCACTCAAACTATTCCACGGGCGGTGGCTCTGCATTCTGAACTGATGTATGATATTCCACCGGAAGCAGGTGGCTCTTCTCGGATCGCGGTTCTACATTCGGAACTTTCCGACTCTCAACGGTCCGATGTTATGGCTGGGTTCAGGAAAGGAGAAATCTGGATCATCATTACCACTGACCTTCTTTCTCGAGGTGTGGATTTCCGTGGAATCAACGGGGTTGTCAATTACGATATCCCCAACTCAGCTGCTGCTTATGTGCATAGAGTTGGGAGGACTGGTAGAGCTGGTCGAGAGGGCGGTGTTGCGGTTACTTTTTACACTAAGGAGGATATACCGTATGTCAAGAACATTGCCAATGTGATTGCTGCTAGTGAGAAACTCCGTTGTGGTGAAGGCCACGAGCCAGGTATACAGAAATGGCTTCTGGATGCACTTCCCGACTTGACAAAGAATGACAAAAAGGAACTAAAACGCCATGGAGTCCAGGCCCGGAGACGAACAGCCGCAATGGTCAATGATAAGAACCGCCGCGCAACCCGTATCAGCACTAAGAGCGGTTTTGAAAGGAGGATGGAGAATAAGAAGAAAGGGGCCATCAAGGGCAGTCAAGCCAGAAAGCTTGCTCAGGAGGCCGATGCTGATGCCATGGAAGAGGAAGAAGCATGGAGCGGCATTGAGGGCTGATGGATACATCTTACTGTGTGATACCATCATTAAATTTAGATCTTAAAAAGAAAATAAAGCAATATTACTCCTGCTTCCTGGTACACTATAGGCAGTATTTAAATTCCCCCCTAGGTTCGTTGCGTTGATTCTCTTGTTGAAAATGCCCGGCTCGTATTTGCCTTGCAATTCCGGATCAACAGCACACCCGATGCCTCCACATTTCAAATAGCCGAGATCCATTCCATCTCCTTTATTATGAAGTCAATAGCATTGCTCCAGGTCAATAGTAACGTCAAGAGAAGTGTACATCGACCAATTAAGGATGCCTATCAAAACCGCTGTCCTTACAACCAAGGCCCCAGCGCCACTTCCGGTGCTATCTCAGGCCATCGTTCACAACGGCATGATATATTGCTCTGGAAGCATTGGAATGGATCCCAGAACAAATAAACTAGTCTCTGGAGGTGTTGCAGAGAGGACGGTCAGTCTAAACATCCATCAATCATATATAATACAGTCAGATGCTGATCTCTATAAAGCATCAAGCTCTAAGGAACCTGTCGGCGGTATTGGAGGCCGGCGGCAGCAGCTTGAAGAACGTCGTCAAAACAAACGTCTTCATTTCCACCATGGATGACTTTGCGGAAATGAACAAGGTGTACCAGTCTTATTTTAAAGATGAGCCGAAACCGGTAAGTTATTTTGATACCTTTGATCTTTTGTTTGTTAACAGCGCGTTAGTGCCGGACTTGTGTTGCTGTGAAGCAGCTACCATTAGATACCGACGTTGAAATTGAATGCATAGCTTATCTGTATGAACCACCCACTGAACTACCTCTGTCCATGATTGAATCAGCTAACTGGATTAATAAAAACAGGAACGATGTGAAAGCTAAACTATAGAGCCATATTCATGACCAGAGTTAGGTTTCAGACAGTAATGGCTACATAAAAATGCTAAGTCAACTTTTTCAATTCTTCTTGTGCTATTAACCCCTACGCAATGGATAATATGGACAGTAAAGGCCCACCCCATGTAACATTGAACCGATACGAGCTGCAACATAGGTAAAAAAACCATCGGCCATTGAAGGGTGAGTACAAAGACAGACATAGCACCTTAGAATATCAAAAGCCCAAGGCAATCAAGACATTGATAGACATCTGGCATCAAGAACCGCATCAGGTAGACAATTTTTTAGGCCATCAATGACAATATCGATCGCGGAAGCCGGGGTTGAATCGCAGGTCAAATGCTCAAACATGCATGATGTAAAGGCTCCGGCTATCAGAGTTCATCTCGAATTTAGGCACTAGAGTCCTTAGCAGAAGCCAAAGGACGGGCCCAATCGCATGCAACCTGACTCATTTTCATGGCATTTTCCTTTGCCATTGCGCATGCAACTTCAGCCTCCTTTGCTGCCTGGATGGCAGTCAACATTGCTTTCTCAGCATCATGCGAATTGTTAACAGCTTCAATAAGAATCTTGCCAAGCTATAAGATACAATCGCCAACAGTTAGCAATTATCTAGAAACAGTCAATGTGTTTGATGACACTTACTCTAATGAGCTTCTCCTTGCGTGATGTATCGACTTCATTTCGCGCTGAATCAAGGATCTCCATCGTGATAGTGCTAATCATTCCAGTGTCTCGCAATGCAGGGGAGAGTGGAGGTTCGAGGTGGCGGTAGCTGATGTCTCCATTTGAAGTGCCACTTGGAACTCCGCTTCCATTAGTACCAAGATGAGGAACAGAGTGAGACGCTGGCACAGATAGTTTGAAGTTACTTGCAACCGTTGGCTTTGCATACGATATCAAAGGGCGCATGATTTCTTTTGGTGCCTCAGATTTATTCTTTGAAAACAATCCACGGAAATTGGAGAACACTCCTTTGGAAGATGACCCTTTGGTTTTAATTGGTTCCGGAGCGGTGGTGATAGGATCAGCAGAGCGGTGATGACGCTTCTTATGACGCTTATCTTTCTGTCCCTGGTTATCTGCATTCTGTGACGAAGGCTGATCTGGTCCGGTATGGATATCATTGTTTGGTCTAGGCTTATAATGGGCTCTATCGGTAGACGGTCGGTGTGGGTATCTTCTAGGGGAGCCATACGTAACGCTAATTTTGCTATTATGCCGAGGGCTTCTAGGAGAATTCACCTTAGGTGCTTCATTCTGGGACTTCCGAGTGCGCTCTACTGGACCTGCGGACTTAGATGGAGATGGGGAATTGTCTGTCACAGCCACGAGAATAGAGCTCTTTTTGGCAGATTCAACGACTGGGGAGCTGCAAGGCTCTTCGTTAGGTTTTCCGGGCTCTGCAACTTGTTCCCTATCTATCGATGTAGACTGCTTGGAATTCAAGTCTTTACCTTCTGTATCTAGGAACGGGTCAGCATCAAGCTTTTCCGAAGTTGGGTGAGGTGGCTCCTTTTCAGGGGAAGATTTTCGTCTCATCGAGCGATGGCCAGAGGATGCTCGGCGAATTCCAAATTCAGCGCTCTTTGCTTTTGGGATTGATTTTCCGGCTTGTCCTCCAGCAGGTGTAGGACTGCCTTCCTCCGCTGGAGGTTTACCACTGAAGGACAGCCTATAAGATGAATTCTTGGAGCGTTTTGAGGAAAAGGTCGCAAAGAGGCTATCGGTGGAGAGTCGAAATTCCCTCTTGTGTCCAGATTGACGACTAGGGCCACGACTAGGACAACGGCTCTCTTTTACATTTTTCTCCAACACCTTGATATCGTTATCACCCATGATGAGACGCTCAGCCTCTGATGAAATACGAAGTTGCGGACCGTGACTTGGAGCAGACTTCGAAAGCTGCTTCACAGTAATATCATCTGAGAATGGGTCGACATTTTCCTCCATTCCCTCGGTTTTACTATTCATTTCACCCTGGGATTCGCGCCGCAGGTTCATGCTAGAATGGTTATTGCCCTTGTCCATTCCGGAAGAATTTTCCTTTGCCACCGTTCCGTCGGTGGTAATTTTCTCTGCTCTATCAAAAATAGCAGATGGGGTGGTACCTTCAGGTAAGTTTCCAGAGCCGTTATCCTCTCTATTCTGCTGGAGCAGACGAGAAGGGAGTGGAATCGAGCTTCTCTTTGAAGGAGAGAAGACAGTTGCTTTTGAGCTATTACCAGCCCCCGAATCACTTTCAGAGAATAAATTCCGCGGCGACATTCGAGGGATTTTGGAACCGCTTTTGTCCGTTCGAGGAGTAGTATTCAGTGAGGCCGAATAATAAGGGTTTGATGGAGTAGGCGTCCCCATTGGCTTTTGCTTGGGGATCATGGCACCAGGTGTCCTAATAGGTGAAGGAGAATTTTGAAGTGAGCAAGAGGCTGCTCTGCTCTCTCTCGTCAGTAAGTGGTTCATACTACCAGGTGAAGATGCAACCCTAGGGCGGTCTCTAAATGGGTTAGACTTTGGAACCCGAGAATGGTAGCCAGGAGGTACAGGTACTCCTATGCCATGAAAAGCAGATGACCGTTCTGTCTGTACCGGATTGCGGTAGAAATCGGTAACAATCTTCAAGTTTTGAGGCTTTCTATGAAGAGAAAACTGACTCTCCGTTGAAGAATGACTGGGAGCAGATGTGCCCCATTTCGTAGAGCCGGGGCTAGGAGCTTCTGCCGCACCACTCTCAGGCAGGTAATCTTCTTGCACCTCGCTTGTCTGTCCTTCACCTCCTTTGCCAACCTCCATGCAAGCTGTGGCCTTTGTAAGTTTGGATAAAGCATCCGCAAACATACGAACCCCATCAGGGATTAGAGTGTGCGTGTCTTCTTCAATCCGTGTCAACTTAATCTCATCAATGGCATTCGCTTGGGCATTGCTTGTGGTATCTTCCTTGCTGTCTTCAGCTTGTTCTGAGGCAACCGCCGCCCATTCCTTGTCAGAAGGAGAAAAGGAATGTAGGCATTGCGATAGGTCTTTGCTTGTTTCGACAGAAGTATGGAGATCCGAATTACATGTTGTATCAACACCCAAAATAGGACCGGGTGGGTAGGGCAATGGCTTTTCCGAAGCAAGCTTCTTATCGGCAACATGTTGAATGCGAGCCTTCTAAGTAAAGGGGGAGAATCAAACAGGTCAGAATCGACGTCTTAGCAATTTATACGCGTTTATATAGTTCACATACGTAATTGCACTCCTTGGAGTTCCTATCTGGACACGGGGTAGACTGCTGCTCTGTCTCAGTTACGGAAATCAATCGATATGAGCCCTAGGTAAGCAAGTGTCAGTAGCCATGTAAGGTTTCATTTGAGAACCTGCTTTCTACATACAACACCTGGGGATTGGCCATTTCTGTAAGGTGTTCTTTTGCTATAGTTTGTCGACTTTGCTGATGTGGAACGAAAGGCATCCACTCCCTTTGACGCGACTGATGCCCAAGTCTTCTGGCGAGGTCTGCTAGAGCTAATAGGTAAAGACCTCGTAGGTGTCTCTGGGCGTGATTGTTTAGGCCTATCAACCGAAGGTCTTCGAGAAAGGTTTGAACTCGGGAGGAATAGCTGGTGACTCGGGCTGATGGGAGTCATGAACCGGGGGTAAGCTGGTTGCGTATTGTCAGTGGACTGGATAGAATTGTTTGAGACCGTGCTCTCATTCGTAATGGTAGGCTCGCAAGCAGGCATTCCATCTACCTGGTCCTCCATGTTGAACGTGTCTGCTCGAGTAGATGAGAGGCGAAGAGCTTCTCGGTAACCTCGTCCTGTATGGGCCATACACAGATCACAAGATGTAGAGTGAACTCATTTCGGTATCAGTTAGAGCATAAGGTGGAGGACAGAACACTCCACGCAAATGTGAATGTGTTGTGGTTTAAAGGTGGGAAACGACATGCGTGGGTGTGGCGGGAATGAAATGAACCGAGTTCAAGTACGCAACGGAATAACTCGTCATGTAGCTCCAGTGCGAGAAGGATATAGAAAAGAAAAGCCTATTGTGAAGACATCCAGTCAAAGGACAAAGGAAGACTTAAGGAATTTGCCAGGTCTAAAGGCTTAGAGAGTAATGATATCAAAGTCTCCGGTAAAATATGAAAACAAGTCAATATCTAATAGTACTTAGTACTATACTATTTTCATAATCACAATAGATGGCGAGAATATTGCGCTCTTCAGAAGCACAATATATAGTTAGAATCAAACGCGTAAAAAGATTATGATAGATTAGGGTCCAACAATCCAAACTTGAGCAAGAGTTCTCAGTCTGATTTCAAAAATATCCAGAATAATGAGTTGGGTGATGTACAGAATGCCGATGATCGCGGATGATATCTGATGTCGGAAAGAAAACTCCATAACAATGGGAGGGAATGAAACGAAACTGAACTCCAATGGCCATGGATTGAAAAACACGGGATCGGGTAGCAGAATTAAAGATTCTAAAGCCAAGGCATGTTCACGGGTTTGAAAGACCTTCAGTTGACGCTCTGGGGTCTTCTTTTAAAGGCAGTTTTGATATTCAATCAAGAAAGACGGCTCACTCCTAATGATCTCGTTAGACCATGCCAATAGTTAGTAATTATAGCATAAGATAAACAAACCTGAGGGGATTTTCTTTTGGCGGAAATTCTTGGGCTACCGGTTGTTTCACTGGTCTCTGTGGAGATGGATGGGACGGTGTCATGCCACTCGGTCACCTCCCATTCGACATGCATCGTATCGTTACCTCCGACGCCCCTGCGGTGTTTCCCTACTCTTCCCAGTCGGCTTCCTTCAATCATTTCCTCAAACCAAGGAATTCCTCCCAGAGTACCGCTTTGACGGGTAACAAACACCTGTGGTTCCGCGGAGGCGACTTGCCTCGACGAGGAAGCCGCGGGAGTAACACTTCTACTAGATGTAGCCGGAGCAAGCTGTGTACCAGCATCGACGTCTTCCGGGAGTAGCCCCAGGTCCTCAAGGGCGCTTTGGTCCTGGCCGAAGAGGCTGCCCACAGTAATCGACATGTAGTCAGCTTCCTCGGGAGGACTCTCGGTCCAGTAAGTCAGTGGCGTACCGCAAAAGCCACAGAAGACACGCCGACAATGCGGATCATCCGGAGGGATAAAAGTGCGCCGAATAGCAGAATGAGTCTCATCAGGGAAAAAGGACACAGTTGATGATTGATACCACTCAAGGGGCACTCGGAGCCATGCTGTCAACGGAGCGGCCTGCGTCCGACCTATAGACGACGACATCAGCAATCAGAGCATATGACGAACGCATCATTGAGCTATGCGCGGTAGAGTACTCACGATTCACACTGCTCGAGTCGAAGTAGACCTCGGCCTGGTCACTGGCATCAAGTGGGATGTTGATGAAACATTTGTTTCGCCCACAAGAACAACCGCCTCGAAGTGTCTGGCTCATGGTATCAATCAGAAAGATTCAAGTAGAGACGTAATTCCTAAAGACTCAATTCGAAACGAGCGGGAGATAATCGCATCGCGAGACAAAGCTCTGCTCTGCTCCTGTTCTTCATCGTCTTCTCTTCCTCTTCTTCCTGGAGGTTGTTTTTCCCTTCAAGTCCAACTTTCATCTAAGTATGATGTTATAGATTAGGTAATCATGCATGAGTTAGGTGATGTCTTATGTAATTAATGACGTAATTGCTTAGTCATATTTTCACATGCGGAGATATTCCCGTTATCGGATTTCTCCTCCGCGCTCCGCAGCTCCTTTTTTCAACTTCCAGTCAATGTCATCTGAACAGCAAAGAAATAATAGCAAGATCAAGGTCGCATGAAGGACAGGACGAGTGCCCAAGAGAGACGGCCAACCAAGCAGAAGCCATAAAAGGGCCGTTTGCGCTTTGTGTTCCGTGTTATTTGTTTGTTGCTCGCCAGCGGGTTACCAGCTTACCTCCTCCTACCCGCTCCTACCCATCGTCATGGCTCCTGCAACTTCGCCAACAGGAGCTGCCGCCGCTCGAAAGCCTAGCTCAACCCCCGGCGAAGACACCGAGCAGCAGATGAAGCGAACGTCCAACTCGCCTTCCGATGCCCGACCTGCTACGTCCGAGAGAGAGAAACCTCGTCTTTCTGAGCAGGAGAAGAAGAACAATCATATTGCCTCTGAGCAAAAGCGCCGGGCAGCCATACGTGAAGGGTTCGACCGATTAACCGAACTTGTGCCGGGTCTGACTGGTCAGGGCCGTAGCGAGGGCATGGTTTTGCGCAAAACTGTTGATTTCATGCAACTCAAGGTCCAGGAGCGAAAGGATTTGATTGAAGAGATCGAGCAGCGGGGAGGAAAAGTCGATGACAGGCTGCGCAATGTTACGGAGGCCATTAGATGATTTTGCTGTTTAACAATTTTCTACACACATTGCAGTATGGATGGGCAGGCGGCGTTTTCTTGGGGTTTTCAGGTTGGGGGGGGGGGATGGGGGTTTGGATGGATGTATTGAGCGGTGATACCCGTCAAGTCAGTGTCAAATCAGTGGCTTTTAGGCTCTCATTTTTTGCCTGTGTTTAACAAGTAAATCAGAATATAAACATGAAATGAGAGGTTAATATTCTAGATTGAGCATCAATACTTGAGCATTGCGTTTTCAGGCTTTGCAACCAACTTAGAGACGCCCTGGGACTGCAGCAAAGCCTATTTGCATCAGAAGCTGCTAGTACGCTTGAACGATATAATCCTGCCCGCCACCGAGTCTAAATGTAATAAGACGTCCTAGATCTGTTGATCCATCCTCCTGCACGCCCGTTTCTTCAAGGTCCCGAAACAGCTTGTCGATGTACTCCCCCGCGCCCGAGAGACTCAGAATTTTAGCTATTGCCCGGTGTAGAGCGAGTAATCGAGGAGATGGGGGGTCGATCGTTTTCCCATCGCTAAGAAACAGTTTCCGTGTCACAGGTAGTCCTAGTCGTTCAGCATAACCTGGAGTGTCGATACTTTCGATACGGTAGGTATTTTCCTCCCCCGAAACAGCTTCGAAATAGATCTCAAAATTTCCAAAGATGTTATGGAAAGCATGTGTGAGACTGATAGCATTGCGAGGACTATCGATGTAAGGCCCTTCTATGAGGCTTGCAACATCACAATCAAACATATTTAAGATATTAATGGCAGTCCTTCTTGCATCATTCTACCTAACAGTTAGTATACCCGCAATGAAGGTTTCTTTTGTTATAATAACTTACAAGCTGCAAGTCCTTGTCCACTGTTACAAGGGAATGTGGTAGTATGTGCGCAACTTCCAAGAAATCCCTTGGATCTTCGACTTTGATCACATTTCCATCGTCATCCATCACGACTGGTCCCTGTTCACGCAGTCGGCGACGCTCCTCTTGCATGTCAAAAACTCGAGAAACAACACAACGATGACGGTCGCGGATAAGGCACAAGGACCTAAGATACGAAACTCTTTCCACGGTGCCGATGATCTCATGGGGTGATTGAATGCTTTTGATGGCAGAAATTTGATCTGGCGTAGGTTGTGGTGTTTTCCTCCCATTTGCTTTCACTAGGTAGATATTAGTAAAGAGAATGTCATATATTTACTATCAAAAAGGCGGGGCACAAACATGGGATAAAAAATTGGTCGAGGAGCATATCTGCGAAACCCTTGAGTTTGTCTGTGAGCCGGCTATCGTCTGTGTCAATATCTGCATCACTGTCGATATCGAAACCCATAAAATTAAAGAAAACCCGCAGAAACATATCCTTTGATATATCTGAGGCCGAAAACTCGTAGGAATGGAGGATGAGCAAGTTGCGGTGGTACCCCTCCTTGATACCAACTTCATCACCAACACGACGAACAACTCGATACAAAACATCTTGAGCACGAGAACGCTCTACTCCAGCCAGGGGCGGTAGTTGGTCATAGTTTATGACCCCTTCGAATGATGCTTGGTGGTGGTCGTGAAGTTGGGGCGGAATGGGAGAACGTCCAGGCAAGTCAAGCACTTCCTCACGGTATGGTTGTTGGGAAGCCATAACTACTCGAAGTAGTTAAAATAATTTGCGTAAAGAAACGAAGAAAGGGTGTTAATCTGATTAATGACCCAAGTCAGAGGTATACAGGTAATAGCCGGCCTTAATGAAATCTGACGTCATCCTGGCGCCTGGTGTGAAGAGTGTAGGAAGTGAAGTGCAGAAGATGAAGTATTTAAACTCGCTTCACTATTAGAGTTCACGGGACCCGTCGATGCGGCTCTTCTTCGTGTTTACTGGACTTGGGGAGCGAAGACGGGGAAGAACGAGGGACACACCCGCATTGACGATTATTATTATTTATTTAGTGAAGTAACGTCCGCCATCCCACCTCGAAGATGAACATCTTTAGGAGTGCAACCTCATACGTCTACAACATCATTCCATCCTTCCAGGAAGACGAAGACGAGACAGACAACATGTCCAGCCAACAGACACACCCTTCGGGAATACCATCCGATCCACCACCATCTTACGAAGCCTCTCAACCTGCATCCAAGCCTCATCCGAAGCCACTCCCGCCCTCGCTTCCAGTGCTTGTGAGCCTGCGAAAGAAGAGAGTAATCCTCGCCTCGGCCTCTCCTCGCCGTAAACAGATAATCGCCTTCCTCGGCCTTCCCAATCTTGAAATCATCCCCTCGAATACAGCAGAAAACCTCCCCAAGACCCTCACCCCGTTTGAATATGTGCTGGAAACAGCCACAGAGAAAGGTCTGGCGGTGTATAAGCAGGAGATAGACAACGAGGTAAAGGGAGAGCCAGCGTTGATTCTGGCCGCTGATACCATTGTTGTCAATCCAGAGACAGGCGATATTCTGGAGAAACCACACTCAGAGGCAGAGCATATAAGTATGTTACAGGGACTGAGGGATGCGGGAGATCATAAAGTGTATACAGCAATAGTCGCTATAGCACCCTTGGAGAGTGCACAGGCCCCGGGGTACGCGCTTGAGTCGGTTGTGGAGGAGACGACCGTTCGATTCGACCCTCAGATCACAGACGAGTTACTGCTCATGTACGTGAGGACAAGAGAAGGTGCTGATAAGGCCGGAGGGTATGGAATGCAAGGGCTGGGGTCAGTACTTGTGGAGAAGATTAATGGCAGCTACGATAATGTCATCGGCCTGCCGCTGAGAGCTACGCTCAAGCTCATCGAGAAGATAATGACCATCGCAGAGGAGGATGCAGAAATAGACCATGGTGCATTGGCAGATGATGGTTAGACGCCCACGTTAAAGGGTTATGGGTCCGATATTGATAGCATGATTCCCACTTCTGTATTTTACGCACCAAAAGAGGGGGAAGTTTGATGAAATTGAATGCTTTATATGCATATGTAGGTATCCATGGGACCGAAGACAACTTCATGGAAAGGAATAGAAATAAAAATGAAAAGGGGGGCAAAAAAAATTGTGTATCAGGGTACAAAACAAGCAGAAATACAGGATATATACATTTACGCCTTCCAGATCCTCTTGAGAGCTTCTGTTACACCAACATCGTTAGTCTCAAATTCGTACAGGCCAACTGCAGTAGCAAGAGTGAAACCGCGGAGGAGCCAGTTCAAGAAGGCAGAGGTCTTGGGCACACGCCATGGACGGAAATAATCGGCAATCATGGCCCTGTATACAATTAGCTCCAAACTATCATTTTAACAGATGGTGATGGGTATTGCTATATGACGTACTGGAAACCGATGTGGGAGTGAATGACGAGGGTACCGCAGAGCACAGCGTCAAGGACAGGGCTGACGGATCCAGAGGCGAATGGAGCAATTGTGAGAGGAATTAAAGAGGCCGCAACCACTCTATAGACAGGAGTCAGTTATACCAGCACCAAAGCCCAGTACGTAAGTGTACATATTATATGCCCAGTACACACCTCTCAAAGGTCCAATGGTAGCTTCCGTGGGTGGGAGAGGTAGGAGGAATTGGAGCAGCATCATTAGCTACAAACAAGCATTAGTTAACCTGGTAAATTGATGACATCGTATGTAGTTTCTTGCGAAGAACGTACTGGTTCCGTGGACAACCTCTATAACAACACCATGATACATTAGCAAACATATCTTGAAACCTCAAGGCCAGAACTTCTCAATTGCTTCTGCCCCGCCGGCCAGATCATCCAATATTCCGCAGTACTCACGAGGCAATGGTGGCAGAATATCCTTCTTGCTCGAGGCATGGAACCAGGTCCTCTGTAGCTGGCTGGCGCTCAGTGCGGCGATGGGCGATCTGTGCTGGAAGCCGGCAACGCGGTAGCTCTGCCGGAGAGCGGAAACAGAGGGGCGAACGATAGAGGAGGCCATCTTGGTCCTGACTGCTGCGACGCGGCGTCGTGGTTCGGTTCGATAATCCTCCTCGACTTGGATCTTCGTCGTTGGTTGCTCTTGAAGCAAAAGCGAACATCGAAAAACATCCTCGGGAAAGTCAGCAGAATCGGCGGCATCTGATTGGCCAGCGTGCAGTCTTGAGCCGAAAAATCCCGTGATCGCTTAGGTAAGACATGCAGCGGATATAAAAGCGTTTCTTGCGACTTTTTGTACGACCGACGAAAGGCGTTCAAATCCTTGTATTGGGCTTTATTACGTTGCTGTTGATCTAGCAAGAGTAGCAGGTGTCGTAGAAAGGTGTGGTGTTGTCGTCGGTGTTGTTTTGATCGCCCGTCGACGTCAGACATCAGCAATTCCTACGACTCCTCCTAGCCTCCAACACGACCAAGACCTCTACGAAAACCAATGGATACAAGGCACGATATGAACTTTTCACGGTTAATATTGCTATCTTAATTGAAATATAGCCCCCATGATCATCCCTGGTAAACTGAAAATTAACCAGAACCAACAGTTAACAACTCCAAAATGCAGTAGAAGTGGAAAAGCCGAAATCAGCGAATTAGGTACATGTATCGATTATCTCTTACATCTACAGCTTCAGGACGGCCTTGCCCAAGTTCCTTCCATGGAAGATACCCACTAGACCCTCAGGCGCATTCTCGATGCCCACCGTCTCCGCAATCAGGGGCTTGAAAGAACCGTCCTTGATCCATTTGGAGACCCGCTCGAGGTGCTCCTTCGACCACTTGTCACCCATACCGGGATCGTTGACAATGAACCCACGCATCGTCAAACGCTTGGTGATGAAGTGGAAGAGATTCGTGATAGGATATCTCTCCCTCATTTGCAGGTTATACTGCGAAATCATGCCACAGGCGACGATGCGCCCAAAATCATTCATATGTTCGAGGGCAGCTTCGAGGTGATCTCCGCCAACGTTCTCGAAGTAGATGTCAATGCCGTTGGGAGCAAGTCTCTTGAGAGCGTCGGCAGGCTTTTCGGTCTTGTAGTTGAATCCAGCGTCGAAGCCCAGGGTCTTGACGATATAAAATAGCTTCTCTTCGCTGCCAACACTGCCGATGACATTCAGTCCTTCATGCTTAGCTATCTGTCCGACTACCTGGCCGACTGCACCGGCTGCAGAGGAGATGAAGATGGTTTCTCCCTTCTTCGGCTTGCCAATTTCATACAGAGAGGCATATGCGGTCAGGCCAGGCATGCCGAGTGGACCAAGGAAGACACGAAGATCATCAAGGCCTTCTGGGTTCTCGAGCGGCCTAATGAACTTGAGATGAGCCTCGGGCAGGACGAGATTCTTTTGGATGGGCAACAGGCCGATAACAACATCGCCAACTTTGTACTTGTCGTTCTTGGACTTAATGACCCTTGCGATAGTGGCGCTGGGGATAGGCTCGTTAAGGTTATATGCTGGAGTATAGGACTTGACGTGCGCTGGTCTCATGCGGCCTCGCATGTAGGGATCGAAGCTGGTGTAGAGGCATTCTAGCGTCAAACCGCCATCTGGGGCCGGGGCCTCGGGGTCGAAAGGGACATTCTCAACAGCTATGTGTACTCCGGGTTCTGGGAATGCCGACGGAATCTTTTTGAAATAGAGGGATTTGGTTGTGGTAGCCATAGCTAACGTATATGTTGGTATTCCAGTATAAGGACGCCGTTAACACTATTATGGGGTCTCAGCACAACCACGACAGCAAAAAAAAAGGTCATTTCACCCTCACCAAAGATCAATTTGAATGGAGGAGATTTACATATATATACTCGACAGTGGTGCCAGTCCTTGGCCCGGACGAATTTTGACTGTTTCAGATCTTATCAACGAACCGGACTAATCCCATTGAGAGCCTGGCTCCCGCTTGGTGGAGGGGAATGGGGATAGGGGGCGAGGGGGATGGTGTCTCTGCTCGGGTACGGGAATATCCTCTAATTTTTCAGAAAAAAAGAATGCCTGTGTTCAAAATCGTGGCGGTTCTTGCTCAAATAAGCATCTTAACTGCGCAGCTTGGTAACTAGCTAAACGAGATCACCGGCGGCTTAAACAGTGCATGAAACCCGGGTCTTGCCACAAAATGCCTGAGCGAGAGGTGTCCCTTTCCCTCCGTCATAATTATAAACGTTGTAGTTATGACATCAGGAACTATAGCCGCAGCCCGAGTTCGCTCCAGTTAGACTGTTTACCAGCAAGACAAAGAGCCTCGGTACCTAGGTAACTAGATTTTATCATCGAACCAAAGTAGAGCAGACCCTCTTGTCCCCTAGTTGTATGGAGAGCTCAGACTCGTTCAATTATTAACGGAGCGCCATGGGGAAATCTCTCTTACCTATTCTTTCACTGTTTGTCTTTTTTCTTCCCACCTCCGCCGCCTGTTATACCGAAAAGAGAGTCCTCCTCCGACGGATCTGATGCAAGCACGGCCGTAGACTCGGACAACGGACATGATTTAGCTTCTTCCACGACGGAGCAACTTGGCTCTTTGTTTCTTCCACAGTGCATGGTATGACAGCCGTAGATTATATAGGAATGCAGCTCCGTGCTGGCTTGCTAAGCATAGCTAGTGGTGGAGCGGTGTGTCGTATGGCTGCTTTGGCTGCCCCATACACCACATCCCGCCAGCGAGCGATGTACCAGAGCCGGCGCTGCTTGGTGCAAGGTGTACTTAAATACAGGCGATGCCAGGCGAGACCAAGCCTCATGCATGCTGGTCGAGGGAAAGTAATATCCGTACATTAGCTCTGGCTCGAGTTACCGCGGCCGTTCATCGAATCATGGGGTGCATTGGCTCACGCCCGCTTGTCCCTTCGAGCAACGCGGATGGCTTCAAGATAAGGACAGGTCTGGTTGATTCTCATATGTGCAGAGAATCTGCTGTAACTAACTGGCTAACGTGCGGTCGTAGTTAGCAGCCAGAGAGTTAGATGGTGCACTCTCGTGTATACCTGGCGTTGTGCGACTATCAACACCGTCATCGTCGATCAGGTTCTGCTGTATATATTAAAAGACGACAGGGCTATATTTGCCTCATTGGGACCTGCTCGCTGGCAGAGTCAGGGGACTCGAGCGAAGTCTCAGTGCGGTTTCACGCCCTCGCAGGCCGCTGTTCTACTGAATGCTTCTGTGAAGCTCAATATCTAGCCCTGTATGCTGTCTCGGTCCTGGATGGAGGCCTTAGCCGGCGTCGTCCGAATGCAGCCGCCTCTTGGAAGCTCGCGTAACCACCTTTGTGTGCCTTTTGAGTGCATAATATTAAGATACGTAGGTTGATGCCCTGTGTCCCGGCTGCTTCTGTGCGTAGGAGCTGCGTGCGCCCGGCACTATGGACGGGGGAGACCGGGGTGGATGTGCATGCATCTTGATTATGTTGAGCCCGACCTGCTCGGGAGTCTTGACGTAGACGGCAAGTGTTCGAAAAGTTGAATAGAAGATATAAAACCGCTCGAAGTTCCCCCCTGGCAACAGCCGGAGAAACGGCTCTTTTGTTGAATGCTACGTGGAATTCTGTTGAGAACGGATACCTGGGGAACACTGGGGAATAGCAAACCCTGTGGTTAGGAGGTTGATCATAGCCAGTGACTGCGTAGAAGGGGCATCCCCCGGCCACGAGGGAACGGATACGTCTGACGGGGAGAAGGAGCCGGATGGATAGGTTTATAGCAGACAGCTAATATCAATTGGAGGGAAATGCAGTAGTTAAGTAGCGCGGATATAGGTAGGCGAGGGAGGCGGAGGGAAAGGGGGTCTTTAGGTACTGTACAAAATGATATATAGGACCGCAGCTATCGATCCCACTTGTGAATCTATCAAAAACAAGACAAAGACCAAGAAACGGGGGGGAGAGAAGTGGAATCAGGTACAAAGGAAATTACATTTGTGAAGAGAGAAAAAAGTCTTCGCGGGGTTGCGAGGCTTCTTTTTTGTCTTGTATATTTGTCTTCTGTTTTTTTTTTGTGGCGGATTTGTTACACTGGTCTTCTTTCTTCCCTTTCTATTTTTAAGAAGCATCACGGCTCATGTCGTTGCGGATTCTCTGGTAGTCGAGCATGCCCTCGATGCTTCCGAAAGCACTGACAGCAAGGTCCTGGTCCCAGAGTTTTCGCTGGGCAAAGTCCATGACGTGCTTCTCGGTGATGCCGTCGATGACACGCTCGATTTCTTGTGGAGACAGGCGGCGGCCGGTAGTGACGATCTGGCGGCCGGTGTCCTCAGCCACGGCGGTGGTTCCATCAAGAGAAAGGAGGATGGATGCACGAAGCTGGGCCTTGGCACGCTCGACTTCAGCAGGGCTGACATCGTATGATAGGCGAGACCATTCACGGAGAGTGAAGTGGACGAGGTCGTCGAGGTTGGTCAGATTCTCAGATACAAGGTAAATACCCCAGAGACTGCACAAGTTAGTACAATGTATTTATAGATGGGGGGAAATTTTGAGAAATGCTCACCCGGTATCACTGTAGCTGGTGGAGAAGCTCATGAAGCTGTTGGCCAAATTGTGGTGGTTGATGAACGTGCTAAGCTTGCTCCCGAGGTAAGGAGAGTTGCCCATCGTACGATCCCAGTTGCCAACAATGGCCTGAGTGACGAGAGCAGTGAAGTAGTCATCGTCCTTCCAGCTGACACCCTCAACTGCGAGAGCAATGTGAGCAGTTGGGACAGTGTCATCACGAATTCGGACGTCAGAGCCAATGAAGTCTGGCTGACGCTTCTGTTCGGCGGCAATGGCGGAGGCAGCAGAGCTTGGTGGTTGGCTGGGGAGGTTTCCAAAGTGCTCTTCAGCAAGTTTGACGAGCTGCTCGTGAGGAACACCACCAGCACCAACAAGAACCATACGGTCAGCAGTGTAGTTGGTCTTGATATAGTCGACAAGGTGTTCACGCTGAATGCTGGCAATGTTCTCCTTTGGTCCAAGGATCGTTCGGCCAAGAGGCTGGCCCTGGAAAGCAGTGGCGTGCAGGTGATCAAAGACGACCTCCTCTAGTTGCTTGTCGACCTCCTCTTGCTCTCTAAGGATGACACTGCGCTCACGCTCGATGGCAGCTGGCTCGAGTTTGGAGTTTTGGAGGATATCAGACAAGATATCCACGGTCTTGGGAACATCGGCATTAAAAGACTTGGCATAGTAGACAGTGTTTTCTCGCTATATGGAAGGAGTAGTTAGAGCTCGCCCTCGATGGTTTGAGTTTTGGATATGGTCGGATGATGAAAATGGTTGATCTAGAGACATACCGATGTGTAGGCATTGAGGTGCCCACCCATGTTCTCAATTTCCAACTCCAATTGGTGCTGGGTTCGTCGATTGGTGCCCTAGACATTGTCAGCATTACATCACCAGCAACGGCCCTTGAACTCCAGCACACCTTGAAGGCAAGATGCTCCAGGAAGTGAGCAGTTCCATTAGTCTGATCAGTCTCAGCCCTGCTTCCGGCATCAATCCATACACCGACGGTCGAGGTCTGAGCCCATGGAGAGTATTCGGTAGCAATCTAGAGGGACAGTCAGCGTGTCTCTTCCATCTCTGCCATCATCCACAGCTCGATCCGGACTCACCGTCAAGCCATTGGACAGTGTCGTTGACTGCGTCGTGCCAGCGACTGGAGATGCAAAACCTCGCCTGCTGCGCTGGACGGCCTGCAGCGCGCTGCGAGAGCGCACCGCCTGGTGGAAGTTGAGAGCGAGTCTCCGGGATGCCATGGCGGAGAATGTGAGAGGGAGCCTGGTGGTGAAAAGGTGAATTGGGGGCAGCGTTCGACTGTCGCTTCGTCGTGCCTTTTCGTTGAAGTCATGAAAAGCGAAAGTTGTGAAGTTCAAACTTGCTGTTTCCGATCATCACGTGATCTCAGATGAGAAGCGCATTTCTGCGTCATCTGATTGGTCGGCTGCCACGACATGCAGCTCCATGACAGGCATCCAGGATGTTTCTGATATTTGATACTTCGACACTTGACAATGCTTAGACGCAGCGGCAGGGTAAGAATGGGCTTTGAGCAGGTGAGTAAGGCTATAGGCTATTCCGTCAAGTGCACGGCATATTAACAACGAAAAATGCAGGTAACTCATAGCTGGCTTATGTGAGCCACCCCTCCGTGGCAGGCAATGATCGTATCTTCACCAGCAGCCATCGTACGTGCATGCGTGAAATCCTATGGCTACGGGAGGCTCTTTATGTTTCGGGAACACTCACGCACTCAATCCAGCCTCTTCTCAGTACAAATATACTCACCCAACATGTCACAAAATACTTACTGCTTGTCCGTCCAGCTTTTCCGTACCCTTGAGCCTATTTTAAAGTGGAGAAGATGTTGCCCCAGAGCCCTGGAACCCGCCTCAGATCAGATCATGGCATGATATGCCCTGTTCATTCTCTCAATTTTCTGCGTCGGGGCATATATAAAAGTTGACAACGTTCTTTCAATAATATACAAAGTACGCTTGTTGCCTCGTGCTCTTCGGTTGTCTATCTACTGCGCCCTAGGATCAGACAGGGGTGCCGTCTTGATCCTTTTCACCCCTCGAAACTCGCAGAATTTTCTTTCCTCAAGAGCCTGTTTATTAAGGCGCCTGAAGACAACAGCCGGTAGCATAACTCACTACTCGTCCAGACATGGCGACCACAGAAGAAGGCCGGCTGATTCCGGCTGAAGAGATAACTGAGCAAGCACCGTTGCTGAGAAGAGAGGGTGACGAAGGCGTGAGAAACTCGCATCCGCGACTCTCTGGAGCTCGCTCCACGATTATTATACTGGGACTGACTGGTGTCACCTTCCTAAGCTGCGTGTCTAACGGTCTTCTTGTCGTCGGCCTGCCTGCAATCGCCTATGACCTTGAGCTTCCCGATCATCTCTTGTTCTGGTTTGACTCCCGTAACCTTGGAATTAAACGTCTGGATAAAGTAGATGCTTGCTAACACTCGCGCACGATCTAGGCCAACATCCGTCTATTCGTAAGTAGGATGGCGCTTTATTTCTCCATGGTATCAAGTAAATCAAAAAATGGCATCTCTAATAGTTAATTGCTCGTGCATATAGACTTGCCAGCGGATGTGTTCTCTTGCTCGCTGGCTCCTTAGCCGACATTGTTGGTGATCGGTCGATTAATATCTTGGGTACTGCAACCACTGCTCTCGCAATCCTTGGCACGGGCCTATCTCGCACCGGAATGGAGATGATCATATACCGTCTCGTTCAGGGTGTCGGCGTCTCAATGTGTCTGCCAACCGGAGTCAGCATCATCACGAGGTCGTTTCCTCCCGGACCCCAGCGCAACATCGGATTCGCTAGCCTGGGCTTATCCCAACCACTTGGCTTTTCTGTCGGCATGGTTGCCGAGGGGCTGTTTTCAGAGGCCCCCGGAGGCTGGAGACTGGGATTCTATGGTAGTGCCAGTGTCGCACTCGTCCTCACTATATCAAATTTCCTTGTCCTACCATTTGATAACAAACAATCTACCTTTAAATGGGGTGATCTCCTGAGTAAGGTCGATTGGGTCGGAATACTGATTGCTAGCTCTTGCATGGGCATTATCTCCTACATATGCGCGTGAGTATTGGTTCACCTTATTCAAGAGTCAAGAGCCGGACTTACAATGTTATCCTGCAGTATTCTCACAGACGACGTGGCCAATATCCAGAATGCCGCTCACATAATACTTATTGTGTTTGCCCTGGCCCTGATGCCTGCCTTTGGCTTCTGGATGCATTGGCAAGGAAAGAGAGGCGCACCAGCATTGATACCCAACTCGATGTGGAAGAACACAGTCTTTGTTTCCATCAGCTTGATCGTATTCTTCACTTGGGCTGTCATATTAAGCTCTGAGCTAGTACTGAGTTTATTGTATGTTCAACTCCTCTCCCTTTCGCTGTTTACCTGATTGCCGTTACTAACTCGTCAATAATAGCTTCCAAAAAGTCCAGCTGTTGTCTCCATTCGATACTTCCATCCGTCTTCTGCCCAATGTCATCATTGGCGTTATACTCAACCTTAGCACCGGACTATTCGTCCATCTGGTCCAAGTCAATTACCTAGTCATTGTAGTGTCTATAATCGCAGCAATTGCCCCGCTGTTGATGGCCATCATAGACCCAAACTGGAACTACTGGATCTGCGCGTTCTGGGGAGTGCTCTTGGGGCCAGTGGCTATCGATGGTATGCACGGCTTTGTTCTTCCCCTCCCCCGTCGCACTTACACGGCATTAGCGCCAGTTACTGACACATGACTTTCTACCATCTAGTTGTATTCACCATCGCCCACTTGATGATCACAGATATATTCCCGAGCTCCACCCAGGCTCTCGCTGGCGCTGTGTTCAACACCATCGCCCAACTCGGAAGCTCTGTTGGCCTCTCTGCCATTGCAGTCATTTCAGCTGCGGTAGAAAAGGCCTCACCTTATCCGGACCAATCGCCTGCGGCCATCATGGCTGGGTACAGGGCAGCATTCTGGGCGTGTTTCGGTACCATGCTGTTTGTTGCGTTCATTGGCTTTGTCGGCCTCTGGAATGTGAGGAAGCTTGGGGTCGAAGACGATCACGAACGAACCTAAGACACAAACTTGACGGACATCATTGACTCCCAATCTTTTGTGGTTTCGAGGAGGCTGCCTGAAAATTCTTCTTTATTTTGCTTCACTGCACACAAGAATCGGCTAGGTCGAGGACCTCCTAAGTCGAGTGCATTCTCCTTTCACCTACCTTAATAAGCTCTTCGTATGTGCCCGGGTACATAAAACGACTGACACACTTGAAAATCAGTAGCATTCACATTATAGATAGCCTGTTCTCTTTGATCATATGATTATAGCTCCTCTTCAGGGGCAGCAATAGACGCAAAAAAATGCATCAACCTGATGAAAATACTTATGACGCCGTTGCTTTAATTGAGATGTTGAAAATGCTGCCGACTAGTCCTAGTGCTCGATCATTTACCTCCTTCACCAACGGCCCCATAGCCATCAATTCTTCGCCTCCTAATGTATATCATAAGCATTTAAGGAGCTCCACACAAAAGTTGCTACAGAGTTTGTCAGATATTTGAAATAGTTATTAATCACTTTGTAATAGTTAACTACCTACCCCATCGGACCAACTTTCGGACGTGCAACTCGTTGACTATTTCGCGCATGTCTATCTAAAGTACTTCACAGTGAAAGGTATATTAAAGGCAGAGCCCAATACCGTGGTTGAGGCATCAGTATGGTGATCAATTCTTCATTCTTCCCCTAATCGCCGAAGCAACCCCTCCTCCCATCTGAATTAAGGCCGTTCAGTATATAAATACAGCATTGATTTCTCAGTCTCCAATTCAACCAAAAAAATATCCATTCTCTCGAAATATGGCACCATCAACAGAGACGTTTATTGAACTGGCCAAAGCCAGGAGATCTGTGTACGCTATCAGCAACGCCAGTACAGTGCCGGATTCTCAGCTCGAACAGCTTGTACACGATGCAATCAAGCATGTTCCTAGCTCCTTCAATACCCAGACTACTCGTATAGTCCTGCTTCTCCGTGACGAGAATCAACGGTTCTGGGATACTGTTCAGGGAGTGTACACGTCCATGGTGGAAAGAGGTACATTTCCTGAGGACAAGTGGAAAGCCGGCACAAAGCCAAAGCTGGACAGTATGAGAGCTGGATACGGAACCGTAAGTTGATTTGATAGCTAAGGGCTAGTATCAGTTGCTAATATGACTAGATACTCTTCTATGAAGACCCAACGGTGATACCTGGGATGTGTGAGAAGTTCCCTCAATACAAGGAGCAATTTCCCATATGGGCTCATCATAGCAATGCCATGCACCAATATTTCCGTGAGTCCTGGATGCAATCGAATTACATAACTATGTCATATTGAGGGTGTATTCAAATCCATGCTGACCTTGCTTGTAATCGAAAATTTTTAGTGTGGACCACGCTTGAATCCCTCGGATTGGGCGCTAGCCTGCAGCACTACAACCCCATTATTGATGCAAAAGTCACGGAAGCTTTCTCACTCCCATCCGACTGGATATTAGTCGCTCAGATGCCATTTGGTGTCCCTACTGCAGCACCATCTGAGAAATCGTTTGATCCAATCGAGCCGAGAGTTAGGGTATTCGGGAAGCAAGATAATTAAATTCCATGCAATGACCAGGCGGGGAAGAGTCATCAAACTTTTCAAGATGTTTTAAAGTACAGTACGTTATAGAATCGTTTTATCCAGTACTAGTCATTTGTTCGTGTCTCGTTAAAGAGTTGTATATCACAATATATATACTGTTATATAAAGAAAACCGCTCGACCAATGATCAGCGCATATTACCCTAGTGAACATGATCCCTTGCATATCTCTTGACGCTTTCCAAGAACGAGATGTCTTCCTTGAATCCAAGTTCCTTGGCCCATGTAATGTCGAAATTGGGGGACCAGCCTTGGACAATTTTATCAACTGCCTCGTCATACTTTTCTTCGACCAAGGCTCTCTTCTCCTTTCCGCCAACTTGCTCCAGAACATCCAGCATCTCGGTAACAGAAACCTTAATCCCAGGCAGGTTTACAGCTCTGGAGTCCCCAAAATTCTCCTTTGGAATGTCTTTGGCGTAGATCATGTTTTCCACAACAACATACGGAGAGCATATCCAGAGCTCCGTATCCTTTTTGACTGGAATAACGCTCTTCTCGCCCTTCAATGGCTCGCGTATGATACCGGAAGCAAAGCTGCTTGCAGCTCCTGTGGGGGCACCAGCCCGGACAGTAACAGTAGGCAATCGAACAGATCTCCCATCAAGGAAACCACGGCGTGAATAGTCATTCAGGAGTAGCTCAGTTGCAACTTTCGCCGTTGCGTAAGAAGAAGTAGGGAGCGGTGGGATATTTCGTTCATTTATCTTGAATCCAGGAGGAGTAGGCCCATAGACAGCCAGCGAAGATGCAAAGATAACCTTTACGCCTGGAATCACTTTTCGCAACCTTTCGAACATGTAATGTACCGAGAAGAAATTGATTTTCATGCCCAGGTCAAAATTGGCTTCTGAAGCACCGGACATGATGCCATGGAGAATGTAGACCGCATCGTATTGGGATGGAGAGCTGATGAGCTCGTCGACGGCAGCCTGCGAAGTCAGGTCTGCCTTAATGCTGGTAATGCGACTGGCATCTTCTAGTTTTGCTGAAGGTGGAACTGGAGGGGCCACGGTAACGTCTGTAAGTGTGAGACGAGTGTCGGGACAGGCATTAAGAAGTCCCGTGGCCAACTCCTGCCCGACAAAGCCATTTGCTCCGGTGATAAGGATAGAGGGCATTGGCACGGCTTTTTTTTCTTAAATCTGAAGTCAATAGGTTGAAGTTAAGGGTTTGACTAGTAACGGGCTTAGGACGGCCCGCCTGGGTAGACCCAATAACTAATAGAAAGAAGTATAGGGGGTGATAGAAGCTGTGGTTGCGATTATCCAGCCCATATCATAATCAAGGGGTGGGATGACCGCTATTTAAATCCCTCCCCTTGCCTGTTCTGCAGCACAGCCATGAAGATGCATCCATGCGGAGAGTTCGTCAGAATAAGGAGTAACGCCGAACGGTCGCCCAACCGAGTACCACGGCAACTGTACCGAATTCTGTAACTGTCTCCAACAGCCTCTGAAACTGGCTCATATTTCTATATTTCTTTCTTCTGTGCCGTTCAGATTCGCTGCTTCAAGTTGAGCTCCACGGGCCGCTAGGCAAATCTTTGGTCACGTGCCCCGGTATTACTCCGAGAGCGCTCTTCGTCGGCGGTAGGCCCGGACTGGGGCTGTGCGCGGCTAAAGACCAGTTCACGACGTTGCCAGAAGGGTTTATTATCACCAGGCATAGGCTGTTATATCAGTTTTGATCACTCTTCCGAGTGGTGGTTGTCGTTGAGGGGCGGGCAGTGAAAAATGGGTCAGTATGGTGAGCTATCCGCCTGCTGATGCCAAGGACAGAAAAAGAATCGAATGACGAGTGTTTCAGCATCATGTATGTATGTCGGAAAGTACCCAAGGGCACTAACCTTAAATCCCTAACTAGCGTTTGGAGACAGAGTTAGGCTGTCGGGCCATTCTTCCGCCCTCTTTCACGGAGACAAACAATCCCCTCCAAGCTGCAGCTAAAAAGAGCTTGCCGGCGAGGTGGAAAGATGCAATGTAACGTCTAGCCGGTAAGGCAGCTTTCGCAGACGCATCAACGTTGCGTAACTTCAACAGTACAGCAAGGAGTTTCACGTGACCAAATAGATTATCAAACCTTAAAATGGATATACCTGCGCAGTCCAAGAGGGCAAAAAGGGAGAATCGAATCTCTATCATGAATAGCAGACTAATTGAACATGGGTCAAGAGGCGTAGGATAGATGACAGAGAAGGAAAGCAGGGGAGACACAGAACAAATGCAGCCCTATACATTTTTGAGGAGGAAACAAACCACCACATGGCTAAACCTGTGAATAAACAGATCCAATCGTATTTCAATGAGAGCCTTGGAAGAAGACATAACGCAGGACTCACTCAAAAGGGGAGAAACAGAAAAAAAAATTTGAAACTCTCAAACGCCAATGAAAGATGGGAAACCAAAAGAAGAAACACCTGAAAAATTCCCAGTTAAGTGGCTCGGTAGATACCGGCGACAATGCAGTGGTCACGCTCGAAAGGTTCTAGTAAAAGGGATTAGTTAGATATTCGCATCAATATGTGGCAAGGTCGTGATAAGTGTGGATACGTACCAAGTGTGAGCTGCTCCTTTGGTTTTATCTTCTCGTCTCTCATCTTTTGTACTTCTCTGGCAAACACAACCTCTGGTTTGGCAGTACTGTCAATACAGTTGGCTTTGACACTGACAATAACACCACCGCCGGTCTTCAAGAAGAGATGAGCGTTGAGGCCAACAATACGGGCCTGGTCAGGTTGGGCAACATCAGCAAAAATGACATCAACCATACCAACCAGCATTCTGTAGCGGAGAGGGTGGCGAGCATCCTCAACAATTGGGATAACGTTGGTGCGGTGAGTGGCCATGCCAACCAAATCACGACCAGACCGGTGGGAGAATTCCACAGCGTAAACGGTTCCGGTGGGCCCCACAATGTCAGCAACGTGGCTGACGGAGGTACCGCTGGCGGCTCCGAGGTAGAGAACCTTTGAGCCGGGCTTCATGTAAATGTCATCAAGACCACCGAGGATACCTGCAGCAAGCTTGCTTCTGAAGGGGTTCCAGACACGGTATTCGACTTTGGTAACGGGTTCATCACCTGTCGAGGGTCCCTCGACGGATATGCGCTTCTCCCCATACACAGATTCTCCAGGGGTGATGTTTTTGGTGACAAGGAGGTCCTCCTTTCCACCACGCGCAACGAACACACCTCCGTGACGATGGGGTTCCTAAAAGAATTACCATATCAGGTCAACCTGCTCATCAATAGTAACAGCATTGAATGCCAGACAGAGCTTACCACGATGACTTTGGCACCACCACGGGCACCAGCCTTTCCACCACGTCCACCACGGCCAGCGCCGCGGCCTCTTGCGGCCCCTCGTCCACCTCCACGACCGCCTCTGTCACCACCGCCGCGTCCGCCGAAGCCACCTATTTCAGTCAGTCACCCCGCTCTTTAAAGCTGCAAATTAAAGGACAGTGCAAAGCTAGAAGTCCAAATGAATTTTTGCCGAAGCTCGAATTCAATTGTACCCGCCATTGGAGGCTCTTTTGTAGGTACAAGGGATTTACACACCACGTCCACCACCGCGAGCACCGCCTCTTCCGCCTCGTCCTCCACGGCCACCGCGGTCACCACCACGTCCTCGAGGAGCTCCAAATGCCATTATACCGAGAGATCGAGCTTGATCTTTTTGCGAATGAAGTATCGATTATTCAATTTACAGTCCCGTCTTTGTGGAGTGGCTGGACCTGAATGCGATTTGATCTGGTATTAAGCGATAAACGACGAGGTATATTTGCCCTGAAAGTCGAATAGGTGCGTCCCCGGAGAGAAGACTATATCGACCTGCGAAAGGATTTGAGGCAGCCGACAGGCGATGTTTGAATTGAAGGATATTGATTCTATTTTTTTTGCTTCTTCATTTTTTTTTTTTCGCACGATGATTTTGCTAAGCTTCCTAACCAAAAAAAGCTAGACTTGATTTTGGTTTATGTAATATACTTCATATCACGTGTAATGAATCACGTGTTTATTCGGTGGCCCGAGCGCATCTATCGGCTTATCTAAGCAGATTCGGGCGAGGCTACAGGTCATCTAACCCCTTCGGATAGCTCGGTTGACCTAAACTCTAAATTTTTACGTGATATCTTATGTAATCACGTGAAGGTGAGCTGACCCAATAAATTACACTTGTAATAAAGGTATAGCCCTTTACAATATTTCTAATTCTAACCCTTACTATTAGTTAGTAACTAGTTACTAACTAATCCCATATTAGTTATAAAGTACTCTCTAACTACTTATCAAATATACTCCCTACTCCCCTAATCTAAACCCTAACCTCCTAATCCTAGCCCCCTAATCCTAATACACCTCTATTACAGGTCTGTAATTTATTGGGTCAGCTCACCTTTACGTGATTACATAAGATATCACGTAAAAATTTAGAGTTTAGGTCAACCGAGCTATCCGAAGGGGTCAGATGACCTACATCCTGGATTCGGGCTCCCTTCTTGACTTCCCTCAACGACAACAAAACATCGACCAAGATATGAATCTATCAATATTGTAATTGATATACATTGCATGCACCATAAAATCTAACGCCAATACTCCGGTTTTTTTAACTATGTTCTTATTTATGTACAAATCTGCTGTTTTTCTCGTCCCATAATTACATGCCAATATCCAACAACCCTATGCTAACTATGCCAGACAACAAAATAAATACACTGAGGAGAAAAGGGTATGAAGAAGGAACCTGAAACTCAATACGTGGTTAAAGAAACAGACAAAAGAAATTCATAACATTTAGCCACTTTTTCATCCATAGAACCAGTACTCGGCGGAATACTGGATTTGGATCTGTTCTGGCAGTCCAACACAGGTTGGTGGTGCTTTGCCTCCAGCAGTGTTCACACGATATACCCTCTTTGCCTGGCCTTTGCTAGAAGGCGTTGATTCAAGCATCAGCCAGCTAACAGCGCCTTCTTGCTCGTCCTTGACACCCTTCATAGCGTTGGGTGGTGCATCCTTGGAGTCGACCTTCTTAACACCACATATACCGAGCTTTGGCATGTCAAATGTGGGCACACCTTCACCGTCGAAGTAGTGGTGACCCATCACCATTAGGTCTACGGGACCACGAGGATTGGTGAATGGCGACGGGTTGGTGAGTTCGAGGGCAACGTTTGGGAGAAGCGAGAGTAGGTAAGGGTAATTGGATGCAATGCATGAAGCGTCGAACAACGTGGCAACTGCGCCAGTAGCCTTTGGTGCTTGGTCTGGGGATAAGCCAGCGCAGGTATAATTCTATTATCTGGTTAGTTCGGGCTCACCCACTGTTGTTGGTGATAGTCGGAGAAACGTACTTGAGTGCCACGTCCGACTGCGACCGCAAGCAGCTTCTGGTCTGGAGGGATTTCCGATAGCCGTGGATTGCTTGGGAGCACAGCTTTGGAGAGATCACAATTAGGCTGACGAGGGAAGCCTTGGTTGGCGTGCTTGGAAATATAGTCGCCAATTTCAGTGAGCCATTTGGCAGAACCCGGAGACCAGCCAGCTGGTGCAGCGTTCACTCCCGCGATTGCGATACAGGCAGAGAGAATGGTGGAAAAGCGCATGTTGGGCAAATTTGGTATGGTGATTTTTTTGTTTTTTTCGTTTTGATATTTTTTTGGTATTTTGGCAATGAAGGGCGATGTAGGAATCGTTTCGTCAAGAAACTGTGATTTCAAGCAAACAACGGATCAACCGAAGGAAAGAAATAAACAAGGAACAGCAGAAAATAAATTAAATAAACAGGAGAAAGAAAAAAACAGAAAGGAAAAAGTCGGATATCGCAGACCAGATGCAATACCGTGAAGAGATGAGAGATACAGTGAAGAAAATCGAAGCAGGAAAATCGCCAGCAGAAGACATCTTTATATACAGATCGCCTGGCAGGATTTCCCCTTTGAGCGATTCTTCAGAACATGCAGAGACTTCCATGCAGCCGCCCACCGGCACCAAAAAAAGAACAACCCCAAACACCCAAACTCTCGCACAACCGCTCCCAGGGCGAAGATGAACGCTCAATGGCTGGAACATTCACGGATAAAAATAGCCGTGAGCAAGGGCCAATCAGTTGATGGTTGGTGCATGGCGGCTCGCAGGGGTTGTCCCTGTGGCTATCTTTAGCCAGGGACCCAGCGACGAATATGATTGGCTGCATGTAAGCGCCGAATCAATCCATGGGATGGACTAACCTTCAGCTCAAACCATGCTCTGCAGGGCCTCAGGCTCTTTTGCGGACATATCTCCTATTCAAAGTCCACTCTTCAGATTCCAGAAATAGGTTCTCGCCATCGACTTCAACGTTCAGCATTTCAGTTTTGCCCTCAGGGTTGCATGCACTGTGGTAGGCCACCTGGCTCGTTCTGTATCTAGTTGTGAATCGCCACAGTTTCTGTTAGCTGGCTAGACCCAGCTAACCCCCTACAACTCTATACCTGGAAATGGCATTGACTTCCCGCCAGTTATTTCCATTTCCAGACAGTGTCGCACCCTTGCTACTTATTTTCCTGCATTGAATACCCCGTATGTCTGTGCAGCGCCCTGCCCTAGTCAGTTCAAGAAATTAACCATTGTCCATCAAGGTCATGCTAGCTTCCTGGAGACCCTTTAATTTATCTCTTTAAGGAATTATACTCCTTCAGGGACTGCTACTCGCAGGCGAGACACTCACATGCATGCCATAGCGTACAGCTATGCGTATGCATGAAATTCGCAGCAACATGTCAGCTGTTTTCCGTTGAGTTAGTTACCCGGGCTACCCGCCCGTCGTGCATGATTCTCAAACATTGACACATGTCCAAGCGGCGGATATACGCCGTTAAAAAGGGTCACCACGTTCAAAAAAAAAAAAAAAAAAAAAAAAAAAATACGATATGCATGACATGGGTAAATCATAAGGCTACGGTTGGCGCGTACATATATGCCCACGATCGGCTCAGGGTAGATCATACATTGACTAACATACATCACTTGAATACTGGTAGACAGACTCTTCGACTATATACGGATGGAGGCGTGATGGCACCTGAAAGGGGAAAATCTCAAGACCTAACAACAGATACATATTGGTTAAAGAAAGGACCAACTCCGTCTAGACATGAAGAAATGTCAAGCCTCACATAGAATGATGCGAAAGTCTCTGCGAAATAACATATCAAACACATATGGTTTCAAAGAAAGACTAGTTAGCCAAGGGGACCATCCTCCGCTCCGCCGAGATTTTGACCCGTGCCATGGTCTAGCATGATGCCAGCATGCTTCTCGATACCTGTGGTGCTCATAGAATACAGCATTATGAATAAGAAGATATGCAATGCAAAGCAGTATGCTGCAAATAGATTCCTACTTGTCCTGTTGGCAAGAACCATCCTAGTTATTGAGAAAATGATCCGCTCTGGCACACTCATGCGCTTATATGCACGAGCGGACTCACGGCCTCTAAAGGCTGCGAACGGCGATATCTGAGCCTCGTACGCTGACTGGTATCTATCAAGCGAGAGACCAGATGGGGTATCAGGATCAACTTGGATTGCCGTCGCGTTCGGTCTATTTGAATACGGTGTCGCAGTCGAGGAGGTCGAAGCCTGACCCCTATTATATGTCGACACATACCGGGTTTTCTCATAAAGACTAAGATTATCTTTCTGTAACGACGCGACTTCTGCCCGCAGAGATTTGACGATACCATATGTTTTTGAAAGTTCTTCTTCTAGCTCGCTGTTCTTCTGCTTGAAGCGATCACGCTGTGCTTGGACCATTGGAAGAATGCCGGAGCCACCCCCAACAGGCTCACCTGCCCGAATTGCTTCCATAGTGGTAGGAGACATGGAATTATCGAAGCCGGAGATTATGGAGGAGGTAGGGGATACCCGCCCTCTACGGGAGCCGTGAGGGTATCTTGATACATATGTTCCTGCTACTGACATGGCAGAGGAGTTGGTTGTTTCACGCTGGATGTGTAGGAGGTCATTCTCCAGTTTAGTGGCCAACTTCCTTGATTTTTCCAATTCGGAGTTGGTTCGCGAGAGTTCTTCTCGAAGGGCGCCCAGCTGGCCTTCTAGGTCTTGGTGAGATACTCGCAAGATCGTGAGCTCATTCGATAGTTTCTTATTGCGTGCAAGAAGCAATTGTTCTAAGTTATTCTCCTTGGAGTTTGAGGGTTTGGTATCGTCAATAGAGGTATCAGGTTCATCATCTCCAGTTGAAAATTCAATGGACTACCGCAGTTAGTAAAGGAATTGGTACCTAGACTAGATGAAAGCATACCTTGATGACCTCCAACTCGCGCTTGATATCGTCATAATCTGCAAACTTAGTAAGCTTTTCACGGAGTTCATCTCGCTCTCGCGTAATCTTTGAACTAGTTCGTTCGCACTGGCGGAGTTTTCCTTCCCAGGTATTTTTCTCCGCGTCCTTATCAAAGCGAGCAGCCTCGAGCTTCCGCATTAGCGAAGAGTTCTCAGTTTGCAATCGCAGGTATTGGGGTTCTTCCTCCACGGGGCGGGAGCTTTGTTCAGATTGACTCTGAGAAGCTGCTTGGGCAAGCTCGAGACTAAGTTGCTCATTGCGAGCCTCCACCTCGGCTAGACGGATACTGGTTCTCTCTAAATCTGAAGTGACTATTTCGAGCTCAGCTGCTGTTGCCGCACTGCGCGTGTCACCTTCAGTATTCTCGCTGTGGTTCAGCCGCTGCGAGACTTCATAGCTCGCTTTAAGCTCCTTAAGCAAACGGTCATGGCTTTCGGCCTTTTCTTCGAACGCCTTCTCCTTTGCTTCCCAGTTGCTCGTCTTTTCCGCCAATGCAGCTTTCCACGATGCTTCGACTTCCTGGATCTTCTTATCCTGGTTCTCTTCTAGTTTTAGTCGTGTAGCACGTTCTTCAGCTAGTCGTTTTTCGGTCTCCTCGAGCTGATATGTTAGACGGTTGACACTGTTCTGCAGAAAGTCCTTCTCAGCATTCAACTTGGGGACAGTATCTTCGGATAGAACTAGAGAGTCGATCGAGGCTTCAAGAAGCGGATAAGGGTCCGGAGCTTCGGATAACGCAGTATATAACTGTAGAAAAGAAGAGGAGGAAACCTTCCCTTGGTTCGTGAGGAGATCTATAAAAGCCTGATATGCTGTTAGGGTTGTCAGCAAAAAGCTCCCCTGTTCCATCATGGCTATAAATACACACATTTCAGCAGCCCCTTATACTCCGACAGTTTTGAGGCATCGTCAAGCTTCCTGAAATCCTTCGTCTTTTGCGCTAGATCTTTCCTCTGGACAAGGGAGTCTCTCTGGTGTGACACGATGTCAGAGGCGGTCGTATCGTGTTTGGCAATCAGGTTTGCAAGATCAATTCCTACAAATACATAGTTAGCAAGCCACCCATTAGATCCTGTTGTTAAAAGAAAGGAACACACCTCTCCATACTGCAATAGCTCGCTGGAATTTGTTCTCCTCCTGAACCTGCTCAGGCGTCTTGTTAGTTTCAGCGCTGCGGCCATTCTCAGTAGCCTGTGAAGTTGCACTCTCGGACGCAATCAACGGATCCATCTTCTCTCTATATCTCGAATGACAATCCTGATCTATCCTACATAACAACAAAAGAGGTGTTGCCAGGGAGAATAGGTCGTCGCCAACTGCATGTCTGCCTCCGTGTCAACTTGCGAAGCTCCAGGACATTGGTCGCTTACATAAGCTGCAGCCTCTCCACGCCGTAACTTAGAAGAGCTTCGGGACGGGGATGCAACAACAGGCAGCAGAAAACAGACAACAAACGACAACAAACAAGAGAGGCTGGCTTGGAGCACCGTTTGGGCGTGAGTCTCTTGGGCAGAGCATGCCTTGAGATGCGCGAAGTTGAGCCAATATTATGGGCTCTGATGGTGACATCGATCCGCGCCGGAAACGGAGGCGCATCAGCCCTCTAGAGACAGGTCCCTATGTGCTGCGGCCGCTACTCGAAGATGTTCCGGTGCAGGCGGAAGATGGGGAGGGCCAAGCACATATAACCTGCGTGGAATACTGGAGTACGCATTGGTTTTCTTGTGCCATTTGATTGCCTCATAATGTCTTTGTTCTAACACTTGGCTTGTGAACAGATGAGAATCTATACGTTGGTACCTCCGCAGGCGAAATATTACACTTTGTCTCTCTTCCACCTGAATCAGATCTCGAAACTGGCAAGCCCTCGTTCATATTAGCTTCAAGGCAGCCTATTACGTCGTCAACTCGTACTACTACTTCCTGCGGAATACAGCAGATTCTAGTACTTGCTACGGCCAGCAAGGCCTGCGTCCTTTGCAATGGATCCGTCTTCTTCTACTCTTTGCCAGAGCTCAGCCCCGCCTATGGGACAACAAAGGTGTCCAACTGTAACTGGATTGGTGGTCTTGATCTTGACGAGCCAGATGCCGAGGATGGGGAGGAAGCTTCGGACCCTATAATCATGATGGGAATGCAAGACAAGATAATGCTTGTGAAGATTGGGGGAGGGCCGCGAAGAGTGAGAAATATTGAATTTCCTGGATGCCTGATTGCAAACCGAAGGGGTACCATAGCGTGTGTAGCAGACTCCCGTTCCTATGCGTTGCTCGAGGTTGAGCATCGTCAGAAGATACCTTTATTCCCAATCTCCTCAAACGACGAGTATGGCGAATTCAAAGTAGAGGATATACCATCTCGGAGTGAAAGCCCTGCACGGGAAAAAGTGCCAGTTGCTTCAAACGGGAATTCTGGGGTAAAAACCCATGGACGAAGCACTAGTTTGAATGCTATAGCCGCCAGCTCAGAGCTGCGTCAGCAGAGCACACAACCTGACGTCTCAGGAATATCTACCCCCGACTCTCTCGCGGAAGACAAACTACCGAAACCAACTAGCCCCCATGATAGGCGATTATCAATTCCAAGCAGGTCTCCGTCAGCCGCTCCAGGCGATGGACTTGGTCAGAAGCCCCTCCCGCCAACCCCGAGTCCAACTCCAAAGAAACCAATCTCAATGTTAAAACCGCATATTGTATCACCTACGCCTTCTGAGTTTCTGCTGGTTACAGGGACGGATGCTTCAAATCCTGCTGTTGGTATGTTTGTCAACCTCGAAGGCGAAACTGCGGAACGTGGAACTATTGAATTTCAGACATATCCCGATGCTATCGTGCTTGACAATGGAGATGACGAAGACCCAAACTCTCACCCAAGCAGCGATGATGCCGATGGGTACGTTTTGGCAGTGGTAAATGCAGCCATTGATACGGAGGCTGATGGAGAAGTTACGGAAGAAAAGTGTTTAGAGGTGCAAAGATGGGACGTGAATCCCGGGGAGGGAGGGAGACAACGATCATTAATAAATGTCTCGCTTGCACCCCCCGTGTCTGGGCCTGTTGGGATTACTCGGACAGTCAGCCCGAACAAGATAAATTTTGCAGATGTCGGTGAGCTTCTACAGGTTGTCCGGCTCAAGGTGCCAGATTTACGAACGCCTGGATCGATGACGCCGCAAAAGAACAATGATCCGAGGACGGAGGCATCTATAGAGCAGCTGCAAAAGGAAAAAGAGCTATTTGAAAACGACTCTGACAGCTCTAAACAGGTCAAATTGCGGCGTGGGTGGGAAGCAGAAAGGAATGAAGAAGAATTGGCATTTGCAAAAACACTGGGTTATGTGAAAAGTAACGTCATGCTGTGGGAGGGAAATCAGATATGGCGTGTACTCCGTAACCCGTTGGCATTACAACTGGAGAATGCCCTTATGCTCACTCAAGAGGTACAGGACGCGAAGACTTGCCGCATTGCTGACAAAGGCGCGATAATAGACATGATGGCAAGACTTGATTCGATTTTACCCAGAACAGCTCCTGAGTCTCTCGGGTTGAATTATGTTAAACAAAAGGCAAGTCTGTTGCTTTTTGGGGACCTCATTGCAACAAATCCCGAATATCAAACCCCAAGTGCAATTAAATCTGTGGAGGATGTGTTGATTGCCGGAGAGCTAGACCCTCGCATCATTCTCCTTTTTACACCCTTGCTTAGAGAAGAGATCCTGCAAGGGCCGCAGGGGATTTGGATTTGTGCCGGGCTTACCAAGGTCGTTGATACCCTTTTAGAAGTGTCCAATGACCAAGATGGGACGATCAAGTTCAACTTTACAGAGCCAATCTTACGGATGCTCGTCAGATACTTGACTTCCTGGCACCGGAAGAGAGGATACGGAAGCGTGACCGATGATACCTATGTGTTTGACAGCGTGGATTCTGCGCTGCTTCGTCTCCTGCTTCATCTCGATGCAACGCACAATGAGGTAGTGAACGGAAAGACAGTGGCGTCTGATGTCCGGCAAGAACTTAACAAACTGGTTGACAACTGGAAGGGAAATTTCACCCGTGCAGTCGAGTTACTAGAACTGTACCAGCGGCTCTTTGTCTTGAGCCGTCTATATCAGAGCCGCAAAATGTCTGGCCATGTTCTTAGGACATGGCGCCGGACGATCGAAGGAGAGAAGGATGTTGGTGGTGAGATGACCATTCCTGCAGTTGAGCTCCAAGTACGGAAGTATTTGGTAAAGATAAGAGATCCTAACCTGGTCGAGGAGTATGGGCTCTGGCTCGCGACGAGGAATCCCAAGCTTGGAATCCAGGTATTCTCGGATGATAGTAGCAGAGTCCAGTTTGATCCGCCACAGGTAATTCGAATATTGAAAGATCGTGCTCCTGGCGCTGTACAAGTCTACCTTGAGCACCTTGTCTTTACCAAAAATGTGTGTTCACTGAAGTGTTTATTTCATACCTATTCTTGATCGTTACTGACTTGCCTACCAGATCACACGATACGCCGACGACCTGATATCTTATTATCTTGACACCGTTATTTCGGTTCTAGAAACATCACCTGAAGCGAGGGCTTCCCTCACCGAATCATACTCTACCTACCGTGCTCTCCGACCTCCAAAGCCCTCGTACCTAAGTTTCATTACCGAAAACGCACCTCCAGAGCCGTGGTGGCAGTCCCGTCTCCGACTCTTACAACTTCTTGGAGGAGCTGCCAGAAGCCAGTTCACCTCCGCAGCAGCTCTCCCCTCAGATCTACCTTATTCTATCTCTGCAGTACTCGAACGAATTGAGCCGTTTAAAAATGAGCTAGTGTCTGAATGTATTATTCTCGGCGGCCGCCAGGGACGGCACGATGATGCCCTCCACCTTTTAACCCACGGCCTCGGCGATTATGACTCCGCAATCCGATACTGTCTCTTTGAAGGATCAGGCGCCTCCGCATCCCACAGCATGTTTTCCCAGAAGTTTTCCCCCTCTGAGGGGCAAAAACAGCTTTTTGCGGGGCTACTTCGGGAATTCCTTCATATTGCCGATCCTTCAGAACGTACCGAGCGAACGGGAGACCTGCTGGCCCGATTCGCTCCGCTCTTCGATGTGCGTGAAGTACTTGACCTGGTCCCTGATGAGTGGAGCGTGGATGCTCTCAGCGAGTACTTTGCCCGGGCTCTGCGTGACCTTACATCGGAATCTCGAAACGCAAAGGTCCAGCGTGCCCTTAGTGCCGGACTTAACCTCAAGGTTTGTGCCGACTTTATCAAGGAGTCGGAGAAGATCGGCGGATGGATTGAAGATGCTGGCGAGGTCAAGCCTTTGAAAGGAGGTAGAGATATCACCGCAGAGCCAGAGGCCCAGGCTGAGGGTGCTGCTAAAAACAATCAATCACCTAACGAGGCCGGCACCCAGATCCGGCCAGACGACACCCTGAAGATATCTTGATATATTACTATCTTACATGCTTTTTCTTTCTCCCTTTTCTCTTTTGATTTATAGTCTGCTTAGCCCAAGGGATTGTGTCTATATATCGAGCTGAGCCTCTAGATTCACTAGTTGACTGGTTTCTAACGACGTCATACTTACCATTATTGTGATAAACTTGCCTCTCTTTCAGTGTATCCGGCTTCAAGAGGCCCATCCATGTCCAAGAACCGCCGAGACGGCTGGGATTGAGATCCTTCAGGCCTATAACTAACCCGGCAGTTGATGCCCGGAAGAGTTAGATGACCACTAGCCTTGTATTTTAGGCACAGGGCGTCATTTCGACCAGTATATATAGTTAGCATTGAGCATCCTAACTGTACGCTAGATCTACTTCACATCTTTCGTTACTCCAAGATCTTGACTATCAAGCTGCCCAAGATGGCTCAGGCTCGCCGTTCCATCTATCACAACCCCAATGCAAAGCAGTTCAGGCTTGACCGCGAGGTGGCGGGCGCAGAGAAGCAATTCCACCAATCTCTTCCGTCATACGAACCAAGCCCACTCGTCTCTCTCGACAGGCTTGCAAAGGAGCTCGGAGTGTCCAAGGTCTTCATCAAGGATGAGAGCAGCCGTCTAGGTCTCCCATCGTTCAAAATCCTGGGTGCTTCATGGGCCACCTACCAGGCTGTGTCGTCACATCTAAAGCTGTCCAGCCCCTCTCTAGATGAGCTCTCCCGCGCCGCCGCCAGTGCTCGTATCAAACTGCTGGCTGCAACCGATGGCAACCATGGACGGGCCGTTAGCCGAATGGCAAAGATCCTGGGAATATCCTCTGAGATCTTCGTTGGCAAGAATCTAGACCAACATACTCGAGACCTGATAGCCGGTGAAGGGGCGACGGTCACCGGTGTCGAGGGAGACTATGACGATGCGATCTCTGTTTCTGCGAAAAAGGCAGACGAATACCCTAATTTCATTTTGGTTCAGGATACTGCTTTTGAGGGCTACGAGAAGATCCCTGCTTGGATTGTCGATGGCTACTCTACGATGTTGACTGAGATTGACGACCAACTGCAGGACCAAGGGTTGAAAACTACGGTTATAGTCTCGCCTGCTGGCGTGGGATCCCTCTGCCAGGCTGTGGTGTCTCACTGCAAGTCTAATGGAAAGGAAATGTCAGTTCTTACTGTCGAGCCGGATGTTGCTGCTTGTCTGCACAAGAGTTTGAAGGCCGGAAAGATGACGCAGGTCAAGGTATCGAAGACGATAATGAGCGGAATGGAATGCGGAACTGTCTCGTCTATTGCATGGCCGATATTGCAGTCCGGAGTCGATGCCAGCGTAACTATCTCTGACTACGAGGCTCATCAGGGAGTTCAGTATCTAAGCTCAAAGGGGGTTAATGTTGGACCTTGCGGTGCTGCTGGTCTATCTGGTCTACGACATGTTGCAAAGACAAACCCATCCTGTATCGGTCTGACCTCCGATTCTGTTGTTGTTATTCTCGGGACAGAAGGAAGTCGTCCGTATACTACGCCCAAGGACGTTTCTTCAGATGATTGCGTTCAATTAACCCAGACTTTGACTCAGATCAACTCGTCTAACCCATCCGAGACGAACCCCAGTGGTGTTGGAGAAGGTGAGATAGCGGACTATATCACTGCCTGGCTAGAGCATCGAGATCTGGAAGCTCATCGGCTAGAGGGTACTCCTGGCAGGCCCTCGGTGATAGGTGTCCTTCGAGGCACTGGTGGGGGTAAATCCTTGATGATGAATGGCCATATAGACACAGTTACGCTGGACAGCTACTCATCTGGGCTTGACCCCCTTTCAGGAGAGCTAGCAGTTTCCTCTGCCGGACGCAAGAGGGTGGTAGGACGTGGAACGCTGGACATGAAGGCTGGTATTGCAGCTTCAATGGCTGCCCTGGCAATGGCTAAAACATCTTCCCCTCCACCTCGAGGAGACGTCATATTAGCAGCCGTTGCGGACGAAGAGTACTCGTCGATTGGCACCAAGGAGATACTTAAAGCAGGCTGGCGCGCCGATGGAGCTATCGTGGTCGAACCAACGCTAGAAACGATCGCCCATGCACACAAGGGGATGACGTGGCTGGAAATAGAGATATTGGGCGTTGCTGCCCATGGATCCAGGCCTGACGACGGGGTAGATGCAATTTTGCTCTCGGGATACTTCCTGACAGCCCTGAAAGAATACGAATCCAGCTTGCCGGAGGATAGTGATTTGGGCAGAGCGTCTCTACACGCCAGTTTGATCAAGGGCGGGATTGAACCGAACAGTTACCCTGCCTCTTGCAAGTTGACAATTGAATTCAGGACGATCCCTGTTCAAACTAAAGAGGGCATATTGGCTGATGTCAATGACATACTGGCGAAAATCAAGAAGCGAGTCGTTGGGTTCAAGTACCGGCCTCCGCAGGTCGTTGCACACAAGTCTCCATTTGAGATTGCGAAGGATCACCCCTTTACCCGGTGTGTATATAATGCTACTGGCAAGGTATATGGAAATCCCTGTGTGTTCCAGGCCCTGGATCCCTGGACAGATGCAGCTCTGCTTCATGATGCGGGAATTCCGTCGATTGTATTCGGCCAGTCTGGCGCTGGCTTGCATTCAGAGTATGAGTGGGTTGATGTTGAGAGCATCCAGAGGACTGAGGGGGTGATATCTGCACTTATCCAGGATTTCTGCGGTTAATCTAGCAGATTTTGAGGAAGTAAAAACACATGCTTGTGACAATAATGGAATGAGAGAGGATAATAATGCATTAAGTATTCGATGTTGTATTCACATTTGCCTGATGACTCCAGAGTAACCACCTGGACCGCATATGCCTCTATAATGATAAAAGTGAGCCCAGTAACCGTTATACTAACCCTTCACTCGTCATCATCTTCGTCCTCGTCCTCTTCATCGTCCTCGATACTCTCAACGAGCAGGTTGACTCCTCGGCCGATTCGCTCCCTTACCGTCCCTCCGGCTTCAAGTTCATATACGGCACGAGGCATAGGCGATACAAGACGGAAACCATACTTATGTTCGAAATTTTCTGGCTCTGTAACTTCCGATGGGCTAATTTCGTCTTCCTTGTTGGCATCATCCTCGTCACTTGGGTGTAGTACGTCGTAGCATTCAACGAACGCGTAGACTTCCTCTATATCAGCATCCCCAGAGAAGCGTCGTATGACCCTATCTCCCGAAGTCAAGCGAAGGCTGATACGGATCGCATCCTTGTCGTCTGCAGATGGCTCTGCAGGTATAGATTGTGCTCTCCATTTCTTCCACTGCTGGAGGTCCTTGTAATGCTTCTCAGCAGCGGCCTGCTGCTCCCTGGCCTCTCGCTCCTGACGCTCACGCTCGGCCTCAGCCTCACGTCGCTGCCTTGCTCGTTCCCTATCTTGGGCCAGTGAACGTTCATAAGCAGAGTCCTGTTCCTGCCGTAGCGTCCGTGAAGCCTGTTGCTCTGCTCTCGTGGAGCGCACGCGGTCGAGAGAGGCCTTATGCTGATTTGTAGCGGCGCGGAGCTTCTCGAGGAACTCGGAAGGGGAGGTGAGGCCTGGAATCCTACCTATGATCGACATGGCGGTGGATGAGACGTTGGGGGTATGAGCAATGGCTACTGCAAAGGGGAACTTTGTGCATTTGAGCGAATTGGCCACCTGGTATGATTCAGAGTCATGGACGTTTCCACCCCAGAGAAGCACGTTGTTTGAAGGGTCGTTAATGTATGTAACCACCTCCGGGGAGAGCAGGGTGTCCCGCACCCAGACATCGGTGTCATCGTGTTCCGGAGAAAGTAGAACGACTAGCAGAAACTTGAGATCCTTGTGGGATTTCTCGAGGGCCATGTTATATCCGTTTTCAAGGAACGGGAGCGAGTGAGGCCCGTATTCTTCCTCAAACTCCCGGATGAACCGGGCTGCTGTATCCTTTGGAGCAAGAGCTCTTCTCCCCTGAGAGGACTTATTAATTCTCGACATTGCCGAGCTGGAGAAGGTGTTTATTAGGCGGGGTAGGAAGGGGAATAATGTCCCGAACAGGCGGAGGGAGCCGGAGAGCAGCCTATATATTAGATTGAATGGAGTAAACAGTAGAGCTAGTAGAAACGGCGGCCGGAAGGAAGGAGTATCGTTCGGCTGAGAAGTTATCCGGGGAGCTGGATCAGCCTGCCGTATGGCTGATAGTATGTTCGAGCTCGAGTACAGGTCGGAAGCCATGAGGTTCTCGCGAGTCTGCGGTATAGGAGGCGGTACCCCGGAATCCATAGCTGCTCGAGCTTCCTCGACGGGATCTGGAGCTTCCCCATCGAAGAACCTAGTTATAGCAATCTATATCACCCGTCAGTATACCGCCCCCTTGTGACCGTCTCTGCTCGGGCATCAAATGTGTCAGCCTACCTGGACGTTCCATTCTGAGCGCCTGAGCAGCGGTATAGCAGCCTCTCGGTCCTGGCCCGTCACAGCCAGATATGTCTGCAGCGTATCCTCCTGGTTCGTCGAGAGCTGAGCGCCCTCTCCATCGTCTCCGGACATGTTATCTCGAGGTGGTCGAGCTGCTCATCCGCCACTTGCTCGTGTGCTTCTCTCAGGGCTGTAAGTAGGCGACAGGACAGCTGCGAGTCCGTACTCTGGAATGTTCTAAACACCAAAGTAGCTCTCAGCAGTAGCTAGCAAGACCAGGTAACCCTTCCTAGACTCTGCCAGCGCTCGTCTTCGTCCTCGCTTCGCCGCTTCAGCTGCTCTTCTGTTGTCTTCGACTTCTATGATGATATCCAAAAAGCTCCCAAAAGCCACGGTTCACATGTATCGTAAGGCTGTTGCGTAATATAACATCCACGTGACTAGTATCCAGTGAGTACCGATGTAATTGTACGGTATTGACCATTACATAAGCCATGAGAAAAAGGAAAAACGAACATCTCGAACTTCTCGCAGTGAAAGCGAGCGATATCAAAGTCGAACAGCACGCCGAAACGGACGCCAGAAGACCGGAGTCGCTCTCTGCTCGCCGTGTGTGTCGGTGCCCTGTCCGCCGCCGACGTCTGATACTGCCTGGGCCGGTCTGCATCCGGGGCCATTGGCGCAGCACCTGGAGTCAAAGACGTCAGTGACTGACGTTTCGCCGCTCTCCCGCGCCCGCGCCAGCCAGCGCCCACACCCCCCCAAGCAGCTTAAAGGAATGCGCGGAGTCGCCCATCGATCTCTCGTCTACGATCTGTTACCCCCCAGCCAAAGCCGATGGGGCCTCTCTCGCGCTGACTTGCGTGTGTTGTGATCTGTGGAGGAAATGGCATCAATAGCGAAACCGGGCCTCGAGGACGGGAGACGTACCAATGGCTCTCCAAAGCTGAAAGGGCGCGGTAAGCTGCAGCGACGAAGCAACAACCCTTTGCCCTTCCTCTCCTCCTCCGCATATTTCGTTTCGTTTGTTATAATAATAAAGAGCAGCTTGTCTAATCTCGTCTGTTGTGACTGACCCATCAGTGGTAGAAAACGCAAAGGATACGCTCTGCCGCAATGTGACGATCTATGGCAGGTGTCGATATGAGGATAAAGGTGTGCAACTCGACCGTTTTCGTCACTTGCAAGATATCAGACCAGCCCAGCCCAACCCAACCCAATTCGCAAACCCTCCCCCCTGAAAGCCACGATGGGTTTCTAACCATGCGTTTAGGATGCGCGTTTAACCATGACCCGCAGAAGGTGAATGCGGCGCAACATGAAAGGTTGGGAGAGATACAATATTCAGTGATTCTATGCGTTTTCTTAATGCATTTTTTCTGAAGCTCAGATAGCTCATGTCTGGCCTCCAGTAGCAGTGGTGCCGGCGTCAAGCAGAAACGGTTGAATGTTGAGTCGCCCAGTTTCACTCCCTCGACCACGCCGAACAACGGCACAGCTCCGACAACAGCAGTCACGGCGAAGAAGCCGGCTACACTGTCTCCAAAGGCTGCCGGTGCAGCGCCCTTTCTTCCCAAGGGGTCACTCTCACGTATGTCAAGCTCAACTTATATCAAGAAAGAAGTAGACTGACTGTTGACCGCTTTCAGGTGCAAACTCGGGAATATCACAGCTACGTCAGGAGACCGGGACTCCGGAATGGGGTTTGACGGATGTACCTGACTTTGTGCCACAGCGGTTTGATACTGTGGTATGTTGCCTATTTAAATTCCAGCTTATAATCGGGACGGGGCCGTTTACTAAGGTACTAATTGCGCAGGACTCGATGCAGGCCACCAACAACGGTGTTCTGGCCGCTGGGAATGCATATGACCCGTTTGTCTCAACGACGACTCCGCTAGGCACTGCCGGAGCGGTTGTCACACACCCGCTTCAACCGAACCCTTACGCTCACGACCACACCGGTATCGGTCCCACCTCATACTTCACCGCCCAAAGTACCTTCCAGCAACCAGTATGTTGAAATACACTTCTTCTTACGCAGTAGTTGTAGTACTGATGCAGAAATAGGCACAATATCATCTCTATGCACCGATTGGACCCCATAACCAAAACATTCTTGGATATCAGCGGAATGTACATGATTTATTTATCCCGAATGATTTTAGAGAAGAGCTTCAAAAGAAAGCAGCCGCAACACTACAAACCCTCCCTAGTATGTATTAAACTGTTATATTTCATTCATCATACATTTACTGACTGCTGGTTAGACTCCCAACTACCTACTCAAATCGACCACTTTCACTCACTTGTGCCGCTCGACGTAACGCATCAGAAGAATGCTACTATCTTCGGCTACCCTAGCTGGGTATATAAGGCACAGTCAAGTAAAGACGGCAACTACTATGCACTTCGACGACTAGAGGGTATGCTATATACGTTGATCTACTGATAGAAGAGTCCCAAGCTAATTTTTTTTTTTTTTTTTTTTTTCAAAAGGCTTCCGGTTAACAAATGAAAAGGCAATCAGATGTGTACAGGCATGGAAAAGAGTCATCTCCGCCAGCGTGGTGACGGTGCACGACGCCTTTACCAATCGCAGCTTCCAGGACAGCTCACTGATCTTCGTGACGGACTACCATCCGCTGTCCAAGACACTCGCAGAGCAGCACCTGGAGAGTCCCACGCGGTACCAGAACCGGCACGCGAGTACGCATGTAACAGAGCCTGTGCTCTGGGGGTACGTGACACAGATCGCATCGGCCCTGAAGGCCATCCACAGCGCCGGGCTGGCCGCACGGGTGATCGACGCGAGTAAGATACTGCTGACAGGCAAAAACCGCATCCGGCTGAACGCCTGTGCCATCCTGGACGTGGTGCAGCACGACACGCAGCGGTCCATTGCGGACCTACAAAGCAACGACATGGTCAGCTTCGGCCAGCTAATACTTACACTTGGAGCGAGCTCGTTAGCGCACAACCCGACCAAGGCGCTAGAACACTTCTCCCGCGCCTACAGCGCACAACTGTACAACTCGGTCCTGTGGCTGCTAGGCGCCGGCCCATCCAAGGACCCCCAAGGCCAAGCCCAAGCCGCCAACCAGAGCCAGAATGCGAACTCGAACTCGAACCAGGGCTCCGACCGGACCATCGACGTGTTCATCACCGGCATCTCGACGCAGCTGATCTCGACCTTTGACTCATCCCTGCACGTCGACGACGAGCTAACGCACGATCTGAGCCGGGAACTCGAAAACGCGCGACTAGTCCGGCTGCTGACCAAGCTCAACTTCATCACCGAGCGGCCCGAATACGACCACGACCGGCACTGGTCCGAGAACGGCGAGCGGTACTTCCTGAAGCTGTTTCGAGACTATGTGTTTCACCAGGTGGACAGCCAGAATGCACCGGTGGTCGACCTGGGCCATGTGCTGACGTGTCTGAACAAGCTTGACGCCGGCAGCGAGGAGAAAGTGACGCTGATCAGCCGGGACGAGCAGAGCTGTTTTGTAGTTAGTTACAAGGAGCTGAAGAAGGGAGTTGAGATGTCCTTTCAGGCTCTGATGAAGAGGAGGTAAAGAAAGAGATAGGCTACCTAGAAAGCTTTTTTTTTCCCTAAAAGTATTTACAGGTTGGTAGGTAGGTAAGGTAGAGAGAGAAAGAGGAGTGGGTGGATGGATGGCAGTTGGGATATGGCAATTGTTTGTTTTTATATATATCTAACCCGCCCGGAACCGATCTAGCCTTTGACTCTGCTAGTACTTATATCAAGAATGAATCAACTACATATCAATATCAATGAATGCAGTAGATGAAGAGTAGATTGTTAGATTAGCTATCAACGAAGTAGTAGTACTTTTATTCGTCTTCCTGCTGCACGAAAGGGTTGGCAATCTCCTCGCTCCCGTCCGCCGGCGAGAGCAGCACCAACAACGTCCCCCTCGCCACGATCAGCCCCAGCGAGCGAGTCGTTACATTATCATTATCATCTACCCCAGCCAGTCAGCAAAACATACTCAAACATCTACTTCTTGAAGCGTACTGTCTTACCCCGCATGGTCTCCTTGACATCGTCCAGCACGAGGTTCATGAGCTGGTCATACCCCTTCAACACGCCGGTAACTAAACACCAGTCAGCGTCTATTCATCCACAGTAGAAGTAAAAAAGCAAAGTCTCACCCTCTCTGCCGCCGTTGAACTTGACGTTGACTTCCTTGTCCATGTACTTGGTCAGGTCAAGGATGTTCTCCTTCTTGGGCTTCTCCTGCTGCTGCTGGCCCTGTCCGTCTCTCTGTCCGTCCCGCTGGCTCTGGCCATGACCTCCCCGATGCTGGCCCTGGTGACGCCCCCGTCCGTCCCCCCGGCCTCCTCCACCCCGGCCGCGAGACTGTCCTCCTCTAAAAGAGCCGCGTTCAGACATGGTATCGTGGTATTATTTATTGTTTTTTGTATATTGTTTTTTCCCTTTTTTGGTGAATTGTGTGAATGTGTTGGTATGTGGGGTATCAGCTCATGTGTGGACAGTCCAAGTGTAAAGAAGTAGAGTAGATATCTCCTCGAGTAAGGTGGTTATGGCCTGAGTGACGCTGGCTCTCTTGTTCTCTTGTCCGTCCCAGCTCTATAACTAAACTTCCCTCCTTGCTTTCTTTTCCTTTGGCCGTCGCTTTCTCGACGTCGAACTGACTTGCTGACTAAGTGAACACTAATATCACGTGTTAGACCACCTTAGTAAGCATAAGAGCCCAACTTTGTTACTTCGAAAGCCGTTGAACATCGAGCAATCCCAAGTGCAAAGAGACTCAGCGACTAGAGTGATATTACTGCTGGACTAGGGGACTGCTCTCTCTCAGCAGGGCGGCCTCACTGCACCACCACCACCATCATCCTCACCATCGCCCTGCATCTGCTGTATGACTCTCGCTCTCTGCTGTATGGGTATCCTCAGGTACCTCGCGGTACTTCCCTTTCCAGCCACTTTCTGCCGCCGCTTTAAGTCCCTCCGAGGTTCCTCCCATCACATGATATCACGTGTCTCCGCCCCTGCTCTCTCGGGCGGAAAGGCGGATTCCGCTGGAGCCAAAAAAAAAAAAAGCCCAGCGAGCACGAAGCACAACCACTCACAGGCAGCCGGCGAGGTTGAAAAGCGACGGCGAGGTCGAGACGGGAAAGCAGAAAAAGCAACGAGGAGGACCAGGGAGGACGGCAGGACAGCGAAAGGGGACGCCCAGCGAGGACAAGCCAGACGGGATCTAGGCCGAGTAGCCGTGGTGCACAGCCGGGAGGCCCATTGCCATCCCTCCCTCCATCCCTCTCCTCTGGCTTGCGTAGGCCGCACTTACATCCTGCGTCTCCTCTGCAGGCCCGCGGACGACTGCGTGTGTGCGAGTGAGCGAGCGAGTGCGTGTGTGTGCGCGGCTCGTTGCTTTTTCTGCGTGCGTCGGCCTCCTCGTTAGGCTGATACCGACAGCCATCTCCCTCTCTCTCTCTCTCTCTCTCTCTCTCTGGGCTCTGGCTGTGGACTGCAGAGTCTCTCCCGCCGCCCTCCTTTTTTGCCTTTTTCCTCTTTTCTGCCGCTCCTCCCGTGCTCCGGCCTCACCTCTTCTCTTCTGCTCTACAGCCTCAAGACGACCACACCAAGACGACGACCTCAAGACTACAGACGACGACGATCCGACATGAACATAGACACTCGCAGCTAACGGTCGCAAGCGGATGATGGACGCCAAACGCCCTCGCTCGCCGTGCGGCGGCAGCACCTCCGACCACCCTGCCAAACAGCCCAAGACCACGCATGCTCACCCTCACCCTCACCCTCACCAGCAACAGCCTCACCCTCAGCAGCTGCCTCACCAGCACCTCCAGATTAACTACCTCGCTCGCCAGTACTCCGACACCCTCCCGCTCGTCTCCACGGACGATACCCTGCCCGCCATCCTCCGCTGGATAGGCGAGTACGACGGCGTGCTGCACCGCCACGAGTCCATCGCCGGCAACCTGGGTGCCTGTCCGCTCGGCCCCATCCTCGTCAAGCGCTTCGAACGGCTCTTCGACGGGCCTCCGCGCGTCATCAGGTCGGCCTCTGCGTCGGCCAGCGGTGGTGGTGCTGGTGGTGCTGGTGGTGGTGCGGCCGGCGATACAGCTAAAGAAACCACCGTCTCGTGGCTGGACATTGTCGAGTTCGCAAAGGAGTTCCCGGACAAGTTCACCCTCGAAAAGGCCCGGAGTGGCTCGCGGGTCTGCCAGCTGGACATCAAGCATGCCCGCGTCGAGATATCCGAGGAGGACTATGTTCTGATTGCGTCCGGCATGCCGCAGAAGATGATCCCGCCGCAGCCTATCAGCGAGGACGAGGAGAAGGAGCTGGGTGCTCTCGAGATACTCGAGAAGAACCTGGTGTACATTATCCAGCTTGCCGATCAGGGTAGGCCTCTCTCTGTCTTTTGACTTGGCTTATTCTGTGCTAACAGTTTGTAGTATCGGCTAGGGCTAGACAGCTCAACCACCGGCTGAAAAACCGACGCAACGCCATCGTCTCCAGGCGGGAAAACGACGCCTCTCTCGCTCTCTCGCAGACCCGCGCCATCAGCCCCTGGAAGGACAGCTCCACCCCCAACGGCCATGGACAGTCTCGCACCGCATCCCCGCCCGGCTTCGTCGCAGTCAACTCGCGCCAGGACCCTTCCTCCTACCACGACGAACCGGCGCAGTTTGCCTTCTCCCAGCCCATCTCAGACAACGTCACCATCATCAACGGGACCTCTATCAAGGGCGCCTCCCCCAGCACCCGCGCAGAGCTCATGAAGAAGTTCTTCACCACCTCCGACAGACGCATGCACCAGCAGAAACAGCAGCAGCCCGACCACCACCCAGACTCAGACCACCAGTCCTCCTCCTCGCCGTTCCCGGGACAGGTCAACTCCTCGATTCCTCCCGTACCTATTCCAAGCACTCCTTCTTCGCTACTCCCGCATCCAAAGCCAACTCCTTCACATGACCGCGATGAGACTGCGCCATTCAAGGCAGCCATGGTTGCCCGCATGGAAGACCTAGCTAGAGGAGAACGTATCCTGCCACCTTGCGATAGATGTAGAAGACTGAACATGCACTGCCTCAAGAACCTGACCGCGTGCATGGGCTGCACAAAGAAACATGCAAAGTGCTCCTGGCGCGATGTCAAGGCGGAAGAACTACAAAAGGACCACCCCAAGGACCGCGCAGCTAGCCTGGATGCCACCACCACCACTACTGCTACCCGCGAAAAGGACAGAGATGCCAGTGAAGATGTCTCTGCTTCTACCTCTGCCCCGGATGATAGACTCAAGAGTAGTCCTGCTAGGCCTGCTACTACCACCGCTACAACTACGATAACCACAAATACCACCAACGGCACCACAAACAGTGGTAGAAATAGCCAGAGACATGATAGGACCGCCAGTACAAGACTAGATGATGACTCTAGTGATGTCCTTGCACAAGCCATCATGGACACCTTTGACCACCACAGACAACGCACTGCTGAGCGAGAGAGGACCCAGCAGCAGCAACAAGAACAGCAGCAGCAGAGAGAAAAAGATAGAGACAGAGAAAAGAACCGCGAGAGAGGGACCAGCCATGTTGTTGAGGCTCGATAAAACTTATACCACATCTACTACTTATTATCTACCTGTTTGGCTACATCTTTTTTCCACTTTTTCCACTTTATAGCGAGAGCGTTACGATGTACGGTGTACTTGATTGATTTTTCTAGTTTCTCATCCATTTTTCAGCTTCAGTTTCAGCTTCAGCTTCAGCTTCAGCTTCTTGTGAATACATTTCTCTGCTCATACAGTCCAGCCACGCTCATGCCTCATATTATAGCCGGCCTATGCACTACAGCTTCTCAATGCTAGAAAGGATCATATCCCTGTCTCTTCCTCCAGCGTCACTCATCACTAATCACTGCGGGGTCAAATGCATACCCGGAGACGTTGTACAGACCATCTCTAAGAGAATCATAGATATAACACCCAACACCTACCAAATATCATTTCTCAACTACAACCACAACCACAACCACAACCACAATCAAATAATAGTAACCATGTCCGACCTCTCAGTAGACAACATCACCGCACACACCATCCAGACCAACTCAAGCTGCCCCGACCCTCGAACCCGCTACATCTTCGAACGCCTAGTCACCCATCTTCACGACTTCGCCCGCGAAACCCGCCTGTCCACCCCCGAATGGACCGCAGCAATCACCTTCCTCACCCAGACCGGCCAGAAATGCACCAGCACCCGCCAGGAATTCATCCTACTATCAGACATCCTCGGCCTCTCCTCCCTGCTCGACTCCATAGACCACCCATCCCCTCCCGGCACGACCCAGGGAACTCTCCTGGGCCCATTCCACACACACGACGCCCAACACCTCCCCGCCGGAGCAGCAATATCCCACGATACGTCAGGAAAACCCCTATTCGTCCTGTGTACCGTGCGAGCAACAAACGGAACTCCCCTTAAGGACGTGCGCGTGGATATCTGGCATGCTGACTCCACGGGGCTGTATGACGTACAGTATTCCCAGCGAGACGCACCGGAGGGCAGAGGCGTGCTTCATTCCGATGCGAGCGGCAGGTTCTGGTTCAGCGCTATTCAGCCTGTTCCATACCCGGTGCCGGATGATGGGCCAGTAGGTAAATTGTTAACGACCCTAGGCCGACACCAGTGGAGACCAGCACATATGCATTTCATTCTGGCCGCGGATGGGTATGAAAGGCTGGTTACGTAGGTTCTTTTCTTTTCCTTTTCCTTCCCATTTTCCCTATGGTGGATGCTGACTTACCGGGATAGAACGCTTTACCCTCGCAACGACCCGTATGAAAAATCAGACGCGGTGTTCGGCGTCAAGAGCTCGCTGGTAGTCGATTATGGCGTTGTAGACGAAGCCATGGGCGCAGAGTTCGGTGTTCCCACTGGCACGGCGCTGCTCAGGCATGAGTTCGTGCTAGCTACCGTGGCCCAGGCGCGGGAGGAGCGAGATCGTAACTCCATCGAGGCACTGCGGAAGCTGGGCCGCAGCGTCAAGATCGTGGATGGACTGCCTGTTCCTGACGTTGATTAGGGAGGATTAGTGTTACTTTTGGGTTAGAGCAAATTGAACTGAAGTGTGGCTGGACAGATGAAGATCGGAACCGACGCCTTTCATTAATTGTAACAAGTCTGCATTTAGTGAGGTAAGTATCAGTTCGGCCCTGAATGAAGAAGAAGGGGGAACAGGCCGCAACCCAGGCCAGGCTGGCTTTTAAAAAAGATAAAAAAAAAAACAGCAAAAATGACACATGAGTGATTTCCTCCCCTCCTGCTCTGCCCGTGAGTGAGTTCGAGCCCGTTTCCTTCTCCTCCATGCAAGCCATTGTCAAAGTCAGATCAGTTGCATAGACCAATTGGTTCATGTGTCTCGACCGACTGACGTTCGTTCGTTCCTTTTTTGTTGTTCATTTGGTGTTTGTTCCGATTCTCCTGCTTCGTCTCGTTTATGCGGTGATGGCCTGGCGGGTTCGGACGCCACGTTGTCTCGATGAGAGTCTGGTGGCGGACACTGCGGTGCTCTTCTGGACAACTTCCTCGCCCTCGGTCAGGATCATCTCAACGTGGCATGGGCACGACATGTAGGGGTTGATCTATATCCGTTAGTTAATTGGGGTTACCCGATATTGGCGTGGACATGCTACGTACACGACCGTGAGCACGGTAGGTTCGTCGTCTTTGCTTGGGAGCCTGGTTGACCTGGATGTGCTTGACGATGAGGTTGCCGGTGTCGAGGCCCTTGGTGTCGGCGTTGGCCTCGGCGTTCTTCAGCAGGGAGAGGAGGAACTGTGCCGACTTGACCGGCCAGCGAGCTCTGCTGACACCGGATTGCTTGCCTATCACACAACATGTCAGCCCGGTCCCTTACACCCCTTCACTCGGCCATAATATCTTCAAGATAGCACCCCCTCCATCCACTGTCTCCAAATTCCCCTCCCCCATTCGCGCAATTGAGAATCCCCCCATAAACAGTCAAATCGAACAAAAGGGTTACTCACCCTGAGCACATCGTCCGGTACCGCCAGCATATCGTCGCATGGGAACAGCCTCCTTGTGTCCGATAACGTTCTCGAGGAAAGTCACAGCACGCTGCAACTTGAGTCCGTTGATGGCCTGGGCGGTCTCGCGGGTGTTCTTGAAGCTGGTGCGAAGATAAGAGCCACGAGCACTGGCGCTCTTCGCGCTGGAGGCGGGCTGGATAGCGTAACGGACCTATACGTTTAGATAGAAAGCACACCCGTCAGCTCGTCGTCCATGTTCCCTTGTCTTTTCCCCCGAATCTCCATCATCACAAGCAATGCTTCACGGGGCAGCGTCAACAGAAGGAGACGGTTCTCAGGCGGCAGACGTACCATCTTGACGAAGGACTGTGGGAGGGCGAGCGGTGGTTGGTGATGGTGTCGTTGGTTCTGCGTCGTCGTCTTCGTCGTCGTCGCTTTTTTTTTGTTGTTGCGACTTTTCGTTGCGTGAAAACGCAGTAAGCGAGCTTAGTCAGCGGAGAAGAGTGTGAAGCCCTAAGTCGTCCGCTTTGGGACTAGATCGGACTTAAGGTTGAGCTTTGTTAGTCAGCACCCGTCTTAGTCAGTTTATCTTAGTCATGGTTTACTAATATATGACATAATCCATCTTTGTTCTTCGTCCGTCCAGAAAAGGGAAAAACAAACAACGCAGCATTGAAAAGAAGCAAAAGAATCGAAAATTCGACGCATCCCAGGGACGATTATTAGTTACGATGCGAAACAGGCCATTCATGGAAAGCATTAAGTATCGTATCGTATTATCAGGCGTGGTGGGCAGTTTTAAGTACAAACAACAATCTGCTAACGTTCACTGAAGCCGCCTTGCCGTCGCCCGCCGCCGGCGCCATCGCTTGAACTACCACCAATCTGCACGCCATTCTATTATTGCTCAGGTATCACCATGTGCCAAGCTCAAAAGAAAAGGAAAACCCCTTTGCTTTTCACGGGAATCTGAAAGGCAGAGAAAAGAAAAGACGGGGAAAGGGACAGAGAAAAAAAAAAGAAAAGAAAAGAAAAAAGAGAATGAAACCAAAGACCGAGGACGTTCCTATTCTTCCCATGATTTTCCGTTTCCCGGGCTAGATGTGCCCATGGAATACGTGTCCGTTGTGACCGTTGCGTCCATTATTCGGTCGTCCATTTGTGCCGTTGTTGTTGCCATTGCAATTGCTGATGCCGGTGCCGGCCTGGCTCTTCCATGCATCTCGCTGCTCCGGAATAGGCGTGATCAATTTCCCCGATTGGAGACACGATCGCAGATTTTCGAGGACCAGCAGTTCCATTTCCTTCTGGGTCTCGTATGTTGCGGTTCCGATGTGAGGGAGCAGCATCACCTTGGGGTTATCGAGCAGCTCTGGTTCGATGCACGGCTCGTTCTCGTATACGTCGAGCCCAGCCGAACTCACCTGTTGCTCGCTCAGTTAGCAACAAAGCCCTTTTTTTTTTTTTTTTTTTTTTTTTTTTTTTTTTTTTTTTTTTTTTTTTTTGGTTCGTTTGAGATTTTAAGACTGGCTGCATCACAGGCCTTTCTTCGGACGCGGCCCCCTTATTTTTTTTTTTTATACTTTTGATCCTGGGGTTTCCTTACCTTTCCAGATTTCAAAGCGGAGACGAGCGCTTTTTCGTCAATCAGCGCCCCTCGCGCAGTGTTCACTATCACGGCGCCATCCTTCATTTTTGCGAACTCTCGATGGGAGATGATGTGACGGGTGGTTGCATTGAGCGAGAGATTGAGGCTGAGTACGTCAGACTGGGCCAGTAGCTGATCGAAGGAGACGTAACATGCTCCTTCTTCCAGGGCTGGAGAAAGGCGATTTCGGTTATGGTAGATAACCCTCATGCCAAATACTTTGGCTCGGCGTGATACTTCCTACGTATTCCAAAACAGACCGTCTCTGTCAGTTGATCCCTGAGCTGTGGTGTTTTAACTTCTCGACAGCAAGCAGCGGGGGCGCTGAAGAGAAATGGAGCACACATACCCTGCCAATGCCGCCCATCCCCAAGATACCAAGCACCTTCATCTGGGGATCATGGCCTAATTTGGTCTTCCCCTGCCATTGACCTGGAGACTGTTGTTAGCAGACCGCCTGATTATAATAGGCAGGTGGGCAGGTGGCTGAACACCGCTTACCGGCCCGGATGGCGGATATCGGAACATATGCCTGTCTCAGAGCGCCAAGCATCAAAAACATTGTGATATCTGCGGTAGCATTGTTGACGGCAATTGGTGTGCTTGAGACGCGGATTCCTGTTTGCCGGTTAGTCGGGTTGCTCCGATAGCCGCTGATGGCAATCGCCAACAGCAAAAACCCAAAATGCCATGGGACTGACCTCTCTCCGAGCAGGCTGTGGTATCAATATTGTCATATCCAGCACCATTGTGGCAGATATATGCTAATGAGTTGGGCAGAGCCTTGACAAGCTCTGCATCAAATGGCCCAGTTATCTGCCCAGAGAAACGTGATATCATTAGCAGGGGAAAAGAGTGAGGCAGAGAGAAAAGAAAAAGGAAAAAAGAAAAAGAAAAAGAAAAAGAAAGCAGGGTGACCACGCTAGATCGATCTTGCATCGTCCCCCTGGTGTTGAGTGGCCCCCTTGTCTGGTTATGGAGCAGATGCACCACGAGCAACACACAGTCCAAAAAAACAAGGGAAGGGTGCGAAATAAAGCATGCAGGGCAGCATGGGGGATACACACAGCTGTCGACACGTTGGACCGATAGATGGCTATCACATCATCATATCTGCCACTTTTGCAGTTGGCCAGGAACTCCTGTCTAGATCCGGTTGGAAACTCCTATGTTGAAAGTTAGCTTATTCCTCGGCTTTTCTGGGAATGCCAGCCAGAAGCTGGGAAATGGTGTTCCCACAGACCTTGAGAGTTGCCAGCTGCGAAAAATCCTGCCACTCCTTTTTGCAGTGTGTAATATCTCCGATCAGCAGGACTGACCTTCCTGGTGGCATGATCCCAGCCTGTCAAGAAGAAATGCTTGCAAGGGAGGCGAGTGAGACAAGAGAGGGAGAGCAAGTCCGGAATTGAGAGTCGAGCTCAAGGAAAAGTGATAAAAACTGAGAACAGACGACGGAACGGCTGAACGTGAGAATGGATAGCTAAATAAGGAAGGCTAATGCAAGCCAGGAGGGTTAGCAGGGGCGAAGCAAAAAAAGCTGAACCCGATGCGAGATTATGTAGGCCCGGAGATTTGGGGAAGCGTCTTGACAAGGACGAGGGTATCTGGACCAGGGAGTGTAGCACTGGATCGCGATTCGCGGAGATTTATATGCACATGCAGAGGCCTTCAAGGGGGAGAGACTGTCTTTTACTGCGGCAGCCGGAGGCAGGCAAGAGTGATTGCGGGTTGCAGGGCGGCTGTGAAGTGACTTTGGTAGATGTAGATAGATGTATAGAAGTGACCAGCACAGGGGGCGGGAACAGACGAGTGAATAAGACAGGGGAAAAAAAACAACTCGCCTGCAGATATTAGCCTTCTTCTTCGTCTTTATCTTCTGCTTCTTGTTCTCTGCGGGCGTTGCCGTCAAAGGCGGACTTTATATCATCGACGGTCTTTTCGTTTGGTTAAGAGAAGCGTCTCTGGTGGTGCTTTTCTTTTTTCAACGTCTCAGCCAGTTTCTCATACTCGGCTTCACGACCTCTTCCGTTGTACCTTATGAGCCAGAAACAAAAGCCGGGAGACTGTCTATTTAAGCCCGTCAACGGATAGCCGAGAGCCGCATGAAGCGCGTCAGGGGAAGTAGGAGGCGAGCGAGCCAGCGACGGCCGGCATATCAGCTCATCCAAACAACCCCCCCCCTCCCCTCAGCGCGGGATAGCAAAAAGGGACCCAACTCCAGCTCGAACGGGATGATGCGGTTAATGATCCCTTCCAATTACACGGCAGCAGATAATATCCACAGACGACAGGCCCCATAAATTATTACATGGCCGCCGTTTGGAGGGTGGCACGGCGGAGCAGGCTGTAAGAACCGGCCGGCACCATCGTGAGCTTTCGAGACGGGCGGACAGCCAGCCATGGCAGGACACGGACGACCAGAATCACAGGAATACAAGGCATTCTGTTCTCGTTCCATGCATGGGACATGTCGTACAGTCGGCTGGGGGGAGCTGGCCTCGAAAGCCGCCGCCCGCTGGCTGGTTGCGCGGTTGATATTGGGACTTATTACGACTATCGGCAATACTCCGTGTGTTATATCGAAGGGGGAGCCGACGGCCAGTCTCACACGGCGCCCTGGGCCTTACTTCGCTAGTCATAGCATGCAGCGATCAGTGAGCGGCGGTCTGGATAACCGGTTGGCGGTGCTGCTGGTGGATGTGGCTATCTATCACAAGACCCCAAGGGATGAAACCCATGCTTAGAACGCGTATACATGTACTCGCACAGCTACGTATACGACAGCCTCCAGGCATAAGTCGAGCAAGCGAAGGACCTGTCCGGCTCGGGTCCTGCTTTGGCCTCTCATTGCTTTTTTGCATATTGACGCCGATTGTTGCACAGCGTCTCACGCCCGGAGGATAAGGACCGTCGTTACGTACAAACATACAGGCATACATGCACGCTGTCATAATAGACAGAGAGAGACAACCGGGCAAACTCAGGCTGGAGGAGGCGACGACGACGGCGGCGGCGACGGCGACGGCGAAATGAACGCCTCAGCGGGCTTCCATCTGGCCGTCCAGGATGCTCCAGATATAGCTGGATACTACTCTCGGATATTCCAGAACTCTGTCGGCAACGGACCATACGGTATAAAGCCCATTTTGGATAGCTTGATGCAGACAAGACGGAACCAGCTCGATGACCGCCCCGGCTAGCAGGCCCGATATGCAAGCGGCCTCCTTGGACTTCATGCAGCGGGATAGAATGGGATGTAGCCAGTTTGCTGGAGCTCAGCTCTGTTTGCTGGTTAGCCCGCTAACCAGCTAGCGGGCAAAGCTAGTTTTAGGGGGCGACTCCCGGCAGTTCGGCGATTGATATAAAGTCGGTATATTTATATCTCTCGTTCGACTCCAACGGCCAACCAGGGAACATCCCTGTCCTTAATAATTTCTCACAAAGAAGCTGAAGTTGGCCATTTATATTACAGTCAGCCATCCCTCCACCCAGGCAGGCCAATTATTCTGGTATACTTGCAAATACATACATCCTGTCTGGCAGCGCCCCCAGGAAGGGAGAGAGCCAGCATGGCGTGCAGGGCCCTGGTACTCCACGGTGCTCAGGATCTCCGGCTGGTCCGTAACCAATTCATCTAACACCCCGTACGCCAAGCAGTCATCGTTTTCTCTTCTGACATGCCTCACTGATCAAAGGAAACCCGGCCAATAGATCCCCCAGCAGCAGACGAAGTCCAGATCGCCGTCCGAGCCACCGGCCTCTGCGGCTCAGACCTGCACTACTATCACCACGGCAGGAATGGGAGCTTCGTCCTTCGCCAGCCCCTGGTTCTTGGACATGAGTCCGTTGGCGAAGTCGTAGCCGTTGGATCATCAGCGGACAGTTTCAGGATAGGGGACCGTGTAGCCCTTGAGGTAGGCCTACCGTGTCGAAAGTGTCTTCACTGCCGCCTGGGCCGATACAACATCTGTCGCTCTCTGAGATTCCGCAGCTCAGCGGCCGTATTTCCCCATCTGGACGGGACGCTAATGGACGTCACCAACCACCCGGTCGCTATGTGCCATCGTTTACCTGCCTCCATCTCGGACGTGCAGGGAGCTCTGCTCGAACCTCTTGCTGTCTGTCTGCATGCGATTAATCGCTCCAACCCACCAACGGCAGAAGACGTAGCACTTGCTAAGTCCGTCGCGGCTGCGAATGGTGGCGCCGCCCCAGACAGCGAAACTGCAGTGCTGATATTTGGAGCTGGTGCCATTGGCTTGCTTCTCGCATCAGCTCTGGCTGTCACGCAGCATTTTACGACTATCGTGCTGGCAGATGTCAACCAGGCAAGACTGGACATTGCTTCCTCGCTCCCGTTTGGCTGCATCAAGACATGCGCTCTTGATCCCCCTAGTTCCACTGCTACGTCTACACAGGAAGAAGACCAGGCTGCAAAGGACCTGGCAGCTGCTCTACTGCGGAGATTCAGCTTTAGCCATGGCTTCTCCCGCGTGTTCGAGTGTACAGGTGCACCGGCTTGTGTACGAGCCGGCATCTATGCTTCCTCGGCTGGTGGCGTGGTGGTACAAATTGGAATGGGTGGTCCCAGCCTTCCATCCATTCCACTGTCTGCCTCGGCTCTGAGAGAGGTTGATCTGATAGGTGTCTTCCGGTATAATGGACGCTGCTACCCAGCTGCCATTGAGCTGGCTTCTTCCCCTGTTTTTGGCCAGGTAGCAGACAAAGTCGCTACGCATACGGTCGAGCTGGGTGAGGAAGACGGACAGAAGGCTTTTAGACTTGCTGCCTCTGACAGAGATGATGATGGTAAGGCAGTGGTGAAGGTTGTTGTTATCAGCGGGGAGGGAGTAGCTTCCTGAGTTAAAATGATATACAACAACCAAGGCAACAAACAACTAGCTCCCCCGGTATATCTAGCATTTATAACAAGAATCTAAAATCACAATAGAAATACAGAGCTAGCGACTATTATACTAGTCGGAAAAAGAAAAAAATTGGCGGAGATAGCGCATGAACAATCAAAGGCAACAAACAACGGCGGAAACGAACAAATAAACAGACAAAAAGAGAGTGAGAGGGACGGGAAGATATGGAGGCCTACTTCAGCCCTCCAGCCAGAAGGATACTCTGCCCGGTCAAGTACCCGGTCATCACACACATTTCGACAACGTTAGCAACCTCATCTGGTGTACCAAGTCGGCCTAGTGGAATATTGTCTGCGACCTCTGGGATTGCTCGAGCATCAGGGATCATTCCAGTCTCTCCAATCATGGCCGGAGCGACGTCATTCACGCTGATATTGAACTGTGCCAAACGAGTTGCCAGGTTCTTCATCATACCTGTCATGCCCCCCTTAGAAGCGGCATAGTCTACCGTGCATAAAACACTATTAGCAATAGTTGACGCAAAAAGGATGAGAAGATCCACATACGGCACCCATTAACGCCTCCTCCACGGGCCGAAATGGAAGACATAAACACGATCCGACCCCATTTCTGCGCTTTCATATGCTCAACCACGGCCTTGACAAGGATGAAGGATGCTCGTAGGTTCACGTTGATAGTATGGTCAAACTCCTCCAACGAGATATCCCATATCTGAGGTATCTTTACCCCGTATCCAGCGTTGGACACAAGGATATCGGGCAAACGGCCACCATGTTCGGCCGGGATCTCGACGAATAGCCGGTTGATCTGTTCGGCTTGTCCGACATCAACTTGGTGGACAGATATGTGGAGATTGGATGACGACGGTAGATCTTTGATGTCCTTGATGACAGCACTCATCCCGTCCGAATTTTTCGAATAAGTTAATGCAAGATGGACACTCCGGTTGGCAAGCCTGCGAGCGCAAGCTGCGCCGATTCTGAGCGGATAGCATTAATACCCTGCTGGAAACATGATTAATGTGAACGAGAAATGCCGACTTACCCACTTGAGGCACCAGTGATCAAAGCAAGTCGTCCTTCGATACCATTCAATGCAGCCATGTTGGTTATGTTCTTTCGTCACTGCCTGTAGGAATGCATATCCAGCAACAAACAAAACGGGCTGGCTCCATAGATTGATACTGGTTTATATTTTCGGCGCGCGGGATGACAGGGGGCATCGGTTAAACCTCCGGCTAAAACTCCCGGTATCTCCCAGGCTGACACTCTCACCCCACATGGGGGGAAGCAGCAGGGGATCAGAGGCGGACGGGAGAACATGAAAAACAATAATAATAACAGTAATAAGAGGGGGGCTAAACGAACTCCGTCTCCTTTTTCGATGCATGGGTGAGCTGACGGTCGATCGTGCCAGAAGAGGGAAATATTCAACGCGTATATAAAACAATCGGATAAATACCATTCACGGAGGAAGGAGGTTGTACGGAGGTAAATAGAGAGGGGGAGTTTGGTTCTTCGGCAATGGATCGGATTCGAGGGAGGATTTATGAGTAGAGTTGGTGTTGTTGGTGTTGTTTGTCAGAAGGAAAGGTAACTAGAACAGGAGCACATCACTCATTTCTGAACCACCAGGTGGCCAAGCCTGCTGTCCATGATCATGATTCTCAGCTTGATACCCCGTGTCTAGGGTATGAAAGGAGTCTAACCCCAGTAGCGGAGCAGCTGGCACCAAATCGCCCGATACAAAATCGCCAACAGCTCCCAGATCAAGCCAGGAAAAGTCATTCGCTGGGCTAAACTGCATGTAAGTCGGTTCCGGGAGACAGGTCACCGGGACTTCATGTTGTATTCTGTTGGACGGCTGGGATTCATGCATGACATTCATGCCAGTGCTATTGTTGTTGTTGCTGTTGTTGTTGTTGCTGCTGCTATTGCTGTTTACGGCGTTCGGGCTGGCGGCGGTGTTGGTGTTGGCGAAGATGGAACTGCTGTTATTATTATTATTATTATTATTGCTGCTGCTGTTGTTATTGTTGTTGTTGCTGCTGTGGTTGTTGCTCGCACTGCCGCAGGTTTTGTTACTGCTGCTAACGCCGTTAGTGATCGCAGAAATGGAAGGGTTGGAGACCGAGTTCTTTGATTTCCAGAGCAGCTCCAGGAGACGAGCATAGCGGTAGCCAACGTCATCGTTACTGGCACTGGCTCTGCGTAGCCGATCTATTGTCTCGTCAATCATCTTCTGGACGGTTGCCTCTTCTGTCTGGTTGAGGACACCGAATGAGCGTGCCTAGCGGATGGTGTTGTTAGTCTCATACTGGTGGTGGATGGAGCAAGCAGCCGTATAGAAATGATATCCAACCTTGTATAAAAAGACGGCAGCGTAAATGCCGTACCTACATGGGCGAGGATTATCAGTTTGATTTCCTGATTAACTTCTGACCAAGATGAACTTACAGATAGAATCTCAGGGGCATGAAATGTAGATGCCTCTCTGGATCAACGTAATTGGTTAATATGGTCAAATAGGATTTGGCTGCCTCCACCGATTCATATATAAACCGTGAATCCTGCATAGACGCAACGTTACTGAACGCAGCCCGTAAATGGTCACGTTGGCTGACGGAGTCGTCGCCCTTTGGTTTGTGCAGAGCCTGAGAGATCGCAGCCTGGAAAGCAAAGGCGTTGATGTAGAGTTTCAGGTACTCATATGACATCTGGAGCATCACATTGAGATTCGACGCACCTAAGTATGGAAGTATGGTTTAGTATCTCGTATACATAATTCATAAGAAGCCGATATCAAATGTAAAAAAAAAAAAAAAAAAAAAATGAGAGAGAGAGAGAGAGAGACTTACATGGCATCTTCCCCCATAGACGGTACCATCTTGATACAGCGACTCGGAAATCATCAATGTACTTTACGTAGTCTCCCATGAGCATCATGTTCCTGCTTGTCCGCATGCCTGAGTACAGGACATCGTGGACGTTTCCGTACAACTGCGTGAGGTCGAGAATGGCTTGGAATATTTTTGAATAGTCCTCGTCATGGGGCGATTGAGGCTGCAGAGACGGGAAATCATGGCTGACCAGACCAGTCATTGGCCCAGGGCCTCGAGACCAGAATGCCCGTCCGATACGTACCGATATCAGCCTGTCAGATACATAACAGCTCGCCCAGGCCAGTCGTTTGCGGTTGTCGGCCTGAGTGTCTCCCGTGGCAGCGTCGTTGCGGAAGGAGGTCTTGTCCAAGCCCAGGAAGTAGCCCGATCTCAGAGCAATTCCGACATGCATCCAAGCCGCACGATCCTCCTCTCCACGTCCGACGGGCTCGATGGAAGGACGGAGACCCTGCGGCTCCCACTCAGCCAGTATCAGGAGGGCCTCGACGGCCTCCACGTCGCAGTCAGCGCCGGCAGCGATGCCTGATATTAGCTCGAGCATGTACTTTGAACAGCCCTGGTGTACATGGGGCATGCTGGTGAGATCCTTGGAAGCCACAGTGAGCACGGCGGTAAGAAGGTGCTTCTCCTCTGCAAACTGGTCGAGGCAGGCCGAGTTGAAGTACTTGCGCGGCACCAGGGGGAAATAGCAGTGGTAGTTGTCTGCATAGCGGGTGATGAGCTGCATGACCAGGCTATGGGTCAACACCTCGTTCTCGACCAGGCGGTAGGCGAATATCCCCTTTCTCGCGCCAGCTCCGTTGGTGTTCGCCCTCCCACCGCTGCCACCTTCTGGCCGGGGGGCCTCGGTGCCCCTTTTGGCCACGTTGGTGAGCCGCTGCCAGGCGTCAGAGGGATTCCGCAACGCACCCGACCCGATTGCGCTCTCGCCTGTCGAGTCCTCGTCATCGTCATCGTCCATCGAGGTGTCTCGGTGCCCTTCCGACGGGCCGTAGCGGTCGTGCTCGTTGTAGGGGCTAATGTATCTGCTCTGGTTGTAGTTCTCGGTGCTCTGAGGGCTGATGGACGTCTCGGGCGGCCGCGCGGGCGGCGGCACCGCAGACGAAGCCCCCAATGCGCCCGCTGAGGCCTTGATGGTGTTCCTGATGCGCTTCCCGCCGCGGTTCGACGTCCCCAGCTCGCACTTGAGGTTCTCGTTGTGGCACCGTTTGCAGGGCGGCTGGCCGGGCCGGCCGTTGCTGTCCCTGTGGCAGCGTCAGATACACATCGAGACGGCAGATTCGAGACATCCAAGGAGGAGGCAGAGACTTACAGGTCGCACTTCGACTTGCGGCGGCGGCAGTTGTAGCAGGCCCGCGATACGCGCTTCATCTGGCCGCTGGCCGTCCGCTTAGGCTTCGGGCTGCCTGTGGTGGTGGTGGTGGTTGTGCCGTTTTTGTACTCGGGCTCGTCCATCTCGACTCAATTTCAACGTCACTCGTCGTCAACGTCTTCGACTTCGCTGTGTCGACCGCACCAAAACAAAGATATCCACGGCTTCGGCTGCGACTTTGACTGTGCAGCTGCGAAAATGGTGCTTCTCAACGCCCTCCTAGCTGTTTTGAGAACCCCCGGAACGGCCCAGCGGACGGACGCTCCGTATCAGATCCTCAGAAAAGCGCGGTTCGTCACCAACAAGCCACGCCCATCACTATCTGGCTTCTAACTCTGCTTCTAGGGCCGCTCGAGAATGCAATATCTCCTGCTGTGATCCGACTTGGCATGGCTAGGGCAAGGAGTGGACATGACGGGGCAGGGCGAGGAGGACGCGGCTGGATGGAGCAGAGGAAGAGAGGAAGAAGAGAAGGGGAGGAGGAGAGGAAGAAGAAGGGAAAAGGGACGGGGAACAAGCAGCAGCAGCAGAGGAGACGAAAGCGACGGATGGGCGACCAGGCCAGCCTGCAGCAGCAGCAGCATGGATAAGCCGAAATATTGGGCTTGTTCAAACGATGCCCGCTTCCCCACGCCGGCGCATGTCAGGATGTTGAGTGTGTCGAAGATGTGGTATTCTCACACACTCCCTTCCCGTACTGCATGTGTATACATACCACCTACGCATGTAACTAGCTCAGCATGGCTTGACCAGTGGACGGCCGGGGGGGTTGTCTGCGAATGCGACAGGTCAACTTATTCCCTTCGAATCGTGCGGCCGTTTGCTGTTGGGACCGCCTGGCTGGTGACGGGCTGCTCCCCATGCCGGCCTCGTCTGCTGGGACGGAGCATATATCTATCTCGACCGGTCTACGGGGACCGTCCTGCCACCAGCGCGAGCTCCAGCTATACATACATACATACGTCTACGGAGTATACTTCAACTTCTACCATTTTACGCCAGATATCTAGACACTCGGACTTCTTCAAACACGGACGGGCTCAACTATAATATCGTGGGAAGTATAAGGGAAGATGGTTGCTTTTTTCACTCTTGGCTGCCGTTTATTTGGCAATAGTCTTTGGTGGGCTTCTGATCGCTCTCCTTCCCCGTTGCTTTTTTGGCCCTCTTTGATCTAGCACGCTTGCGTTTCTTCCAGGCTTCCTCAGCGCAATCATCAGTCGATTTTGGGAGATGAGACGATACGAATGCCCGATACGAGGATGGCAGCGTGGTGGATGAAAGGTCCCGTTGGACGCGAGATGCGGTTATCCGCCAGTCATTTCGCCCTGATGGCCCCCCCCCTTGGTCTCTTCAGGCTCCTCCGTCTCCCTATCCGTACGTACGGCGCATATATATTAGTTATGTGTACGGGAGGGATGTTTTACTCTGCAGACGCAGTGACTCTGAAGACACTTTATATATCTCAACAGACCAACCGGGAGTCGAACACTCCGCAGCCGATTCCACATATTCACATCTACAGAAACAGAGCTAACGAGTTAACTGAGGGCAAACAGACTAATCGACTGCTGACAGGTTCAGCCTGAACCGCAATCCCTCAACATGCCAACAAGTCCTCCTAGTTCGCATTGCAAACAACCTCGCAGATCGGCGTGCGAGGGGTGTGCATGACTATCATCTGCTATCCATCCTTCACCTCCCGTGTTATGAGATAGGACGATATGATATCTTGACAAATTCCAAGCCTCGTCTCTTTGCGTGTTTGCCAAATAATAAAATATCAACAAGTCCACCGTCAATAGCGCCGGGACGATCGCCCAACCTTTAACAAATGCTTTCATTTTACCAACAGCTATCACCGTGGTCTATAGGGCAGACCAAACGGGAGGGATGCTTGTGTGGCTTCCGTTTACTATATTTTATTTATATGGCCTAAGTGCGTTTGAACTTATGTGCTTTCCCGTACCGCTGTCTCTGGGTCTGGGGAGGGGATTGCATACTTTATCTTTCATGCACGCACGGCTGCGGTCGCGATATCGACTTACTCCATGCGGAACAGTGGCCTGGTAGCCGGTATTCACACCTATAGATTTACATGGACTATGGATACCAGGGCTCCGACCCTCATGGATGGATGTACCACTGATGGTTGTTTGATAGGACCCCCCTCGACCAGACTTTCCAACCACACACTCCCCCTCTCACGCGGCTTCCCCGAATCACAGCTCGTCTAGCACCTCCGCAAAAGATATGGCTAGAGGATGTCACTGGCTCCTGGGGTTGTCTGCGTTTAGCGACTGTCACGCAGGCTTTTCATGGTTAAATACATGGCCAGGATTTTACCGGTAACTGTTGTCAGATGTCCGCGATGTGGCCTGCAAGGCGTCCAACAAAGTCGCCAAAGCAAACCGGCTGCCAGAATAGAGTAGCAACTGAGATACAGGAAAGAAAAATCCAACTCCCTGATGGCCGATCGTGCGACTCGAATCTCGTTCTTTATCTACAGACGAAGACATGAGTATTGTCAAAACACCTACCCTTGAACAGTCAACAGCTGGGTCCGAAAAGAAGAAAAAAAAAAAAAGGTAGTTAAAAAGGTTCCCTTTCAGGTCTGTGGGCATACGAGAATACGTCCAGGAAGCTATGCCCCATTTCTTTGACATCTTCGTTCATTCATCTTTTGCTGTCGTGCAGTTGATCATCATCAAGTGATCACGCCTGCTTCTCGATGAACAGTTCGGATAGACTAATATGCAAGGCAAGACCGCCGTCTTCCTCGCTTTTGCGGAAATACATCCCTACATATCTTGGCCGTATTTCCACCGTTTCTTGGTTGCATCAGTATGGATATTTAGTCTTGGTATGACAGATCAGCGGGCTTTGCCCTTGATGCAAGAGCAGGAGAGAAAGTTGAAGGAATAAAATTGGCCGGCTACTTGCAGATGTTTATTACGGGGTATTCCGGTCACATACTCACTTATCCATTCATCAAGCCTTCGGACGGGAGGATAAATGCAGCATGTCAGAAGGCCATGCAGGCTTCCGTCTGCACATATGGTCAATCTTATGGGGTTTCTTCTTGACAACCTTTATACAGTCATTCCAGGCGCTGTTGCTGGTCGCTATCAGCGTCCATCAACCTCCTTTTCTCCTCATTCTGTCGTACTCGGGCGTATATATATATAACTGAAGGCAGACTCCACGCAAGGTACCACTAGTCAGCCCATTAGTGAAACCAGCAGATACCCCGCCGGGGTTCATGCCATGCTGCGCTGGCAGCGACTGGATCGTTCAACAGAAGTCTTGACGTGGTGTCGATGTGTAGGTGGCCTTGGGATATCTGTAGTAGATCCTCAGTGACCTCACATCTCAACGGCACCCCTTTTACCTCACCTTCCGTCTCTCTGTTTTCTCACTATTTTCTCACTAATTGCCTGCGTCTCCTTTTACCGTATTTACAGTTTTCCCTCCTCTTTCACTGTCTCATTCTGATATCGATGATGACTAAGGAGGATTAGCTATAAGGTTGTTCCCGCGCCCAAAGCGGAATTTCGGTAAAGTCTCGGGTATCAAACGTTGAGGCCATCAGAAAATCCGAACAAACAACAAAGACAGCAAGCAAACGGGAGCAAACAAACTTGGAGATAGATATAAATAATAGGCTACCAAGAGGAGAGCAAGCAAGCAGCCGGCGAATAGTGTAGGCTATGGCGACAGCAAACGTACTCTCGCTCTTCTCCTTGCAGGGCAAGACTGCCCTGGTGACTGGGGGATCCAGGGGTATCGGGCGGGCGATGGCCGTAGGCCTCGCAGAAGCTGGTGCAGATATTATCCTCGTCCAAGTGCGTCACTCCCAGTGTATAGTTATCTTAACTAGTATATGGCGCCCAGTGTGACAAATGCTGACAAGTCCCGTAGCGAGACACCAGTAACACGCAGACACGAGACGAGATACTGCAAAAGACGGCAGGCAAGTCAAAAGTGACCATCCATGCCGCTGAGTTGTCCGACCGCACTGCGGCGAAGGCAATAGTCTCCAGCGTGACTGCGGATGGCACAGCAGTTGATATCCTGCTAAATTGCGCTGGCATCCAGCGGCGACACCCGAGCGAGGCGTTCCCGGACCAGGACTGGGATGAGGTGAGTTGCCATGCATAAAATATGATTAAACGATATAAAATTGGGACTGACGGCAGCGGCCGGGAATAATAATAAAAAAGATCTTGCAAGTGAATTTATCCGCGGTATTCACGCTCTGCCGCGAGTTTGGGGCCTACCTGCTCTCTCGCGGTGCCTCGGGATCGATCATCAACATGGGCTCTCTGCTGTCGTACCAAGGGGGCATCACTGTCCCGGCCTATGCAGCATCCAAGGGCGGCATTGCCCAACTCACCAAGGCTCTCTCGAACGAGTGGGCGGCCAAGGGCATCCGAGTCAATGCTATCGCACCAGGATACATCGACACGGACATGAATACCGCGCTGATCCAGGATCCGGTGCGGAGCGAGTCGATTTCGGCTAGGATTCCGGCCGGACGGTGGGGGAAACCGGAGGATTTCAAGGGAATTGCCGTGTTTCTCGCCAGCGATGCCAGCGCCTATGTCTCGGGGGAAATGGTCAACGTTGACGGCGGTTGGATGGGCAGGTAGAAATCTGAATCAGTCATGATACAGAGACCGGCCTGCCTCAACAGGGAGAAGATATAGAAGCCCAGGCACGGGGCCAGATAACTAGAATTGCCGATGATCAACTTTCTCAGCTCCATTAATCGACCTTTTATGAATAAATAGAGTCGAGTCGACAACTGCTAGTTCGCCCCCCTGGCCGGCGCTTCGATGTTTCATACACCCTCGCCTTGGGCCTCTCTTGTCCAACCAAGCCATGTACATCATCAGGGGCTGAATCTCGTCGCCACGCCTATGCCAGACATCTTCAGAGAGTAGAATTTTTTTCTACTCCAGCGTAAATGTTTTTTTTTTTTTTTTTCTCCTTCAAGATTTCTATCAGCCAGTGAAATCTCGACATCGCCTCTCTTCCCCTGCGTTCTGCTGCAGTTTCAGCCACGGTCCCTGCGAATCGGCTGCAGAAGACGCCCGAGAACCGCCTCCAGCACCGCCCGCTGTGGGTTTCGCTCAGCGCCCAAGTGGATACAGCGCATCTTGGAGTGCTGCTGTCTCTTCCAACCATCTGGCTAAACGCTCTGCTGTCTCTGGCAGCCTGACTTGCACTAAGATGCCTCTGAACGGGCCAAGCAGGTTGGATATCTGTCCCTCGATGGAGCAGGTTTGTCTTTATACGATGGGCATCTCCCCCCTTTTTCTTCTTCCTGTGCAACAGCCAGGCTTGAGCGCTGCCTCTTTCTCCTCTTAAGCATCTGAGCTGGTCTCTGGAAAGACACTCATCTCTTGCCACGCTCCTCTGGGTCTGTCTGATTGCACACTCTCTCCTGCGGTGTGTTGGTTGTCAATAGGCGGGTCTACTCTATTGTCGACTGTTCGCTCATTCAACAACTAGTTTTATACTTCTGCTGGCCAGGACAGGACAGACTCTTAGTGTTAAGGCTGCTGCGCAGTTGTAAGTATCTTCTGCCTCTTCTCGACCCTGGGAGTAGGTGAATAACCGCAGCAACTTACTGATATCATGGCAGGAAATTACTCACTCTTTTGCATCATTCTGGACGGCCCTTTCCAGCAGCCCTTGAGCTAACTGGCACATTCTTTTATCTTGCTGGTTCACAGAGTGTTCACTCTGACTTAGGTCCGGCTGCTGAAAGAAAGTAGAAAAGGGAGTTTGATATCATTCCTTTTCTTCTACTTCCAGTACTTCTTCTTCTTCTTCTTTGGCACCGAATATCTTGCCATACGAACCGCAACTCTGCCTTTTGTTTTCACGCTGGATCTTAACTTGATACGCCATATCTATATCCAGCTTGGTCAACCGCGAGACCGCAAATCATGGACTTACATATCTTTGCCCGCGAGATGCCGGCTCCTCACTCGCAGAACACGACCTATGTATCGCCATATACTCGAGGGCTTCTCGGCGTCCGCGTCAATCTCGACCATCTCGTCACCATCCTGCTCGCGGGCTCCATCGGGGTGGCCTGTGTGATCATCCTGCTGGTGCGCTTCACCCAGATGTCCCATGCATATCTGCGGCAGGTCACTTCAGCCACCGGCAGCTCAAACCAGCAACGGTTCTGGGGAGCCGAGCAGTCGACTCTATGGTCAGACATCAAGAAGCATGTCCTCTATGCACCCCTGGGAAGCAAACGGCACAACCGCGAGTTCAAGCTGTCCGAGGCTGTCAATGTGGGCACTTTGCCATCCAGGTTCCACACAGTGCTGTTGACATGCTACCTCCTCAGCCAGGTGGCATACTGCTCGGTCTTGGATTATCGTGCCAACAACAAAGCCGCGCTGGTCGCTGAGCTTCGAGGCCGATCTGGAAACCTGGCCCTACTGAATATGATTCCCCTGTTTATTCTGGCCGGCAGAAACAACCCACTAATTCCATTGCTGCGTGTCTCCTTTGATACCTACAATCTTCTGCACCGATGGCTCGGCCGCATTGTCATTATCGAATCTATCGTTCATACCATTGCCTGGATGGTCAATGCTGTGGCTGCAGATGGCCACTCAAAGATGTGGAACAACATCTGGCATGAGCCCTTTTACACCTGGGGATTTGTTGCAACCGCCACTATGGTCTTCATTCTCATACAGTCTCCCTCGCCTGTGAGACACGCCTTCTACGAGACCTTCCTCCATCTTCACCAACTCGGCGCCATAATCATTGTCCTGGGCATCTACTTCCACCTAGATATCGACGGTCTTCCTCAACTGCCCTGGTTCAAAGGCATCATCAGTCTCTGGGCCCTTGAGCGTGGTGCTCGGTTCTTTCGAATCCTCCGTCTCAATGTGTCGCGCCGTAATGGACTTACTCGCGTAGTAGTCAAGGCACTTCCCGGCGAAGCCAGCAGAGTGACTTTCTATCTCCCTCGTCACACGAAGATCAACCCCGGCAGCCACGTCTATGCCTACCTTCCACGCATCTCTTTCTGGATGTCGCACCCTTTCTCCGTTGCATGGGCTGAACAAGGCTCTGGTTCACTGCCCAAGTCACCCAAGACAGACAAGTTCAGTGATTCCTCCAAATCCTCCCTTTCTCGGAAACCATCCACCATGACCACCTCTTCAACCTCCTCGCCTGATCTCGAAAAGGGTCATTCCCGAAACACTGCACTCGCCACAGATGATTCCCAGCCAACCTGCGTCTCTCTCATCATGGCCGCGCGTACCGGAATGACCCGCAAACTGTACAATGCCGCACTAGCGTCGCCAAATCTTACGTTGGAGACAACCGGATTCATTGAGGGTCCCTATTCCTCCCACCCTTCTTCCTTTGGCAGCTATGGCACCGTTGTTCTTTTCTCTGGTGGTGCAGGCATAACCCATCATCTGATGCATGTCCGTGATCTTCTCGCCGCCGCTGATGCAGGCACTGTAGCCACTCGCCGCATATACCTTATCTGGTCCGTCCGTACGACCGAGCACCTTGGCTGGGTCCGTGGCTTTATGGATTCCATCCTGCATATGCCCAATCGTCGGGATGTCTTGGTTACCAAGCTATTCGTCAGCAAACCCCGAAGTCAGCGTGAAATCCAAAGCCCAAGCACTACTCTTCAAATGTTTCCCGGCCGATGTCGACCCGATGTCGTCCTTGAGGAAGTTCTATCCGACCCAGTTGGCGCTACGGGCGTTAGCGTCTGTGGTCCCGGAGCCTTTGCAGATGAAGTACGCTCCAGCGTAAGGAAACGGATTGGCCAGGGACAAGTGATCGATTTCGTCGAAGAGGCATTTACCTGGTAAATTATAGCTCGTGGTGGTCAATACCATAAAAAGGCCACTGCCGTTTTACTTTCTTTGCCTAGGTGTTCGCGGGTGGGTGTTTTACTTTCTTGTATCTAGTTAGCTCCATTTTACGATGATATACCTTACCAGGTCCAGATGTTTATACAGTTGGATAGGCCTTGCAGATAATGAGACATGACTTTAAATCAAAATAAAAATACCAAGCTCCAATGTATTCGCTCGAAAGTCTACCAATAGTAATTCTCAAGTTGTACAAAACAAGCGCTCCAATGAATCAATTTATTAGACATAACCAAGAACTATATTGCTCAATTGGGGGGATGCGGGTCCATGTCAAACGAACGCTATATGGCAGTGTAAATTAAAATAAAGGAAAAACGAATCATAAGGGGGAATAAGGGGCTGGGAAATGCATAAAAGGTTGTTAAGACAGATTTAATAAGAACGTGGGAACAAAGTTCGTTTCATATATGAGCTGATGGACTAGTCGGCTTCTTTTCAGGACTCGAGTTGGGTGCTATAGCCAAGGCTTCTGAAGGCCTCGGTTGAGCGTTGTCGAATAGACTGAAGTCTGATTGAGAATAGTATCGTCCCCTCTTCGTAGGCTGATCAAGTTCATCTGGAAAATTAGTGGCGGTAGCCGCACCCGTTCCATCAGGCTCGGTGATTCGACTGACCCTATTAGAATCAAGACCCGAGTTGGCGTCTGTTGCAAATTTATCGGCAAACGGGTTCTCGACCTGGAATTCATTCGGGTTATACTCCCACGATATAGGCGGGGCAGAGGTGCTGGGAGCCGCGCGATCGTTATTTCTTGTTTCAGAGTGACCGTTATTTAGTTGGGATATTCCACTCGTATGGGATTCATGGGTCTCTCTGTTTGGTATCGAGGGCAGGTTATCTGTAGAGGCTCCTGGAGGGAACACTGGGGGAGAAGCAGGTGTTCTTTCAATGTTGGCTGTATGGACAGGTGGCGTGTATAGAGTGGGTTTTGTTTCCTCATTTCGACTGGTTGCTTGTTCTGGGGCTTGTTTAGAGAGCTTCTTAGGTATCCGGGGCATAGATAGACGGGGTATATATCTTTGCTTTTTTGACTGAACACGTTCCGGGGCCGCACCTCCTGCGGGCAATGCACCAGTTGCCTGAGGATAAGGTTGTCCATTTCTATAGTCTTGATTCCCAGTGTTATTGCTTTGGTTGTGGTCTGGGATACGATCAATCAGGTACTGAGCCTGCTCAGCCCGTTCGGCTGGAGATTTGAAGCCAGCTTTTCTTGCGTCTAGGGCAGCACGATTGTACCTAGACAATGCAACAGAGATTTTATCGTTCGTCTCGATCAGGGTGAGCATAGTGTCTTCGTCAGGAGCTGGATTTGAGGAGTTAATATAACCCTGCACAGATCTAGACGCTGATTGACAGCGGGTTGCAAATTCTTTAATCATTTCGTTCTGATAAAACTCAGATACAGGTGTAGACATGAGCATCTGCTGAAGTAGTTTTGCAGATTCATTGGCCTCGTTGACCCGTGCAGCAAGCTCGCCCGGAGGAGGAAGCCCTCGGAGCTTGTGTTGACGGGAGAAGTAGTCTTGTCTCTGTCTGGCATGTGGGCCGGAGCCATGAGGAGGAGACTATGATGGAATTAGTACCTTTCTTATACGGGGAAGAGATAGTTGTTGCCAGAAAATTACCTGGACTGGAGGGGTCCCAAATGGTGGGTACCCGTAGGTTCTCTCAAACTTCTCTTTCTCTTTCGTCCACATTTGTATCAACCCTGAGAGGTTTCCATCATTGGCCTTCGTCGTTGACAGAGTCTCTAGCGTCTCGCGCAGAATCTGCGCAACATTCATGTCCCGTCCATCTCGAAGCAAAAACTTGACAGATGACGTGAATCGCGCATCAAGATTACAAGTGAAAGATGGGCCAGGATTATCGGCCAGTATTCGTATTAACATGATCGCATTGTACTGTCGTTTGGGTTGCGTGGTTGTCGTTTTTGAGAGATATTTATGAATCTGGTTTGCAGCAATTTTCGCTGCCGCAGGACTCGATTCAGCAGCCTCGACGATTGTGGGAAGCGGTAGGAAGTCATTTTCCTTGGGAACAAGTCAGAATAAGCGTGAGTAAGGCAAATATGTTCAGAAGACTCTAGAGATAGCGCATACATTGTTGGAATCGGAGTTTTCGCAAAAGAGGGTCTGTATATAGATAAGTCGGTCAGTGTCTGTCTGTCTCCAAGGTTGAAGGTAGGAAATCCAAGCTTACCACAGCCTTGAGGACGGCAACCTCAGGGGAATCATGAGCATTAGGCTGACTTGCATCGAGACCTCCTCCAAACGCTAGTTATTTCAACAACACTGTCAGCTTCTGGGAATCACCCGCCTAAGGTAGAAGACATACAGCTGTTCCGCTTACTGGTAATGGTACCAATGAAGCGTTTCATGGTTAACCGCTTCTCAGCTACTGTCGACGGCTTTCTCCAGCAATCGACCGACCGTGTTTGGACAAAGCCGGGTAGAAAAGAGTCAAGATGGAGATGGTGAGAGGTGAGGGCGGACGAAGCGAGTCGGACGACGGAGCCCAGCGTCAAGGGGGGCGAAGTACCCTAGTGCAAGCAGGGACTCGCAGTAAAGGCGCAAGGATGGTCGGCTTTATCAAGGTAATGTACCTATCAACGCCCGGCGTCGACGTCGCTGATAGTTGTCAATGGTTGTTACTAGGCTCAGGAACGAGGGATCAACCCAATGGTCCTGCTCGTGGCGCAAAGATCTTGAGGCTCTTCTGTACCAATACTTTAAATAAATATAGCTAGGAGGAAACTCGTATGAAGTTTCCGACTGACACGTTTTATAACGCTCTGATAGACATGGATCCGGTTCAATCACGGCTGCGACTCACGGATGGCGTTTCTCGTTTGCTCCAGATTTATCCAAAGCTGGGTTCGCCAGAGTGGAACATTATTGGCGCAGAACGGTTAAGAGGCGCCAGCAGCGGATCAGCAACACCCCTTCGCTTCTTTGATGCTTGACATTGTGTCTACACCCAAGAATACGTGCGTGTGATTCCTCAAGCGTTGAGCCTGGTGACGTAGCCCGACTTTTTAGCTAGAGGGACTGACGCGGCAAAGCCAGCGGCGGAATTGAGGGCATCGAGGAAACACCCATAGCCGTACACCCTCATCGCTTTGATGTAGCGGCTCACAGGTCTCGTTCAAGTTTGCCCAGTCGCTCAGCCACAGCGATGACAACGCTTAATCAGTTAAGTAGTACTCCATAGAATGCCCATAACCTCCACCTCCATCAGGCTGGTCGTCGACAAAGATTCGATCTCTTGGGACTCGCATGGTGGTTTAATAACTGTCGACCTTGCTGTTGATCCGCGGTCAAGGATGAGTTCTTACTTCGTAGCCGTCACGTTGACGGGTCTCCTCCCAACGGGTCTCCGCGTTGAGTATATCTGCGTTGGAGTCGTGGCTGGACGCTATCAGGCACAGAGGCCGAACGAAGGAGAGTCCCGTAGAACTCGGCTAGCTATAAAGGCGCCATTAAGTCATTCGTACCTATTACTAGAGTAGTGGTAGAACGTCATTTGTTTGTGATGAAGTGGAAGTTGAGATTTGAGAACAAAATAAGCAGTGTGACCGTGCTTTTATTTCCTAAACGGGAAGAGGTTATTTGGACTTCAACCTCAACGTCTGCAGACACGCAAATATTTCACGGATAACGAAAGACAACAACAAGAAGAAGAAAAAGAAGCGGAGGCGCAAAGGACCAAGTAATAAGTGATTCAAGGAGCCAATTGATTAAGAGTTTTCGTTTTACTACAGCTGCCTACGATATAAATAATACACGGAGAGAAGTGCTTTTGAGTACCTACACAGTCGAGAGAAAATACCTAGTACCTTGAAATATCCCTTCCAAACACCCGGTTTGAGATCCAAGAATACAGGATCCGCAGCCTGTTGCGCCAGCTGATGCTCATTGACAGATATGCACCCTTCCATACGAGCCAGGCAGCATAGCCAGTCAAACCCTGGGGTAGATGAGAAGCCTTGCCCTTGTCCTGGCTGCTTTGTGGGAACTGCATCAGCGCTCTTGAGCGGCCTACATACGCTATCATGCCTAGATTTCGGAAGGAGAAAGCAGGATACCGCGACAGGCCGGTGTCAGAATTATTTGTATTGAGGCATTTGGCCAGCCAAATAGCCTCCTGGTTGGCAGACTGGGCTGTTGCAGGTGGTGAGTTTGTTTCGAGCATACAGTTGTCACCAATGGCAAAGACATCCTGGAGGGTGACTGTCTGGCCATCGTTCGATTGGAGCCGGACGCGAAGGTGGTCGTCGACCAGCAGAGCACCTGTCTTTTCTGCTTTCCTCACACTCCATGTCGCTGCAGATTGTGGAGATCGTTCTGCGGGGGTATGATCCATCTTCTCCAGTACGGATGACGTTGGGAACGCTTCTACTTTACCAAGAGCATCGTTAACAAACTCATTCATCTCGTTACCTGTCGCCCAGACACACATTGCGATGCCTTCTTCCCCGTCTTCCTTGGTCTTTATAGTCAGACAGCGCTTCGGATCCATCTCGTGTGGACCGGGGGAATTAGGTTCACCCCAGCGAAGACTCTCGATGTGATGGTTTGTCTTGACATCGACTCCCTCGCGTTCCATGGTATCCATGGCATAGTTTGACAGGGACTCATCAAATGTACTCAAAACTGTGGGCGCAACATCAAAAAGAGTTATACGAATCATCTCTTTCAGTTGTGGATAAACCTTTACCAAGTCTTCATGGATAAAGTCGCATAGCGAAGCAGCCAGCTCGATCCCTGTCGGCCCAGCACCCACAATGGCAAAATGCAAGAGATATCTCTGCATCCGAGGATCGGTGTTGGGCAAAACTGCCAATTCAAAACATTCTCTGATGCGCCTTTTCACTCGTCGGGCGTCCCCAACGTCCTTGAGAAAAAGTGCATTCTCTCTAACCCCAGGAGTGTTAAAGGTCTTGCTAACGCAGCCGACAGCGACAACGAGTTTATCGTAAGGAACTATGATTGTTTCCCCGGATTCCCATTGCCTGTCAGCCCCGCCTTTGGACACTTGCCAATGTTGCTTTTCATGCCGGTGTTGTTTTACCCTTGTCGTTTCCGTTACGCCGCTGCGAACCACGCTAGCTTCACATGTGACCGTCTTCTTGCTGAAGTCGACGGCTCGTGCAGCCGCCTGGATAAAGTGGACTTTGGTATAGCGATCTCGGACGGGCTCGACGATTTCAGAGAAGTCAAGTGACCCAATGGCAGCATCGGTAAGCAGAGGCGTAAAGACGAAGTACGATCGAGGCGAGATGACTGTGGGGGAGAATTTAATGGCCGACAGTTTACGGGATAGAGTATATCCACCCCATCCCGAGCCCAAGATGACAACTCGCTCGGCCGTAGTCGAGGGATTTCTTGCTGGCCGTGCTGGAGAGCCTCCCGTCGAGTCCCCTGTCAATGTTGCAAAGCGCCGAACCTGCTGGGTAGGCCTGACCTGGGCCGGCGGACGGGAAGCATATCGGAAATTAGGCCGTACAAGTCCCATCTGATAGCCTCGTTTGCGAGCTGATAAAAGGAGGTGCTGCATGAAGATTTTAAATGAGCTATGCCGATACTGACCAATATAACTATGCCTTGCTTGAGGATGAAGGCTGCCTCGGACCGCCCGGCGTTGAACCCTCCGCATAGGCTCAAACATCATTGAAACCAACAATAATAACCAGAAAACAAACCTTGAAATTCAAGTCAGTAGTGGTCATGCAGTCATCCTGCACGCCCCCTTGAACCTGGCCTCATATTGCCCAGGCTCAAAGGACAAGGTGGCTCTCCTCTTTAGGCACCACTCTATAAAGTGGCACCTCCAGCAAATCGTACGTTGTTTGTTTATGGGACTTGACAGGCTTGCGTGTTCACATGCAAAGCAAAATGCTTGACCCTATCATCGATGAATCAAAGCCCCCAGCGAGTTCCAGAACTCTAATATTGGCGCCGAGCCACCAAGCACCAAACATCATGACGCTGTTTTGCAGGGGTTCAAGAAGCCATCAGCAGTCAAAAGAATTGTGTTGCCTGGACATGCAAGGTAGCGCCCGTTTACCGCCAGGATATGATTTCTCATCCTGGCCAAGTAACAAACGCCTGTGCTCGTTCTCAACAGATCAAGGCATCTTTGTCTGCCTGTGATTCGTTATGAGAGTTTCTTTTTCCTTTTCTGGTGACGAGTTTATTGATGGCGCTGTCTGCATACTTGCATGTATACGCAATAATCTCACACCAGCCCGCCTTGTACCTGGCTATCTCTTGGCCAGTTGCAGCAAGCGCCCATCAGAATGGATTCTTCCGTGTACGGAGGGGGGTCGGAGATGGTCTCTGGTTACACATGCCTAACCACAAATGCCTGATGGGAAAGAGTATTTGGAAGCGCCTGGTTACGGAGTACATATAAGCTTTCGCGCGAAACCTCTGGCATGTTGCTATAAAGGTCGAAACAGCACCCGCCCCATATAGCTATATTGATATCGCATTTACATACTAAATACGCCAGCCAGCAACTCCTCTTGGACAGCCCTTGACCCTCCTTTCCTAGGAAATACCCTAACAGTCAATTGACTACCACCACACTGTCGACTACTATCGTTCCTGCAGAGACAACATCAGTCGACATCATGACTTCGCTGTACTTTCAAGAACCTTCCTCCAGAGTCTGGGACTACCTGGAGCAGATGGAAACCGACTGGATCCACGAGTCATCCATAGCCTCCGACAACAACGCCAATTCTGGAGAACTTACCTGGGGAGCTCAATTCAGCCATTTCCCCAAGCAAAAGCCAACAGCGACCCGCGCTCGTTCGTTGAGGAGAGAGCCCAGTGATGCTTCTAGTGGCTACCGACGCGAGTTCCTCTCCCGTCGTGATAGAAGCGACTCCGGCTCCAGCTTCAGCTCCATGTCAACCAACTCAAGACTGAGCAGCAGCTTAGCCAGCCATGATCGCCCAGTGGACTTGAGCTCCGTTATCCAATGCCTCAGTTCTCAGCTTGGTTTTGACCTGAACGAGACATTCAATTGCGCAAATAAATACAGCAAGCCAGTCAAATCATCCAAGGCTAGGCCATCTGCACTCGTGGCCACTGCTCCAAAGATCAAATCTACAAAGACACCCAAGGCTCGCCACGAGTTTGTTTTGCAGGTTCCATATGCGCATAAACCTGCCACGACTGTCGAATATGACAGTATGATGTCAGCCCTAAACACCCCTGTCAAAGCTGCGACTGCACCCGCAATTCCCAAGGCCGACCACAAGAACACCGAAACGAAAGATAGCGGCGTAAAGAAATCCAAGAGTACACGTAAAGTGTCATTCGCTGAGGTCGTCCAGGAACTTCCCATTGCATTCGAAGCGGAGGTGGAGGCGGAGCCAGAACCAGAGCCAGAGATGATCACCGATGGGGGAAGCGACAGCGACAGTGACAGCGATAGTGTCCCCGAGGCAGTATTTCTGAACGTTGACACAGTTATGCAGAATGCGCGTCGTGTTCGACATGTGGAGATCAGGGACGCCGAAGAAGAGGAGAACGATTATATCACGATCTATCAATCCTGACAATACTGCTAGCTCTTATTTTGTCCTGAATTACGCTCTAGTTACGACTTTTTTTCCCCCTCGCTTCCCTTTTTGCTCATATGACTAGTTGACCCGCCACTTCGCTTCTTCGATTCCCCCTTGGTATTAGTTAGTTAGCCTTGGTGTTTTTGATCTATGATTCCTATTCCCCCTTCTGTCTCTAGATATTTTGGCTCAATTGAAATTCCATGAAATTTTCCATGAAACTCGGTAATATGTCTCCGTTTTTTCCACTGTGTCGATCCTCGTATATACGAAAGCGAGGGCTTGAATGAAACTGGAAACATTGTCCGAAGTGATCATCGTTATCGGGTTAACCCGTAACTATCAAGTCCGGACTCGGTGATCTTCCCGGCATGGCTCGTCGTTCCTCGCTGGAAGGACTGCTGGATTGATATCCTTGACCATGTAGCATCTTCACTTGGCTAGGCTTCAAGCAGAGTTATATCAGAGCGCTCGACCGAATGTAACGCTTGTCAGATATGAACTTTCAACCAGGTTATCGGACGAGAATCGACTATAAGTTCACTGGTCGGCTGCTTAACGTCCGTATGTAGCGATTAAATGTCTGTTTCTCGGTTCGATTGAGTATCCGACACTTCTTGTCTGCAATAAGTACATCGTACTCAGCCGCAAAAGGTCGAAACCTATAAGCCGAAGGGGATATATCAGACATCAATGTCACTGGGAATGAGTACCATTGAACGTATCTACTAGCCGCTACCCTCCGGCTTCTAGAGAACTAACATGGCCTTGTGGTGCAGCCGTGATCAATATCAAGTGAGACACAAATGCAAAGGGAAAAATTGATACCCTGCCATTGGGAGCAACTAACCGATGCTCAATGTAACTACCAGCCCTAAGAGACATCCGAATCACCCTTTCTTTGGTAATGTTGTCTCAAATTGTGCTGGCATGTTATTTAGAGATACGTACAGATGTTTTGCTGTCATTGATACCCGGGCTCAACCTAATAATACATTAAAACTGATACCCAACACAGCCTTAACGTGTCAGAAACCTCTCACATTGTCGAAAACTAATAATTCTGGTCATTGGTTACGCTCTCTTGAAAAATTCAAGATATTTACTGCTACTGGCAAGACATCTTGGATGATCATCTTAGGGGTTGAATGTCGCGAGAAAAACGGCTAAAATATAACGAATATGCAGCTAGAAAACAGCCACCTCGGCCATGGAATGATGAAAATGTACTGTGATACTCATTTACCGTCGTGGGCATCTCATACATTCGCAGGACTAGCCTTGTGTCCCCAACCGAACCCTCCTCAGCAAGCCGAAGTCAGGCCCTGTTCTGCAATACTCCGAGCCTTTCGGATACTTGGCCGTACTGATTCCAGAGGGAAAATGCTACAAGTAACCATTTTGGCACCTTGCTGTCTCTTCAAAGCTCGCTTGGCATAAGCATCAACCTGGCATACAGATACTGGCTCAATTCTAAGTCCTATATTTGGCTCTCCGTTTTCTAACTAAGCGTTGGCAGTGAAGTAACTAGACGGGACCGACCGAGGCTGCTGGCTCCTCTCAGCATCAAAACAACCCCTCTGCACTACCCTTGCAAAGAAGAGACTCGGAATCTGGTCCCGTTGTGTAGGCGGATTATATGGACATCTCCCTTGGCCACAGTGAACAGTGTTTAGGCTTTGTTGCGAGGGGACTGTTGCACCAGACTATATCTTGATACCCCTCAAATCGTGGTTAAAATACAAGTCCATGACTGTGCCTAGGATTCGAGTCACATCGCCATAAAGTCGTGTTTATTGTCGTATAAACAATATAAACAACAAAAAGAAAGCCCTTTTATGCTGCCACTAATCGTTGTACAAGAAAAGGCAAAAAATGTTGGCTCGACCAAACGTTTTATCAATCGACCCTGAGAAGGTTGCACCACCCGCATTAAACCACCATACCCCTTGAAGACAAAAAGGAAGAAAGAAGAAAGAAACCGTCAATAATGAAGGGCGCTCAATTAATGTAGATGCTGGAGGTACAAACGAAAGAAACGACGACAGAAAAAGCAAAGAACGATCGGTTTAGAACTGGACTCAAGAAGCGAATGCCCGAGGAGATCCGGAGAATGCACTTGGATCATACATTCATGACTTTCCGACTGTGGTAGTCGTCTTCATCACAGAACGTGAGGTCGTTGCCTGGCTTGTCTCCAACGATAAGGATGGCCAGGGTCGACCTTCGGCGTGATTTTGACCGTCGACGGTAGAGGTGAATCCACTGCATGAAATCGAAGAAAGCGATGGTGACCAGGAGCAGTATAACTACGCCTGTGATTATTATTCCTGGTGTTAGGAATTCGATACGGCCGCGACCCTGGTTATGCCGTTGAAGTCTTGGGCTATGTGAGTACAATCTGGGCTGCTGCAGCGTATCCATTGAGTCATCTGGGGAGGACGTCGTAAACGCGGGGAGTTTGCGATGACCCCAGATGCATCGGGAGAGTACCCAGATGTCTGAGAGGGAGATACCGACGGAGTATGGCTCGGTCTTATGTTCCAGCCGGCAGGTTTGCCATCTGCCCCCTGCACCTCTGATTCGGTTTTCAAGATCTAGACGTCGACCGGTCAGCATACCACCACTACCTCCAAAACTGTCTTCTGATACAGCTGGAGGGGAAGAGAGAGCAACGGGGGTGGGGAGGATATAACACACCATTTGGTCGTCGTTTTGGTTCGTTTCAGCAGTGTTTTCTTCTCTGACAGTGGCTTCTATCTGGAGTTTGCTGTCACCAGGGTGCATGAGCTGGCATAAAACCTTCTTCCACGCCAAAGCAGCTTCGTCTCCAACCAACGAGTGGCCCGGTTGGGAATCTTTTCGAAGCCCAATGTCGTGGGATGGGTGTAGTGGCAGTGCCTCGCAGGATATAAGAAAGAGAAGCAGACCGGCAGCCACCAGCCTTATAAGCGAACGCATACTTTTTATATTTTTGGACGCTGAAGGGTAAAAGCCAGACTAAATACTTTTGGTCGTCTCGGATAGCGCACCCGGCCCAAATGTTATATATAGGGGGAAAAGAAAAGAAGGTATCTGGGGTCAAACTAGGTCAGCTAGTGAAGAGTTTAGGGGTGCAGGCCAGGAAAAGCGAGTTTATGAGTCCGAGGCGTCAGGCAGCGGGCATGTGAGGTATGCAAATGAGAGGTGCCCTGGTGCCACAAAGCTGGATGCAGCAAATTGGTCGTACAGAAAGTCTCGCCAATGCATGAGACCGTCTGTATACCCCTCAAGCAAGCAGTTCACGTCTATTCTCCCTGCCTCTTCTTTCAAAGCCGGAGCAGAGTCTCACGGCGGGGAGGGTACAGCGGTATTTATCTGGAACCCGGGGCCTATAAGGTGCTGCTGCGCATATTTAGTGTTGGTAAAAAAAGGGTACCGCATCACAGCCCAAGTACGCTGCCATAGTTAGTCCCAGGCGACTCCAAACTCGGACGCCCGCCCCCCTCCCAAGTAGCAAGCTAGTCGCTTACGGAGGAGCTGATGAATTAACTATAGTAGCTGTGTACGTTTCATGACCCTTGTCTCAAGTTGGCGCCCTTCTTTTTTCTGGTCGTTTGTCTTGCGTGGCCCGTCAAGGCTGAGGTCCAACCAGACTCAGCCATAGAACGCACTCCGAAAGCCACCGCGAGCTGCTTGCGTCACGGCGCTGATTCAAGCTTTCCTCCCGTTGCCAGAGCAGAATTCTGGCTGGACAGTTGGCCCGTTGCGTGTCCAGCGAGACCCGGTTCTGGTGGTTCAATCTAGACCTAGTAGAAGCTTAAAAATGATAAAGCTCGCCAGCCCCTGAACGAGCCAGCCGGAGAAGGCTTCGATTATAAAGAGCGCATCACTCTCCTTCCCGCGGAGCATAGAGATTAATATCTCAACATCCTTTTTGCCCCTGACCGTCCATAATAATAATGTTCCTGTCTGGTACGGTATATCAGACTGGGCGCCAGTGTGCACCCCGTAGCCATGCGTGATCACAGGGTTGTGTTAGTCTCTGTGTAACTTTTTGCCTTCATGTTGGAGTCCCCCCGGATATATTCAGCCCATTATCAGTGAGCTAAGCCCATCAGATATTGTTGGGGGGGCGACGCCGGGGGGTTCTGATTCGAATATCGAGTGGTCTCCATCGATCGAGAGGACCGCGTTGCCAGATCTGAATCTGCCCTCAGATATGGCTACCTAGCTAACTCACTAGCGAATTCAAGCTAGATGTCCATCTCGACGACTCCAGCTGAGGCTCAAACCGTCCAGCGTGACCCTGCAGAGGGCGCAAAAAGCTGCCTTCTGGCCTGAATCTCGCCCTCGCAAGGTGCTCTTGGAGCAGCCATGTCACGCTGCATCGTGACCTGGACGGATGCAGAGACAGGTCCCCGGCTCCCTGGGCTCTGAAATAAGACATTTTCTCGCTTGCCAGAGGGGGGACTTTGCAGAATCTGCGCGCTAGAGGTCCTTTTTCGTGTGGAGATTGGCCGTTTGCACCCATAACTAGATAGCACGGGGGAGGTTTAGCGACGGGGCAAGGGAAAGACGTCCAGCGTCCGGCGTAGATAGTTGAGCACGCTCGATGCCAGGCGCACTCTGGCGCTCTGCAGCCGTCTGCCGTAGTGACGACCAGCTTATCCCACGCACGCCGTGCATGCATGTCATGCCGTCCATCGTATGTCATCGGTAGAGAGAGAGAGAGAGCTGGTCGTTCTTAACTGCACTCGTAACTCGTAGTTATGCCCGGCCGTTCACTGGCTGCCAGCGTAATATTGCTTTTTGAGGCCGCTGCCGTCGGTTATATCCACCGCTTCGAGGGGGGTTCGAACGCCTGCGAGGACATCGGATAAGCGGCCTGCAGATGCGCAGGAGTCGTCCGTCTGACGGCCAGAAGACAGATAACTAGCTAGTTTATTACTGCGCGTGTCTGCCTCACGGCGACGGCGATGTCAACGAGCAGCCAGCAAGCGAAGTCGACCGCCAGGCAGCGATAACGATGTCCCAACCGCAGCCGCCGTCGCAACCACGCACCAGAAAGGTGACCACTCGCTCGCGAAACGGATGCTGGACCTGTCGAGCGCGGCGCAAGAAGTGCGATGAGAAGCGGCCGTTCTGCACTCCCTGCGAGCGCAAGTCGTTGCAGTGTAGCGGATACGGGCCGCGCCTGAAATGGGGGAACGGGGTCGCCTCGCGGGGATACCTGATGGGCTCTGCCATTCCCGTGCATCCCAAGGACGTGCCGGCAGCGACGGCCTCGTCGTCGTCGTCGTTGGCTTCGTCTGCGCTGCTGGCTCAGGGGAACCAGGCGGCGGCCGCAGGGAGCGCAGGCGGCGGGAGGCAGAAGAGCCCCAGGGGCAGCCCGACGGCCAATATAGGCTCGCTCTCGGAGTGCATGGGAGTGCTGAACTTCTCAGCGCCGCCGACGCAGACAAAGACACAGACGAAGACGCAGACGAAGGCGAAGGCGAAGACAAAGTCCGTCTCGAACGCTTCTCTCTCGCCGGAGATCAGGCCAGGGAAGACGCCGACTCCTGTTGCCCCTACGGCGGCTGCTGGCGTCTCTTCGTCTCCTGTTGAGAGCTCCCCTTCTGTGGCTACGACGTCGACCTCGCTGGTGACAGCCCTGCCATTGAGTCCCTTTGACGAAGAGGTATTCGAAGAATGTGTGTTATCACTCCATACCCATGATAGTGCTCAGAACTGACATGCGGAGCAGTCAAAGAATGGGGATTGCAGTATCTGGCTGAGGCCGGACAGTCCCTCCTGGGCGATATTCTTGCATTCTGCACCGAGTCCAGGTCGTTGGTGGCCAACTGTATCATGTTTCAATTGACCCTGCACCCGGAGCATGAGGACAAGTTCGAGGAATACTATGCAAGGTGCCTCAGGCTCTTCCGCGAGGACGTCTGTGATACCAAGTCGGCCATGAAAGATGCTACCCTCATTGCTGGCATATTACTCTGCTCTACGGGGGTATGTTGGGCATTATTCCCCCTTTTACTGCCTCAGGATTAACATATTCTAGATGAACCGATGCATGAAATGGACCGTCCATCTCAATGGCCTTTACTCCATAATCCAATGCAGAAACACAGTATCTGCTCCTACTCCCATCAGCTCCGAGATTCTGGACAGCATCGGCTTCTTCGACCTGCCTACCCATGTCCTGGGTCGAGCAACCAAACCGCTGCATATCTGGCGTGACTACTGCCGCGGTAAAAGCGGGATAGAACCCAATAGCAACATTCCCTTCAGTCTGATAGACCTTCTTTCCATGGTCGGCCAGCCAGGAGTCGAGATGCAGCTCTGGACGTGGCAGTGGGACAACAGCAGTAGCAGCAGCAGCAGCAGCAGCAGTAGCCCCGGTAGAAACGCCCATCCGCCCAGCCTATTGACTCGTCTGGCATGGGATGCCACTCGTCTGGCAGGGATCATCTCCTCGAGAGAATACAAGTTACTCAACTACGCCCAGACCACAGACCTATCCCCTTCAAACCCATATCAACCCACCCAGAGTGACGATGGCTGTCCAGCTACCCCGTTCCTGGTTGAAGGCATACTTTCTAACCTTACTACCATCCTCACCACCGAGTCACAGCACCAACATCACCAACATCAACCTCCGCAGGAGGTGTGCGAGGTTCTAAATCTTTTACTCTACCCTGCCTTTGTTGCCGGAAGCCAACATACATTGCTCACACCTCTGCATAAACAGCGAATTGAGGCATTCTGGCAGGAATTATTTCCCGACATGGGGGCTGACGGGCCTGGGATGCCGCATCTTCAGGTTCCCTTGGACATTCTGCGCGATCTATGGAGAGATGCTAGAAGAAGGACGGTGGATATGATTGCTAAAGAACGTGGAGTAGAAATAGGACTGTTCTGATGGGTCTTTTATAGCCATATTGAATGCTGATGCTTGTATATGGTGTTGGTATTTGAGGAATATATTAATAAATCTTTTTAAATTTTTTAATTTAGTAACTATTATTATTATTATTATTATTATTATTATTATTACTATTACTATTATTATTTTATTCTATTCTATTTTAGATTTAATTGTTTTATCTTCCAGTACGGAGTAATTATTTAAATAGCATTATTTTACTATTCCAATACATAATACAATATTGTTAGATGCCTCAGTCATGTGATACCGCCTCCGAGATATTACCTAATAGATCACGCTCTCGTATCAACATTCTCCCGATAACTAAGTCGATGAGATAAGAATAACATCATTCATTTAGTTATCTCTCGTTCTCTCTCATTCTCTAATCTGCTTCAACGTAGAGAGCACTAACAACTCCTATACGATATTACTGCTATACCCTTCAAACGCGTGTTTATCATACTTAGCTATGTCTAAAACCACCCCCCTTTTACCGGCGGAGTCGGCTGGCGATGAGGAAGTCGCGTGGGCTTCTACGAGCCCCAACCCTCACACAAAAACCGCGTCCGAAAGCTCTGAGACCAAAACCGCGTCCAACAGCTCAGAGACAAACGCCACCTCCAAAAGCTCAGAGACAAATGCCGACTCCGAAAGTTCTGGCAAGGCTGACTCAAAACTTCGTCCAAAGATAGACCGCAACTACTTGAAAACACTGGATAGCCAGGCATTGGGTGCTTACTTCAGAGCTATGTCCAATGAAGAATTGGAAGAGCTTTTCAAAACGTCCAACGCGCCGCGTAAGTTATCTCTCATTATCTTAGAATTTTAACTAATGTATTTCTATAGTTCATAAAGGTCCTTCCATACCATACGATGACTCCGCTGATTTTGCCTATGAGCAGGGGAAGCCACTCCCAACCCCAGATTTAAGCTCCGATACTACTGAATCCCGTCCCCCTCGTTTACCGCAGTGATCCTTCCGTTAACTGTACCCTGCCTCTGGCTGCTCCTTCCGTCTACCATGCTTGAACCACCGTCTGCTATATCTCTCGTCAGTACCCTAGTCCCTTTGCCATAAGAGTCGTGAGTATCAGCTTTCTCAATCGCAATAAGTGTTCTCCACCATTCCAGTCGCATGCTCGGTTTGTGCTAACGCATGTATTCCCTGCACTAAGTAGGAACAATGGAGCAACTAGAGTTTATCTACAGAAATTCGTGGGAACATTCCGTCTATACATCCTTCTTTATGATCGAATATATTCTTGAAGTATTGCACAGAAGCTGGGCAGATTTTTTAGTCAATCCACATATTGACTACATGCAGGCCAAGGCAGAACTAGAAAAACGACCACCTTCAGATCTTACTCAGCTATGGCAACACGGTGATGGACTCTGCACCTCACTCGCCGTCTTTGTTGCAAACAACATTGATGCCAATTTCTCCTTTCAGGACCTGCAAGGTTACCATCGAGCTGCATTAAGCCCGGACGGCCTGATTATTGACTCAATGGCTCGTAAGCTTTTATCTGGAACCGAGGGCCAAGTGTTATCTGGATATAAAGGAAAGTGGAAGTTTCTGAAATCTCCAACCCTTACGCTAAGTTTCAAAGTAAGTCAGTTATTATACCGGTAGTCTCGATGATATACCCAGCTAACACAACACAGTCCAACAATCAAGCTACCTTTGACGATTTTAGCCCACTACAAAATCGCGAGGAAGCAATAGTCCGATGTCTGCTCCAGCTTACGTCTAAAAAAGACTTCATCTGTATGTTTCGGTAAGTATTTTCTCCTGTAGTTAGTAAACTAGTCTATTATATGAGTATAGAACGATATCTTCATCCAAACTCCGTTTTAATGGACGAATATGTTTTAATGTTTCAACTCGTGTAATAAACTGGAGTCGTCTGGTATCAAATGAGTGGGTTGAATCGAAGGCAACCTTCAATGGCATGGGAACTGCGGCATCCAATCTCGATTGTCGAGAATCACTCTTGCATTTTGGAGTGACTGACGGAAGAAGAGAACAATACGAACGTGTATCTGGCGTCATAGAACGTTTGTGGGACGCTTTACTTCAAACGTTTGGGTTTCCGGAGCTCAAGTGAGACCAGACTTAAGACACCTACCGGCTTCATTACCTCAGGCTTGGTGTTATTATTGTTCAGAGGGTAAATACTTTTGATGGTTCTAGAAGAGATCCGAGCGAAGATATGAATTGAAATATGCCAATAGTCATAGCAATTGCTGTATGGGGAATCAGCTAACTCTCACAACATAAAAGTTACTAAAGTGATAACCGAAGTAAGAATCAACATGAATGGGAATAAAAGGGAATCAGAATGTTGTAGTAACGTGTAGTGACGAAAATGTATAAAATCAAGCCCATATCAATTTTCCGGCTTGTGTTTCCATGGGGGTCTGTGTTTTTTTTGTATGTTTTTTTTTCGCGTGACTTTCTTATTCCAATGTGCGTTAAATGTCGGATGTCTAGAGATTGCCCTGGTGGAAGAGAGCAATGGTAGAGCAGAAGTTGCTTCTATTCTCCTTCTGAGGGACCAGTCCCTTGCCGCCCGAGGTGATCATGTTAGTACTGGCCTTGGTGCTGACACCGTACAAGTATGTCTCAGAGCAAAGCACTTCGATCATGTTGAGCTGGCAGGATTCGGTCTTGAGGCATTCTTGCTTGTAGTTCTCGAAGAAGCTGTAGAGACCGCCTCCGAAGAGGAAGACATCGGTGGAGTTGAGGATGCGGAGACCCCATGCCTTCTTGCAGGCGGCAGTGGTGCAGTCGCCGAAGGTCGGGTCGTTGTATTTGGTTTCAGGGGCGAAGGGAACCAGGGCGTCTGGGTTGGATTGGTAGTATCTGGATGCATGTTAGTAAAAAAAGCCTGAGACATAAAAAAGGGGAGGACGACTTACGGAGTCTCGGTCTGGATCAAGGCCATGTAGACGTTCTTTGCGTTCTGGATTTGGTAGTTGTAGAGCGTGTTGTGCTCCGAAGCAGTGCCGTACATCCAGACTGCGCCAGAACTCTCGATCAAGGCACCTCGTCCATTGTAGATGTTGATCTGGCCATGGTCGGACAGGTCAAGTTCATGGTCGGATACCCACAACCAGGTGTTCTCGAGGTAAGCAGAGGCGGTCTTGGTGATGTGCAGAAGCATGAAGGCGCCGAAGCACTTGGGGTCAGGGGTAGTAGTAGTGTTGGGCGTCTTAGCACAGGTGTTGCTCTGCAACTCCGTTCCAGCGAAGCCACCGACTCTGAAGTGAACATCCCACATTCCAACAGAGCCCTGAGTCTCTTCAGCGACGTTCCATTCGACGAGGATACAACCGGGAGCAGGGCCCTTGGTGGTAATGATGAGCTCCGACAACTCAACGTTTCCCTTGTCGCCTGGCTGGCCGACCTGAAGCATGGGAATGGGGTTCTTCATGTCAGAGAAGGCCTTGCCGGTGGCCATCAACATCGGCCAGATTTCTCCGGTGATCTTGATGTTCTTGGGCACCTTGATAGTGGAGGTGATGAGGTAGGCACCATGGTCGAAGTAGACGATCTGGTCGGCAGTGGCTTTGTCAAGAACAGCCTGGATGGCCTTGGTGTCGTCTGTCTTGCCATCACCCTTGGCTCCGGCACTCTTGACGCTGATGAACTTGTCGGCGGAGACGTTCTCGTACTGTGGTTTTGCGCGCTCAAAGACCTTACCGGACTTGTCGAGCAAGATGGCTGGCTTGCTGGGCTGGGGAAGAGCAGTCTGAACACGGGCCTTGGTCACAGGGGCGGATGGACAGGCGGTAGGGCCACCAGTTGGTGGAGCAGAGGGAGAGGGAGTTGAAGGGGCAGTGCCAGTGGTGCCGGATGGGATTCCGCCGGTTGGTACTCTGGTCGGGACGTGGGATGGCTCAGTGGTTGGCACTCGAGTTGGTTCGCCAGTCTCTGGGATTGGGTAGGGCGGAGCAGTAGACTGAGCTGGTGGCTGCGGAGCTGGAGCAGGACATTCATCACGGCGAGCTATGTCTGGCTTAGCCTGAGCCTGGGGGGGAAGTCTCTTTGCCTTGGAGCCAGATCCAGCAGTCCAAGCGTTGCCCTGAACCCAGTGTTTGATGACGGAACCTCCACCAACGATGGAGCTGCCCTGAAGACTGGCGACTGCGTCTGTGGAGCCAGTGAAGTCGACGTTGTCGAGGATCAAGGTACCGCCAGACTCGGGGACACTCTCGGCGTTGAAGGAGGTGACGACACCCTTGGGGGTGTTCTTGATTTTGCTGTCGAGAATCATGACGGAGCCGACCGTCTGGTTGAATCCTCCGTTGGACATGTTCAAAGCCACACCGCAGTCATTGACGGAGAGAGACTTGAAGGTCCAGGCCCAGTTCCAGTTCATGAAGATGGCAGTGTTGCAGTTGTTGAAGGTCAGGTTGCGTGTGGTGAACTGCTGGTTGCCGAAGAAAGCACCATAGTTACCGCCGTTGAAGACAAGGTCGGTCATGAAGCCACCGGAGCCGTTGTCCATGAAGATACCAATCTGCTTGTTGGCGTCTCCGCCGCCCTTGACCATCTCGAAGCGGATGTTCTGCAAGCTGGAGGCCTGGGCAACCTGCCAGTGGATGCAGGCTCCCTTGCTCTTGTCGAGACCGGTCAGATCGATGACAACATTGCGGATGCCACGGAAGAAGTTGTTCTGGTTGGTGTACCAGTTGCTGCCGTCGTTCTCGTAGGGATCGGAGTCAATGACAGCGATACCCTCGAACGAAGGGGCAGCCTTGATGACGGGCATGTTGAGGGCATCTCCCACGATCTGGGTATAGTAGTACTGGATGATCGGCTTGGAGACGACATAAGTGCCCGGCGGGAAGTAGACAAGAGCCGGAGTAGTCGTGGAAGAGTCACAGCCCTTTCCACAGCGGCTTCCAGAGGATATGGCCATATTGATAGCGGCCGTGTCATCAGAGCTCCCATCACCTATCCTTGTTAGTATATATTACATATAGAATAAACAGATATCAACATCCACCGGAGCACCTCAGAGAACATACCCTTTGCGCCAAAGTCCTTTACATTGCGGAAGACCTTGTAGCCGGCACCACCACCATTAAATGGGGCGATTCCCTGGCGCTTGATAGAGCTGAGCCAGTAGCTGGATGCCTGGGTGTTGGGGGTCTGGGACTGGGGGGTCGGGACGGCACCGGCAGGCGAGAAGAGGCCGACAAGGACAAGCAGAAGCTGGCCCAACAGCAGGCTGGAGACCAAGCCTCGAGCCATGATGGATCCGGGAGTATCAGACGGCCGTCTCACAGTAGATTCTTATGTATTTGTTGTAGTTTGTGGTTGTGGTTGTTGGTAAAAGCAGTTGCTGTTGGCGTATAGATCCAGCTCCAGTGGCCAGCACAGAGCTCTCGCACCTTTATATATATATATATGTATATTTTTGGCAGCACAAGAATGAAACAGAAGCTGAGAGAATGAATGGCACGACCTGTGTATTCAGTCAATATCAAGTCAAGTCAATTGACCAAGGAGTGACTGCGAGTTGCGCTATAAAATGAGTGTGTGTTGTAGCATGTGGTTGCGCGCTAACAATGGGAGGAATTTCCCTTCATTCACAACAACATCCACAACAAAGGGAGGAAAAGGGAGGAAGAGAGCGACAGAAGGGCAGGACAGAGGAGAGGCATAAACACGAAGAGGACAAAGACGAAGACGAAGACGAGAATGTCACGGATATATGAAGCCAGAGCCCTTCATTAGCTCGACGGCCGCCCTGGCGCCAAAGCGAGAGGTACTGATGGATGTACCTGATACAGCCAGGACTGGGGCAGCAGAGACAGGGAACAGGGGGCGCAAAAGAAAAGAAACGAGAGAGAGCTGGGGAATCGTACTGCGGAACACTCGAAATAACAATAAAATGATGTGCAAGGTATGTTTATGCGCCCAACCAGCGGCCGCTCAGCGCCGTTCGTTTCCACTCGGTCCAGGGCGTAGGTTAAGCTCAAAGGGCTCAAGGGCCGCTCAGGGGCTCAGCAGCCAGTCGTTGGCAGTGGCCTTCGCGCAAGGGAAACACGGCGGCGTTTCAGCCAGGGGAGGCAAAGATGAGGATGGGCGTCTAGATGCCTATCAATTCGGTGAGAAGAGCCGGAGATATCGAGGGGACTATTTGATCGTTCTTCTCGACGGTGGTTGCGTTTCAGCAAGGCCAGCCAGACGGAGGAGACGGAGACAGGAGGGCGAACAGGCGACTATTATAGACAGACAATGCTGCAGAGAGAGGACGATGCCTGCGGCCTTCAAGTCTACTTGAGATCGTCTCGTCCCGGATCTGCTTGTTTGGATCTGATGATGAGCCAGTATCTACGGAGTATTGGATGGTGACCGACACCCACACACACACACACACACTCACACCCCATGCGTGTCCAACATGTTATTTCAGTTACAGTGGCGGGCCATATAGCAACCCGTTCGCATGGCCAGGGGGGCATGGAAGGACGGCCAGACGGCAAAGACGGGGCATGACCTGGTCATCTTGTGCATTCGGACACATCAGAAGGGGGGGACGCTTGAGGCCATTTTTTACGCGCCTTCATCTTAATCCGCTTGCATCAAGGGTATCAGGTACGCGCCCTCTTCGCCAGTCAGCCAGCCGGAATCCTTGTCTCCTATGTCTATCCGTTACGGCGGGCGGGAGACAACCTGGGGCGGAAGACGAAAATATTGTTCAAGAAAGAAAACAAAAGAAGAAGAAGAATATTGATCACCGACTAGGGACGAGGATGAACCAAGAGTCGAAGGGAATGCCCGAAGGCTTGCATCACTCGCATTCCGCAACGCCAGCCCGCTTTTAGCTCGCAGACTAGCAGACAACCAGAATGACTAGTGAGCTAGTGAGCTTGGTAACTCTCGCCAGGGTTGGCTAACTGGTGGTGAAGGGACCCTTCTGACCTGTCGATCCGCTGCACGGCGCTGCTAGTCTGATATCAAGGCGCAGAGCCAACCCAAGATAGACTCACACTCGGCCAACAACAGAAACTCCTGCTCCTGGCTCCGAGACGGGCATCTCCATGGCCTGCCCCATCATGGTTACGGAGGGTTCGTTTTGATTCTGCAGGGCCCGTCGGATGATGTACCTCAGCCTTCCCTCTGGCATGCATCCTGGGTGCTGCTGGATGCTGGAGATATCGACGGTGGAGGCTCGACTACGCAAAATGTGCGACCCCAGGCGAGTTCCATGGCAAGGGAGAAAGGCAGTTGACCATGCTCCCATCCCACACTCCCCATCCACATGGCTGTCATGTTATTGTCTGAAGTACTTCATCATGAGCCGTATCCCTCGTCCAGCCCGGTGGTCATGGGCAGAGCTTACTCCGCGGCCGGTGTGGTTGCACAGCATATAGATAACGATGCAAGATGGTAGGACGGGCGCCGATATAGTGAGCTAATCAATCAATCAATATAGTAGCCGTGCATGGGTGAACGGATGATGGATTGATGCTACACTGGCACCGGTTTGGTCATCACTTTCTCTTTGCTTCTTGTTTACTTATTTTGATCGATGTATGCCGTTTAATTGCTGCATATTAATCGAGCAGTTTCGCTTCCCATCATCATCACCCATCGCCATCATCACCTAGCCAAGTCCTCCGCCTCCAGCTATGATACGAGAGTCCAAGGATCTTGTCAGCTACTCTAACCTGACTTGTTAAGCATGTGCGCGGATGTACTGAGCTCTCATGACGATGCCTGTGATGATGACAGCGCGGAGAAAAAAGGGAGGGGGGGGGGGGGGTTGATAGTTAGCTAATCAACCCCGGACAGGATTGAGCCTAGCTAAGGGTGAAGGACTGGTAGGACTCTTGTTATGATCCGGAACTTGGTAACTATAAATGAATCCCTAGACTGTCCTTGAGTAACTAAGAGTAGTAAGGCTTAATCTTAAGTTTAATATAGAATATATAAAAAAAAAGAGCTTTAAAGTAGCTTATTTAGATATAATATTAGTAATAATAATCTTTCTAGCTTTAGCTAGAGACTAAGAATATAAAAGTAGTAACTAATTATATAATTAGTTCTACTATCTAATACTTACTACTCCCCCTTTATATAAAAGAAGAAGTACTATAAAGGATAAATCTTCTAATATAAATCTTTTTTAAATACTAATTTTACTTTAAAATCTTTAATCTTATTTTATAGTTCCTTAATATATTTTATATATAATATATAGTTAGTAAACTCTTATTATTTAGTCTCTAGAGTAGTTTTTAGCTCTATAAATTAGAACTTTAAGGATATTAAGTATTTTTTTAAGCTCTATAATTTAAATATAAGACTACTAACTTATATTTTTAAAGATTATAGTTTGGTATTTAGTTTAGAAGCTAGGGCCTCTAAAAATTATAGCTTAATATTTAGCTTAGAAGCTAGAATCTCTAAAGACTATAGCTTAGTAACTAGCTCTTTTACTCAGGATTGAGTATTAGTAGAGCTCTATATCTAATTAGGTGCTCCCTAAAGTAGAATAAGTAATTCCTAAAATAAATTAGTATACTATAGATTTTTCTAGAGTAGAGCTAAAGTTAAGGTTATATCTACTTCTAGATCTTTAAGAATCCTATCTTTATTAAAGTTATAAAATTAATAAATATTAAAGTCTCTCTTAATAATAATTATATTCTTAATAAGTCCTTATAGCTAAATAATATAATCTATAGATAGTTTATAAAAGAATAAAAGTAGATTACTAGCTAATAAAGCCCTAATATTCTCTAAAAAGGGGGTCTAATTCTTAGATATTTATTAATATAAACTATCTATATAAATAAATATTAAAACTAAGGTAATAGTAAAATCCCTTCTTAATCTAACTATATCTTAAGCTTATTTATATTTTAAGGGAAAAACCTTAAGGATAGTATTATTAGTACTATCTAAGTTTAAATCTAAACTATACTTATTCTACTTCCTAGTAGTACCTCGAGGGATAATAATTCCTTCTTAAAAAAGGAAAATAGAGATTTTAAGGTTAATAGGGGTAAAATAAATAGTATTAGGGCTTATAACTATAGTAGTAATAATTTTAAGCTTAACTAGACTAAATATTTCTATATTAGAGAGATAAAGAGATAGCTTAGAGGATATAGTAGTAGAAGTAGTACCTAAAGTATACTAGAATAGAGGATTTAAGATAGTAGAAAGGAGAGATATATTAATTAAGCTTAGACTAAATAGTAATCTATTAAAGTTTACTCCTTATAATAGGTTTATATTTAAGAAGTTAGTAAACTCTTACTTAATAAGGGCTTAATTAGCTATATTTATAATAGTAGAGCTTTTATTCTCTATATTTTTAGCCTCTATTTTCTTAATTTTAGCTTTAGTAGCTCTAGTTAGATTAATAAGGGGCTTTAAAGAGATAAAAGTATCTACTAGCTTAAATAGTCTCCTTTTATTAGTAGAGAGGAATACTATTAGAGTATTATTATAGTAGCTAAGTAGAATTAATTTATAAGAACTTCTATATATACCAATAGCTTTCTAAGTAATAGTTCTATAATTTATAAAAGAAGCTTAGACTTCTAAGATAATAAATATAATAAAGTTAGATATAGTAGTAAACTTAAAATTATCTACTATATAGTAGTATAACTTATATAGTTTTAAAAGTATCTTTATAAATAAGAACTATAAAAATTCTTTAATAAAGTTTTTAGGAGCCTTTATATAGAGATTAAGAGCCTAAGTAAGCTTAGGTATATCTATAAAATAGAAATATAGTAATACTAATATATATTAAGGGAAGAGAAGTTATAGATTCTCTCTATCTCTATAAAGGGTCTAATTAAGATCCTCTTACGGGTAGAATAAAGTATTCTTTAGAGTAGTAAGGTAATTCTTATAAATTAGATTTAAACTACTAGTTTAAAA